CCTGGACTCTACGGTCCAGAATCTCATCAATAACACCCAACTCGAGCGCTTCCTTAGCACCCATGAAGTAATCGCGCTCCATAAGCTTCTCAATCTCATCAAGGGACAACTGCTTCTTGCCAGTAAGGTGACGTTGGTAGATCTCATTGAGCTGAGTGCGCACGCGCAGGATCTCTTTCGCATGGATAGCGATATCGGACGCCTGTCCGAAGTAGCCGCCCGAAGGCTGGTGTATCATGATCGACGAGTGTGGTAGACAGTAGCGCTTGCCTGCTTCGCCGCCGGCGAGAAGGAGAGAGCCCATTGAGGCGGCCTGGCCAACGCAGATTGTGCTCACGGGAGAGGCGATATATGTCATTGTATCGTAAATCGCGAGGCCTGTAGAATTGTTAATCAGTATAGGTCGGTGATAGCCATTGGGGTAGGTCACGTACCGGCTGTTACTGAGCCTCCTGGGGAGTTGATGTAAAGGTGAATCGGTTTGGTAGGGTTATCGGCTTCGAGGAAGAGGAGTTGTGCGACTATCGATGCGGAGAGGGTGTCGTCGACTTCGCCGTTGAGGCAGATGATGCGTTCCTGGAGGCTTGATTAGGATGGATAGGTTCCGGGAGAAGGCGGCGTCCTCTTGTATCTAGTTACCTTCATTAATCGAGAAAAGATATCATCTGGTGTGCGCGATGGGGGTTAGTAGGTTGATCATGTTTTGGGTCATCTGCACGCGAATGCAATTGCGCAACATACAAGTGTGCCAGCCGCCTCCCTATTCAATGATATCAGTATATGCGCATTGAGTAATTTTTGTGCCCATATAGAATTTCAAACATACCACTGTCTCTGTCACGAATGGCGTCGGTGTCCAACTCCGCGGGCGCTGCGTAAGCGACGGTCCTTGGTTCGAGAAGCATCGTGCGAATATAGCGGCGGGCCGGGCGACAGCAACTGGGGAATTTTGGATAGACCGCCCTAACTGGCGTACAGAAGTTCTTGAAAGCATCTTCAAAAATATGCAAAAGCAATGTGTAGTTGTATGGAGTTAGAAATCCAGATTCGGGACCCTGGACGGTGAACCGTCCGATGTGATAAGAGAGGCGCTAAGATAAGGAGCTAAGGTGAACACTTGGGCAGCGGCAGCAACAATGCCAGCGATGGTCTAGTACCAACTTTCTCTGGAGAATAGGATTCTTCGGGAAGAAATTTTTGTTCTAGTATCCCAGAACCCCAATTAGGTCGTCTCACCCACTGTAACGCTATTCGGCAATCACTGCTCGATCAACAACTTCTCCGCAAATAAGGTGCTCCGATTGGCTCCTGCAACAGCTCCGAGATCATCTTTTCCGCCCTGAACTGAACTCGACTCACCATCAGCTCTATTTTCCCAACCATCCAAACAATGGAGTGTAGGGGCACCCGAATCCCGTACGCAAAATGGCGCCTGAGTGCCTTCCGTCAACTGCTAGCGACATCGCAAGCTCAGGCAACTAGTCGGCGCATCTCGACCTCGCGACAAACCGACCCAGTCAATGAAACTACTTTGGAAAAAAATACAGACAATACGGATCCGAACTCGGTACCCCCTTCGAAGAGGCTTCCGCAGTCTCCTCTCCTCGCACGTCCTCGCTTTGGGTCCGAGAAGAATCGCAAGAGACGTCCAACGACACAGGAGGAAGCCGACCTGCTCAAGAACCCATGGGCCCTGATGCTGGCTTCCCCGGCGCGTATGTGCTCTGTAACTGGTGCACGGCTTCCATCGGCCCTTATGGGGACTTGGGGGCTTGTTAGACAACCAAATTCAGACAAGCTCCATATGATGCCGGTGGGTCTGCTGCAGGACTCACTGCAAAGCAATCAGACCAAGAAGCTCAGTTCATCACCAGAGCCAACCACCCCAGGCCAACAAGAAATCCCAGACATTCAGAAACAAGGCCTGGAAGAGGATGTATCACCAATCCCAACATCCCTAGATAAGCAGACTGGACGCCAGCTTGTGCTTCGCATTGTTGAGCTTCTTCCACTTATTCAATCTATTTCAGTGCCGCTCTCGAAGAAGGGCGGGAAAAGACCTCCCATCATGCGCCTGCTGCCATTCCGATGGAAGCACCCACAGGGCCCTGTGACGGCTCATGAAGAGAAAAGAATAGTCTGGTCGAGCAATACGCCGAAATTTATGTTGCGGAGTATGAGGGATGTCGTTATAAAGAATCTGGGCGCAGTACTCGAGAAATACAAGCGCGTCGGCACCTCCAATGGGGTCTGGAAGGCTCTGGATCTGCCCGAGTACTCGGATACTGCGCTGAAGGAGGCTCTGGGAAGTCTGGAGCGATTTGATCGTATGGAATGTGGTGGAGTCCTGCTTCTTGGCTCAAAGGATTTTGCGGCTGCCGGTCATACCTCTCAGTCGAGTGGCTCCTTGGACTCGGTGGCTCTCACCCAAACCGGCTCGAAGGTTCCTGTGTTTGATCTATCGGTGCTTTTTTCCGAGTCTGATATCAACAAACTCCGTGAATCCTACGGTCAGTTCCAACACACTGCACTGTTCTTCAGACCAGAGGACCAGCTCGGTATTGATGCGATGATATCCCTCTGGAAAATCAAACGCCTCCTTGAGGGTGTTGATCCAACAGATCAATGAAGCCGCCGCATAGTCAAATAAAGTGATTCACTCACTCATTACTTCGACGCTGATTTTGTGAGAATTATACCGATCTGTCAGGCCACAGTTATAGGGATCATGTCGAAATGGAGCCCAAATCGATATGACCGAGAGTCACGTGCATTGCTTTGGGTAGGAATATAGCGAGATGAAAAGTCAGTCAAAAGTGTAGCATAACAATTACGCCAGGGGCAGCTATATTACAATAAGAAGAGCCGTGTGGCGGTGAGGGCCGCGTCGATGAGTGATAAGTGCGGGTCTACATTTGATATAAACAAGTGCTTACAGTCCACTTCCACTTTTATTGTTGGATCAGTTGCCAATAATTTTATCTCGTATGAGATCTGTGTCTGAAGGTTGCATTGATGTCCCTTCACCTCCCACAGAGTCAGTGTTTTCTTTGCCTGCGTTTCTGTTTTTCAGACCAAGTCTTCATTTCAGCCCAGGGGATAGCTATAGACAGAGCCATTCCCACCAGCTTCTTAGAAATTCTACTGTCCTGCCTCTCCCCCTATTTTCATCATCATCATCATCATTAACAACATCAAATATCTATATTTCTATATATATATATATATATATATATCTATACAGTACTGAGGCAACTTCTCGAAGCTTGTTAGCATACTCAGAGTGTGGACATACTTATCTTCCCCCAGGGCTGCAACAAGGCTTTGACACTTTGTCATGGCATAAGAGCCCTGCAATCGCCTGAACACCGAAAAAGGACAACACTATGGTTTGACTTTCGGCTCTCACCCATCATTCTTTGCATATCAGCCAGAAACCTCCCGGTGAGCCTATAGCAAAAGCACCCCACACCTACTGAAATTCTCATGCTCATAACTCCAGAGATATTATGGCGGTCAAAGCTAAACTATTCAGGCCTCTTTGATTGCAAGGAATGGCGTGGAACATCATCCGATGGCTGGGCCGCTTGACATGATAAGTAAGATGAAGTCGACCTTAGCTACGTACCTACCTAGACGATTCGCCGGTATTGTAAGGCTTTTCAAGTGGTTCCATTGAATGTAGTTCACGGGGGATATGTACCTCTAATAATAATAACCTTCGGAAGCCTTGGAAATTTTAGTTTAGCTCCGGGAGATAAATTTACCACGGTGCATATATTAAGTCTGTTAGCATCGGCTATTAAGTAACTCAACGCCGAACACAACTTAAACCCCAATATATTCTACCTCTCACTAAAATGTCTGGTTGGATGATAGCTGCTATAGATGCACTCAATTACGCGGGTGCAGTAAGTTTCACACCCGAAAATGATATCCCAGACCTGACCGGGAAGGTCATCTTGGTCACGGGCGGTGGGTTGAACCGTATATCAAGGGCGCATTGATGCCGCATCTAACGCTATGAACCTCCACAGGAAATGCAGGTTTGGGCAAAGAAACAGTCCTCCAGCTAGCCAAGCACAATCCGAAGAGAATCTTCCTCGGGGCGCGTTCAGAAGCAAAGGCAGAGGAAGCCATCAAGTCGGTAAAATTATCCGTTCCAAACGATGTCGAAATTAGCTGGATACCATTGGACTTGATGTCAGGTAAATCGATCAAGAGCGCAGCGGAGCAAGTGAACGCCCAGTCGTCCCGTCTCGACGTCCTAATCCTCAACGCTGGTGTGATGGCTCTGCCGCCTGGCGAGACCGAAATGGGCCATGAGATTCAACTTGGCACAAATCATACCGGGCACTTTTATCTCATAAAATTGCTGCTGCCAACACTGCTCAAGACAGCCGAGGAACCTGGCTCGGATGTCCGCGTCGTGTCGCTCGCTTCTGTGGGGCATAATTTCGCGCCAGCATTCGAGAAAATCGTGGATCAAGAGAAGCTCAAGAAAGTCAATACACTTGCTCGGTACGGAGCATCGAAGGCTGCCAATATTCTCTTCGCTGCGGAACTCAGCAGGCGGTATCCGTCAATAACGTCGGTGGCAGTTCATCCAGGTATTATCGTAACGAATTTGTATGACGCTATGAATTCGCAATCTCTGTTTGTTGCTTTGGGCTCTAAAATTTTGCGTTTCTCTGGATCGACAGTGCGCCAGGGCGCGTGTAACTCGCTATGGGCTGCTGCTGGTGCGAAGAAGGAGAAGCTCACCAATGGAGGATATTATGTGCCTGTGGGGATTTTAAAACGTCGAAACAAATGGGCGTGCAATGAGGATATGGGGAAGCGCTTGTGGGAGTGGACTGAGTTGGAGCTTACCAAGGCCAATCTCTGATAAGATTCGTGTATTTACCTCTCTAGGCTCCCTACGTAGGCTCGCACATGATTTCAGCCCAGATTGCCAGTGGATAATACAGTCGAATTATTTTTACCGCGTTAAAAAAATATCATGAACTAGCAACTTTGACAACCACCTTCCCGAGACCTCCCTTCCCACTGTAAACAATCTGGCACGCTGATCGCACTGCTTCGATGTCGGAGAGCTCAACAGTGTTTCCAACCACCGTTCTCAACCTGTGTTCCTCAACATGGTTTCTTAACTCGTCCAGATCTTGACCACTCGATTCCAGAAACATATATGAATACTCGACACCATACCGCCATGCCCTCAGTTTACGGACACAATCGAAAGTATTAAGTGCCATTCGTAAAGCAATGGGGATGTTCTGCTTATTGGGCAGATCGTTCATTGAGGATTCCTGGAGCTGGTTGCCCGATGGCATGGTCGCAACCGACACGATACGTCCAGAGTGTGGTTTCATTAGGCAGAGGTACTCCATTGCAGAACCAACCGTGTCAAAGAGGAAGTCCACGGAGCCAGACTTGATGACCTGTTTTGGGTCGGATTTCGTGTAGTCAATTACTGCAAGTGTGTAAGCAAATGTTTACTCAAGCGGAATTTGGGTCCTTACTCTCATCCACCGTTCCTTCGCCTAGGAGCTCGTTGACCTTTTCCACCTTTGAGGTTGAGACTGTGGTGATGACCTTGCCTGCATGGAAGACATTCTTTGCCAATTGGCAGGCAAACAGACCTGTTCCACTCACTTTTATCATGTTAGACTCATACATAACAGTTTGTAGGACAAAAGCAACATACAGCCGGCGGGCACAAAGACAGTCCTTCCAGCCAGATCTCCTTTGTATTTTCTTAGTGCTTGAAGTGCAGTCATTGCTGCCAAAGGGATTGAAGCTGCATCCTCGAATGACAACGACGGCGGCTTCAGGGCAACGTATTTCTCTGGACATCTGGCAAATTCACTGCAGGATCCTATTAATCGAATGTTAGTGGCACCTATCTGATCATCAGGCCTGCACATGCCTCGAGAAACCTCCGGTAGTCTAGTATAGACTTCATCTCCGACTTGGAACCGCGTCACATCCGATCCAATCTCCGTGACTATACCGGCACAGTCATAGCCGAGTTTATATGGAAAGCTATACATGTCAAGTACGATTTTCGCAATGTATACGGGATCACATACGAGTCTTTTATCGCCAACTTCAGCATCCCATCAGCTTTCTTCACGTCGATTGGATTGATGCTCGCCGCATGAACCTTAATGATCACATCTTTTGGATCACTGAGCTCCGGCTTGGCCAACTCAGAAATCTGGTACCCCGATGGCTTCGAGTATGATGAAATGTTCAAGGACAACATCTCTGGTTGAAAATTTCAGCGAAATATGAAAATGCTAAATGAGGGTCGCGACCACCCTATATAAACCGGTTGAAGGTTGAAGTATGCCGGATCCGTCCATAGTTCATCTCCGGACCCACAGCAACGGGTCAACTATCTATCCGGTGCCATGTCAAGTGTTGATATTATTCAACATGCCACGGGTCTCGATCAATCCCCTTACGATAACAAGTCGCAGAGATTTAGTCAATGTGGAATCTTCGAGATATCGTCAATTACTCAAAATCAATGGTATTGCGGGAAGAAATTTTAGACATATTTTGTTCATGTGCAGCATGGTACTTAATGCCAAGAGCTCCACAGGCAACTGCAACAATTTTTCTACACAATGCATATCGCGACATGAAAATTGCAATTAAAGGCCTAGTAGCAGTATAAGAAGCGTATTAATACTTGACGCGTCCATATATATGTAGTTACCTAAGCTCTTGGGTGACCGTGAGTGTGTATGCCGGTGAACCTTCCGAGGTTGAAGCATGCAGGTCCACGGGTGGATACATCACTGAGCCTCGGTTCCTTATTTTCTATCCATGAATATCATCTACCCACTCTCTGCAAAATGCACCACATTTCAACTCAAGTTATACGATAGGTGTTATACAATTTAGGAAGGTCATCATGCGGGCCTGACTTTAATGTTTACTAGACGCTTCAATTGATCGCCTAACCTTACCGCTTGCACTCTGACAACAAACACAGGAGCACCACAACGCTTTGTTTTCTTCATTTATGATCATCGCTTTGTCTAGTCTCAGCTTGTTTGGACACGCCAGAGTATTAACAAATGAACAACAGAATGGCCAATATGCGGGGATTGTATTCCTCGAATGGAAAGAGTTCTTATTTGCTTGCATCCATCGCCTTCTCCATAGGCTATAGTAAAGATATGGCAACAATATGAACTCCCAAAACTGAGCATAGGGTGGGCCCTATGTTTAAGTTTGATTTTGGCGGCGGCATCACTCTGTTGAATTGTGAGCCTAGTCCAGTAGAGTAGTCCGCAGCCTTGAGATCGTTTCAGATTGAGGTCTCCTATTGTGCGTCCATTGATTTGAACATTCAGTCTCGATTATCAAAGGGGTCAGCGCTAGAGCGTCAAGAGTCTTAAGAGATGAGACAAAAAGCAGGAGGCGACCTCACTTCTTGGGAGCAGATGAGCCAGTTCAGCAATCAGGTGAGACCCTGGTCGTCGGAGTTTGGAGTTAAGAAACGAGGGGGTCAGCGAGATCACATCACGCTGATTCACCATACATACAAATCTGCCATTCGTTTGGTTATTTAGCTTTGGTGGTCCAATCAAGTGTTCAATAAGGCTATATTTCGACAGAGCTGCGCATATCCAACAAGGATCACTGTGTGTCGCCAATGACATGAGCTTTGTGATTTAGCGGGCCAAATTTGCCGGTTGCTCGCGTTTTTACTGTACGTCAGAGCCACTGCAGGATTTCAAGCTGACTGGGGTAAACAACGGGTTCTTTATCCTATGAATCCCCCTTCAGGTACGCAGCCCGTAATGTACGGTAAACATTCGTTACGCAGACTTGTTTGATCCATCGGTAATTTGGCCGTACATTTTTTTACATGTGGTTTAAACCCCGTGCTAACCTGATCCGTCATAGTTCATGCAAGTGGATGACATGTGCAGATCGACCTAGCGGCCATATTTCTAGCATACATCCGAGCGTGCCAGTCCTAAGCCCCGAAAGCTTTATAAACCAGTCATGATTTGTTCTAATCTCAAAATGTACCGTTGTCGATATTGCAGTCACCGGCTATCACACTAAAAGATGACTCCCAAAACCGTCCTACCAATTGTTTTTGGATCAATGACAATTGGCAAGCCAAGTAATCAAACCAACCATAACAAACTAAGAGTACAATCTAACGAGCAATTTTTAGATACGGCTCATGTTCGGATCGGTGACATTGCGGGTGCCAACAGCATGTTAGATGTGTTCCAGAAGCATGCACACAATGAAATCGACACCGCCCGCGTCTACGGTGCAGGCACAACGGAGGAATATCTTGCTGAGGCCGACTGGCACGAACGAGGGCTGATTATGGGCACCAAGCTGTACCCGACTGCACGACGAGATATGAAGTGGCTCACTCCCGAAATGTGGACTCACAAACCAGAAGATGTGCGTCTCGGTTTGATGAGAAGTTTGCAAGCCCTTCGAGCAGAGGAATTTGGTGTCGATTTATTTTATCTTCATGGCCCGGATAGATTGACGCGGATTGAGGAAACTCTCGCTGAAGTCGACAAGCTATACCGGGAGGGACACTTTCGGCGTTTCGGCATCTCCAACTTCCAATCCTGGGAAGTGGCTCAGATTTGTGAGGTTTGTGAAAAGAATGGTTTCATCAAGCCGACCACCTACCAAGGATTGTATAATGCCTACCAGCGATCTATTGAGGCCGAACTTCTCCCTTGCCTACGCCAATACGGAATCGGACTCTATGCATTTCAGCCTTTGGCCGCAGGGCTCCTGACATCGCGATACCAGAGGCATCAATCGCTCGAAGATTATGAAGTTGGATCTCGATTTGATCCTAGGACGAAAAGTAATCTTTTATATCATAGTCGGTATCTGACAGATCGCAACTTTGACGCCCTAGATCTACTCCGTCCGCTTGCAATGAAACATGGTCTCACTGAGGCGGAATGCGGTTTACGATGGATAATACACCACAGCGCATTGGAAAAGGATCTCCAGGATGCAGTTCTCATCGGGGCATCCAGTCCTGCTCAGTTAGAGCAAAATTTGCTTGATCTCGAGAAGGGTCCGTTACCGGAGGAAATTGTGCAGGCATTGGATGAAGGGTGGGGGCTTATTTCAGGAACTTACAGATACTGGCATTAAACTGAACCTACCATCGCAAAAAGTTAACTGGCAGTAGCGTTCCATGGGGAGAATAGTATATCTTAGTGAACTTCATTACGCAGAACTAAATAACGGTCAATCCTCGGGAGCCTTTTCTTCCTCGATCGATAATTGTCATTAAGGCAGGCTGGCTATGGGTCTTACATCATATCATGTATCGCGCTTACACTACTTTGCACAATTTTTATCTTCGTTAGTTCGGAGAGGATTGCGGGACGGAGAAGTAACAAGCCTTAACACTATCCTATAAACCCTCTCTCTAAATTTGCTGGTCTATAGCCATATATATCCCTCGACTCGGCGAACAACTACTCCTACTCAGCCTGACAATGACGACTCATTGATCGGTCCCTGTGCTAACAAGATTTTTGAACTCTACATATGCACTCTACATATGTACTCCATACTCCCTGCGGAGTACAGAAATTGTCCGTATGATGTCATGCTTCCCCTATATTGTACGTTGTACATCATAGACAGGAGAAAGGGGCTGGGATTCTCAGGGGCTGGTTAGTAGGAGGCTGTTCAGGCTGATCATTGGAATTAAAAAGATGGCTGTAAAGTCTAGCCAATGTAGTAAGTGACGATCATGGATCTTCACGAGGGACTACGAAGTTCAAGACGCCCCTGAAATAAGTATGCGCTCATGTATTGATTTCGGCTGCGCGTACGGAGTAGTATGCTATATGCTATAGATGGGACTTGTGGACCAAATTGTCCCTGGTAAATTATTAGTGACATTCTGTAGATCAACTGATGGTTCATGTTAATCATCTTGGGCTAATTCAAGATCTCGAGGCAAGGTTGTTTCACCCATACCTGAGACTCTGGAGCGCAAGGCTAGACTTCAAGCAAAATAGAATCTGCCGAAATCCTCATGAAAAGGCTAAATATATGATGCATATATTTAGTCCTCCGTGCTCCCTATTCGTAGATGATTTACCCACTATTAGTGTCAAATGCCTAAACCGTGGCTGATGCCTACAGGGCTCCAGTCTTGCTCAGCCTCAGTCTCAGCCACAGTCTTGGATTGTAGCCACTACTGTGTTATATACGGAGTATTCTCTGAGGAGTACGTACTTCGATTAATTCTTTGAAATGATATTAGCAGATCTATTTTGAAAACACAAAGCGTATTCGTGTATCAAACAACAGTGACAATTAGCTTCTCGTGCAACGAGTGACCACGTGGACGGAGTAGTGATTGTCCAACAGCGTCTGATGCCAGCTGTATTCCCCATGTCTTGGCTTTTCTGGCTTCTACAACGGACCAAGCCAAGACGGAGCTGGCAGCACTCATTTCGGAGATCAGGTGGCCGTTTGTTGGTCTATCTTAACCAAATATATACATTGTGGAATATAATTTGCTGTGGAGTACTTTCTGAATGAGATCGATCATACGAATATTCAAGGTTTGTTGCAGGTGATTACAAGCCCTTTTGAGGTTGCATGATCAGCGCCCTAAGGTTTGAAATTGGACCTTTGATATGATAGCAATCTCTAACATGAGGTGATTTTAAAAAGGTCGATCGTAATTGCAATGTAAAAGTGCTACAAAGCGATCATACGTATGTAGATGATTGATGGCTGGTGGTTGGCCTTGTGTCCTAGCTTTTTGGTTAGGTGGGCAAGTGCGGAGTAGGTCTTCAGTCAATCACTGGTGTGCTTCCTGTGCATAAGACGTCACATTGAATTGCAGGAATCAGCCTCGGAAGTCCGAAGGTACATTTGTGATGAAGGCTGGGCACTGGAGGCGGCCAATCCAACCGAACTCATTGATAGATCCATGATCACTCCGAAGAGTAAAAAGTACCGAGTAAATGCACAATCTATACTCTTCCGAGGTAAAAGTGAAAGAGAAGAAAAATAATGAATCACGGTGATTGATCTTCTTTCACCTTCTGTTGTGGGTTAGGCTAGGCGGAGAAGTACGCGTTAATGATTAAAAGAACTTTTGTTCTACCAGTGAGCCTGTCCCGAAGCAGGTTGATCGTCCCCGCTGCACTATGGATAACACCATGACATCGTGTCTTGTAGTGTGACGGTATATTAATAATTGCAGGGTTAAACGTGGTCATTGCCAGTGTAAAAAGGTGAAGCTAATGGGGCCGAAATGCTGTAGCCCAGGTAGAACTATAATGCATGATATAGTCCATGGGCGGTCTTAATAGGACTGAATGGGATCAATTGAGATCATCTACATCTACTCTGTATGATAGTCATCCCGTAAGAAATGAAAGAAAAAGATAAATTTGTCTTTGGAGTGAGACCACAGTCTACTAGGGTAACTAGTCTGAGTTAGGCTGGCTGCCTGACAAAACAGGCCACGGTCAGCCACCAGCGCCTCGCCGGTTATTCAAACATTTCGATGCAACCCTACATATATTGTCTTGTTATGTGAAACATCCAGGGTCCCACTTCCTTAGTTTCGAAGCAGTTTATTTGTCTAATATTCGAGTTCAAGTCCGAATGTGGTAAAGTGATAAAAGTGCTGGATACATGGATACTCGTCACATGCAACCCCTGGAAGCGTCTGGGGACACGGGTGAATCATCCAGGTACCAGGGAAGAAATTCAGGAACATAACAAACAACCAACCGGAATTCAAATGTTCAAAGTCTCTCTCTGATCAGCCCCCCCCCTCGGAAGGGCCAGAAGAGGAGGCGAATAGGACGAACTTCGCCATCGGAGTTCCACATGGATGATCCTAGCCTCCCCACACAGGGCCAATCATCAACCCACGAATGGGGTGATGAACGCCAATAAACACCCATGAATGCCATCATGAACTCAAAGGACCAACTAGCTTCGTTCACAGGGGCTTAATGCTATCTGAAACCGGCCAATCGCTCCTTAACCAAGCCGCTGGGTCCCCTCTCGGGCAGTGTTTCAGCCCTTACAGGTACTATGCCCTCCCGCGCAAGGCCCAAAGCCCGCTATTGGACCACTTTTACAGCCACCTCTGAACGTAATTCGATTCCGCTGCGGGCCTCGACTGATCACTTTACCAAACGAGAAAGGAAGGGCAAAGGGCACACAGCTACTGGTGAGTACATATACTTTCGTTCCCCGTTTCTTCTTTTCTTTCTCTCGACCGTGCAAGCAGGGCTTCTTCCACAGTTCTATATCGTTTCTTTGTCGCTTCAATTTCGTCGTTTCCTCTCATTCCCTCGATCAAAATGTTCTTTCCTTCATTGGTATGTCTATACTTCGCATGAACCGGTGGTCGAGCGCGACATGGTCCACAGCTCCACCCCCAACCAACCATGCAACCATCGCTAATTTCGCACATAGATCCTGGCTGCTGGCAGCCTGTCTACTCTCATTCAAGCCATTCCTCATGGCGCGAAGCCCCATCACTCTTTGCACCGTCGCGCTGCTGCCACTTATGCTGTCATGGGTGGTAACGGTGATGTCTCCGACGGATGGCCTTCCCTGAGCCAATGGTCGGAGTACGAGACTCTGTGAGTGGTAGATTAACCTGAAAGGAAAAGCAGAGCGCCGAGCTAAACTGTTTTCTTTTTTTTTTCTAGCTGGGGTCTTAACAAAATTCTGATTGCCGCATCATGCGACAACTCTGACGACGAAACAAGCGACATTAACACTAGCATCAAGTCGATCGCCAGCGAAACTGGCGTCGACGCTCGATTCATCCTTGCAATTATTATGCAAGAAAGCAAGGGCTGCGTTCGCGTCCAGTCCACCGACAACGGTGTTCAGAACACCGGTCTCATGCAGAGCCACGCTGGCGAGGGCTCCTGCAATAAGGACGGCAGCAAGACAACTCCCTGTCCCTCCTCCATGATCAAGCAAATGATCCAGGACGGCACCGCTGGAACCAGCCAGGGCGATGGTCTCAAGCAGTGCTTTGAGGCCCAGAGCGGCTCCACTGCGACCAAGTACTACAAGGCCGCCCGCACCTACAACTCTGGCTCTGTCGACTCATCCGGCAACCTCGGCCAGGGCGGCGCAACCCACTGCTACGCCTCCGACATTGCCAACCGTGTCCGCGGCTGGGCCGGCGACGTGACCGAGTGTGTTGAATCTACCATTGGAACTATTACTAGCGGCGTGGAGTCGGCTCTCGGTGGTGACGACGACTCGAGCAGCTCCTCCTCAACCGCTGCTGAGCAGCCCACCGAGACTGCCGAGCCTATCCAGACGTCTTCCTCGACCGCTGCTGAGCAGCCCACTGAGACTGCTGCGCCTATCCAAACAACCTCCGCCCCTGTCGAGGCCGCCCAACCAGCCGAGACCACTTCCGTGGCACCTGCCCCCACCTGGACCCCCAATGCGAACGCGCAATTGGCCGCGCAGACCACCGCAACCCCATCCTGGACAACTAGGTCCACGCCAGCCGCGACAACTGCACCAGGAACCCCCAACTCATCATCCGGAACTGCCCCTCTCTACCCCCGCGCCACCTCATCTTGCCAGAAATACTATACCGTCACAAGCGGTGATTTCTGCGCGAAGTTGACCGAAACTGTCGGAATCCCTTTCTCCAATCTCCGCAGCTTGAACCCTGGCCTCGACGAGAAGTGCTCGGATCTGTGGCTCGGATATCAGTACTGTATCAAGGCTTAAGTTCGAGCCTCTGATCGATCTACTTTTGGACCGATTTGTCTCTTTTCACTGATTCCCAAGTTCTTTTGGATCTACTTTTACCTTTCTTTCTCTCCTTTAGGCGGTGCCTTCTTTGTATATAGCATGAGCTTGCTCTGCAAAAAATGGCTGTGGGTGATGCTGGCACCCGCCCATGGTCTTTTTACGATGAATGACACTAGCGAACTTTTTTTTTACACTTTTTGACTTAGACCCTTCTTCGATCATCGTAAAGTATATGTAGATACGTGAAGTGCCATTTTGGCTGTCTTTATTCTAAATGGATAAGCCTAGTACTCTTCCAGCAAAGTATATGAAAGTAAGTTCAAGATTTGCAGTCCCCAGTAATGGGAATATCTGAGTAGCTGTGATGTTATTTGAAATTACATCTACCAATTGAGGATTCCTAGCTTGTCGCTGGGGACTAGGTTTATTGTGAGCACACTAGACAGAAAGAAAAACAAAGAGAAACCTTGCCCTGGGCCATATAAAAGACATTGGAGAGTTGACAAAGCTATTGTTGGAAGGAAAGATCAATGTCTCTACCAAAGGCCAAAAAACAAAGAAATGTTCGAAAATCCATTATGACTGTCTCTGATCTTCCTATTTAAACCAGTCTGAATCCCAGGTACTTGTTCATAATTATCCATCAATCTATCATACAATTAACCCAACAGCAAACAAGTTTCTCGCCAAACCCTCAATATGATACAACCAGGTATGTTCAGATATAAGTTTGGTGGCCCGGGTCTCCCCGAGTGGGAGATGAGCGGCTATGAGTGCGTTTACTTTGTGACAGTGCATTTTCACGAGAGATATAGATCATATTCCAGCGAAAAGCTCATGCGGAGTATGATTCGTCGAATTAAAGATGGGCAGGCCGAGGTTAGCCTTAAGCCTCTCCATCGCCTCACTCCGCGATGTATCTCAATGCCAGTTTATGGACCATATGACGCCCCGAGCGCCGTTATTCTTGCAACCGCCAGAGAGGTCGCAGAGAAGCGCTTGAATGAAATCCACCAAGGATTTGTTGAGATTGACATGGATCTCGTTTTCGGCCTTTGACGTTGGAAATACTAGGTTTCGATTATTTTCGGACTTGGCATCTTGGCTTGTAATCGATGAATGAACCCTTCAGTTATTCCAATCCAATCTTCTTCTATATCCGTAGTAGATTTTTGATATATTGTATACTCCTACTCTAGCTCTCGCATAAATGGCATCTGTCTAGTAGAAAGCTAGTGATTGTCTGTCGTAATTTTAGTCTGAATAACTGTGTAGATGCAATCAACGAAAAGATGATATATTGGCTTCCTCGTCTATTAAGTTCCTATCATAATAGTGATCCTGCTACCAGGAAGATTGTAGTGTCAGTGAACAATAACAAATAAGTCATTTTAACTGAAGTTCTCCCCCTTCCACCACCAGTCGAATAACCTCCTTATTCAATCCCTCCCAGCGAGTCCGTCCCTTGATAAACCAATACACAAAAGCAAACAAAGTAGTGGCACCAAAAATGGGTGCCGCATAATTCATGTTCTCCCCAGTAACCGGCAACGCTGATGGAAATGCCAGCCACACTGTTACCCAGGCAGTATATACCAAAGCAAAGACATTAACGGGAAGTCCCCAGATGCCCATATTCCAGTTTCCAAGAGGGGCCACATGCTTCTGAAACCGATTATGCACCATGCAACTTATAGCAATAAAATATGACACAAAGAGGCCAATCGAGCCGAGTGCAACAAACGCCCCAAAGGCGGCACCGTCAGCGACATTCAAACACGCTAGAATCATGACAACAAGTACTGGAAGCCAGACAGCACGAATCGGCACGTTGTGCTTGCGGTCAATCTGCCTTTCTTGTCAGCAATTAACCTCTGCGTTATCTTATATCCCAACGTCTGGTGCGAATGATACATACATAACTAAACCACTGGGGCAGGGCTCCGTCACGAGCCCACGCCCACGTCAATCTTGAGACAGACGCGATACTCGCCAGATTGACCGACAGTGAAATTACGAGTAATCCGCTCACCATTGCGGTTGCGGCTTTCACGGACCCGGTTGCCTGCCGGCAGATCTCAATTATGGGGAAGCTTGACTTCTGAGCTTCCTCCACCGAGCCCATCGTGAAAAGCATGCAGACAACCATTGCGTACGCCAACATACCGTTGGCGACGACGGTATAGAAGATAGACCTAGGTACGGCTTGTTTTGCTCGGCGGACTTCTTCACTCATGTGTACTGCGCCGTCAAAGCCTGCTTAGCTTAGCTTGCTGTCTTTGCTTTTTATTTCCATGTAGGGCGCACGTACCGACAAACCCCCAGACAGGGGTGAGCAGACCTATATTCCATGCGGGGAATTTTGCCCAGCCCGATGTGCTTTGCGTGTGTAGAAAGACAAACTCTGGTGTGTGACGAGGTGCGAGAGCTGTGAATACAACCAGAAACACAATCAGAAGGCAGATGTGCAGAATACCCGCCAACATTTCAATCCAAGGAATCAGCCAAAACGTATACATATTCATCAATGCTTCGATAACAAGCATGCCAATAATGATGAGGGTTATGTGCCATTGTTTTGGCTCGTACTCTGGGTAGTTCACACTCGCTAGGCCCTGGATCATCGTGGCAGTGGTGTTAGCAACACCGGCGAGTATGGAGATCCACGCAAACCAGGTCACCCAACCTACATAGTATCAGTATTAATCCAGGCAGTACTCGATAATTGACACACCTTGCATCCAGGTAATGAATTTCCTCTGACTCGGCGGTGCCAGGTAATGTGTCCAGTGATACTGAGCCCCGGCGATTGGTTGCATCGACGCCATCTCGGCTAGCGAGGCAGATTGGGTCATTGCGCCGAATATCACAATTACTATACCCCAAGCTAAGGCCTCAGGGCCGCCATTTGAGAGTACTGTACTCAAATTCCTAAACAGTAGCTGTGTTATTAATGTTGAAGCGCAACAAGGGATACTACTCTCATACAAAGCCTGAGTTTCCCAGCTCGACAAGTAAGTAAGAGAGAAAAAGAATATCTGGGTAAAATTGAAAAGTCGCTGTATATTGTCTCAGCTGGGTACACTTTATTGACTGAACAAATTGTATAGTACCTTAGGCGAAGGCTCCGTGGGACCAGACTTTTTAAGGGGGCGTTTATAGGCATTGGAGACATTTGCACCTTGATCTAGTGCAGCCTTTCCAATGACTGTATTTTCCCTTTCCAAAGAGAGCATCTCAAGGCGCTCCATTTGTCCTCGGCAGTGCGAAAAAAAGGCAGTTTATGACGGGAAACAGAACATTGGACAAGTCCCGAAGGAAGATCGGAGAAAAAAAAAAAAGCAAAACCGACGTAGAGGCCATGAATCTGAAAACAATAATTATGCAGAATCCTTGTCTCACGGTAATTTTTTTGTCCTGCCTGGATGGGATCGGTGTATGCTGTAGAACCAGTATCCGGCCTGCTGTGGAGGTGGGACCGAAAGATGCACGGTTGTGGAACTTGAGATAGACTGATCAGTCGCAAGACAGGAATATTCGTACTCGTGTGCCTCTAGTGGTCTGGAATATCCAATAAAGAACCCGATATGAGGGTGCTCAGACAGTGGTTGAGTTCTGCATATATCATGTAATGTCTCTTCTAACCTCTGGCATAAACATGATCCTGTTCAACTATGTCCAACGAGAATCTTTCGACAGCCATGTCATCCAGCATAACGGTTCTCCTACCGCCACTTCTACCTGTCACCGATAATGATCATGGTGCTTGGGTTATCACTGTGAGCACTATTCTACTTATTATCACTGTTCTCGCCACAACAGTGACCTTGATATCTCGCATTCGCGTTTTGCGCAAAATTTCTTGGAGCGATTCAACTCTATTTCTCAGTTGTGTAAGTGCCCTTGCCTTCAATAATTGCTGTTTCTAATCGATCCACTAGATCATATTTATTCCTCAGACTGTCTGTGTGAATGTAGCCAGCTCCCATGGTATTGGTAAGCACCGATATGCATTGAGCAATGCCTCGTTTGAAAAATACAGCAAGGTAAGAATGTCAAGCACTTTTATCCAAACTTTGAGGCTATATTCTAACATAATCAAGACACTCTTCGCTAGTCATCTTCTCGCTATTCTGGTTTTAGGGTGTTCCAAGGCCGCTGTTGCACTTCTCGTCCTATCCCTGCAACCATTTGAAAAAATAACGCTTGCATGCAAGGTTGTTTTGGGCTTGATTAGTACCTGGACCCTAGCTGCACTCATAGCACTCGGAAAACAGTGCGATGAACCACAACCGTGGAACTCCAGCCCCGAGCGATGCGTGAATCAACAAGTTTTATATATCGCCTTAGGAAGCATGCATATGTTATTAGATGTGGTAATTATTGGACTGCCAGTTGCCCTACTACATCAAGTCCAGATAATACGGTGTAAACGGCACCAAATCTCTGCCCTGTTCGCGATGCGGATCTTGTGAGTAGTAGATCTCCCAACCTCGATACAATCCCCATCTAATCCCACGCAGCGTTCTAGCTCTCACCATTGCTGGCCTACGATCCCTTCCGCCACTCTATAATTCCAAACCTCTAGATGAAACATGGAATGCGCTCATGCCAGCCATCTGGCTACAATTAATCCTCAGCTCCTCGATTCTCTGCACGTGCATCCCGACCCTCAAACGTGTCCTCGCCGAGCTCCAGACAGGCATGATGGCCGGTGTAGTTTCGGACTTTTTTGAGCATTCCGTCTCGGGTCACACCAACTCAGGAGATCGATCAGCGTCCAAATCTGATAATGCTGTTGGCCAGAGATCAGGATCAGGGTCGGCATCTCGCTCCCCAATTCTAAGAGACTCACTAGATGCCGAGCGCGTCGACAGTCAAAAGAACCTGCGCGAAAATGCCACCCTTCAAACGATCAACTATGAGGACTTTTACGAAGGTCCTGGTTCTTCTAGGGCCTCATCTTCCCATAACCATGAGGGCGATGGTTTGAGCATATATTCACATCGTGGAACCTGAAGGTAACTGGTGTTAGAAGGTTGGGAGTATTCACGGGAAAGTATACCTAATATTGTAGGGTGTATCGAATTGCTTAGAGGTAGCGTGATTATATACCTAATTAGATTATCACTATCTCGGCAAACGAGGGCGATGAGACTGGCGAGTTCCACGACCATGCTACCCAGCTTGGTCAAATGGACAAGTTTGTAATGCAATGATATATGGTGGGGCAATGGTTATATATACACTCAACAGAAAAAAATCTTCAAAAGAGACGTCAGAATTAGTTTTATTTTCTAAGCAATGACAAACGACGTCCTCAACTTACTAGGTCAGACCCCTGGCCTCTACAAATTGTATACATAAATATGTTCCATTTACCGTGTTTCTGAGGAATCTTCGCATGACGCCATCATCGATACTCTAACAAACGGACTTGACCGATTGGCAAAGAGTTTCCCATGGCTTACTGGCCAAGTTGTCAACGAGGGCACAGAGGATGGTAATACGGGCGTCTTCGAAATAACTCCCCTCAATAAAATCCAGCTCGTGGTAAAAGATCTACGACATGACTCCTCCGCACCGACAATGGACGGGCTTTGCCAGGCCAAGTATCCTTTTACCCTGCTCGACGAGAACGTCATTACTCCTTGCACGACTCTAAACCTACCGGGTAATTTACCAAGTATCACGGCCGAGTCAGCTTTGGTGTTTTGTGTCCAGGCAAATTTCATCGAGGACGGTTTAGTGCTCACGCTGGTCGCTCAGCATAATGTCATGGATATGATTGGCTAAGATTTTATCATCAGATTGCTGTCCAAGGCTTGCCATAATGAGCCTTTCATAAGCGAGGAGCTTACAGTTGGCAATATGGATCGGAGCCATGTCATTCCGTTACTGAATGATTTGTACACCCCGGGCCCTGAACTCGCTCACTAGATTGTGAAACCCCCGCTAAGCGTCAAAGATGTTGTCTTGGATCCTGTTACGACCCCAAAATCTACATTGGCTCACATCGAACTCTCCGCGGCACAGCTTAGTTCCCTCAAGGCTCTCACCACGAATACATTGCCCGCATCCGCGGACTTCATCTCGACGGACGATGCTGTTAGCACTTTTATCTGAAAATGTGTCGCTCGCGCCCGGGCTTCTCGTCTGGAAGGGACTTCTGAATCGTTGTTTACGCGCGCAGTCGACATGAGACAGCGTTTTCGTATTCCCCAGGGCTATCCAGGTCTCCTGCAGACTTTGACATACAACACTGACCCTATCCAGAAACTATCTAAAGAGTCTTTGGGCGTCGTTGCCGCCAAGCTTCGGTCCCAACTCGATCCCAAGAAGAATGCTCTTGTATTCAATACCCGTGCCCTCGCCACATTTCTCAGCCGCTGGGCTGACAAGACCAAGGCGTCTTTTACCGCCATGGTCAATGTTTCATCCGATTTTATGCTTAGCTCGTAGTAGAGAATTAGCTGTTATGTTCTCGACTTCAATCTAGGATTGGGTAAATCTGAAGCCGTGCGGAGACCACATTTTACCTCCGTTGAGGGCTTGGGGTACTTGATGCCTCGGTTGCTGGTGAGATGCCTGTTGGTATCTGTTTGAAGTAATATGAATAATTATCAAAAGACACTAATATCTGGATACTACATAGGTCACTGTACGTTCAAAATGCATGGTTCGGTATTGACGATTAACTAAGGAGCGATTCCATTGGCTGACTATACTGTCACATCGACAATTAACGAAGCACCCTCCTATTTCTCATTCATCCTCACTTTTGCTCACCCATATCCTCCCTTTTATTCAAGCATCCTAGATTATTATCCGTCCCGACTTACATTCCATTTTTTGATCGTGAGGCTTCAAATTACCGTCGTGGAAGATGGCGGGAAAAGGGGAATTCGACTCAGAGGGCGCTCAACCTGCCAGCCAGTCCAAAGCCGCGAGGTTCAATGCCCATGTATTGAAAAAGCTCCAAGCCGCAGTCATAAAAGATCCGGAGATCAACTTGGCCGAGCAATTCCCGCTGGAGTATCCGCAACGTCTTACAGAAATGAGAAATCCTATTGAAAGCTCCCCGAGTAAGCATCACAATACCGCAATTCAATCTCTCCTCGTTCGCATAGCTAACATCATCATCTACTAGAGAAAACCAAATATAATCCACCGGAGGCCGATGAAGACATCCGACGATCTCTTTGCCCATCAGACCCGGTTGAAATTGTGTTTCCTCTTTCGGACGCAGTTGCAAAGTTAATCGAGCCTGTGTCACAAACTGCGGAGGGGTTGCCGGTCGGACTCTCTCAAAGGCTGTTTGAAGTTCTAAAGAGTAGTGAAATTCTTTGGAAAGCTCCCTTCGCTCGACAGAAAGTAATATTCAAATGCTCCGCGGAAATCGTTGTCAAAGCGATTCGCAATATGGAGTGCTTTACTAAATACACCGCTTTACAATATCTTGACCGTTATAAGTCAAATATTCCAGTACCAAAGCCTCTTGATTTAGTACGTATGAGTGGGATTTCTTTAATATTCATGAGCTATATAGGATGTACGCCGCTTGGGGCAGTCTGGCATACACTCGACTCTTATCGAAAACACTCCCTTAGCAGCCAACTCAATACGATATTGGCAGATTTGCGAACCCTTCCTTTTACAGAAGGGAGTCCTCTAGGGGGGGTCGCAGGTGAAGGCTGTCGAGATCTCAGGAGACATATTCGAATAAGCGAGACACCTATCACTTGCCTTAAGGATTTTGAAACATTCCTATTCTCGAGCCCACATCCAGGCGGCAAGGTATTCGTCGAGTTTCTCCGTAAATTATCACCATCGTTTACAAACTATTCGGGCCCTCGTATCGTTTTCACACATGGAGATATAAGGCCAGACAATATCATGGTTGAGTTAGACGATAACAACAAGTACATCCTTTCTGGAATAATTGATTGGGAATATAGCGGTTTCTACCCTGACTATTATGAATCTGTGCGGTGCACAAACTGCCTCGGCCCTTACGAGGAAGACGACTGGTTCTTATATCTGCCAGAATGTGTCACCAAAATCCTACGCTCAGTGGTGGCTTCTCGATCGAGTCAGGGAAACTAGAGTTATATAAACCACCGCCGAAGCATAACTAGTCGGTGAGCAAAAGGCGGCATGGCCTCAGCACCAAAGCAGAAAGGGACGGCCAAGAAGTGGCAGAGGAAATCAAGTACATAGTGAACAGGGGAACGCTCAAGGCAGTATGCTCTGGGGCATACGGGTCGATTCAGCACTCGTAGTTCAGCTTCATACTCAACTTTGCATATTAAGGAATCCAGGTGCACTGCCCAAGAAGTGGATTCAGAGAGGTGTAGGAATGTGTATTCTCAATCTGTGTCTATCTGCTACTTGTAACCTCAAAGCCCAATGCTTAAATAAAACTCATAGGAATTAAGAAAGAAGAGGTGAGTGCAATGTGTAGTGGAGAGACTGTCTCCCCACCACGATAGGTATCCAGGCACATAGTTGAGGGTCTGCCGTAGCACTGTCGATCACCGTCTCCGCATTCCGTCATGTCTCCGCATTTAGGAACTTGAGTCTCCCTCCTTCATCTCTCTCTCACCCTGCTATTTTACTCGGTTCCTCATACTACTTAGTTTTTTGTTCAATCATATTAAAAACATCGTTATTTGTTGTCTCTTCCTAACAATCTAAAACCGTCATCATGGGTGGGGAAGTTCCCTTTCGCCCCGCTCCTCCAGCTTTACCCCAGTTAGCTGAACGCCCGGTCGGCCAGCGTATCAAGAAGATCTACACCGATCGCCTAAACCAGTTCACATCGAACGGCCAGTATGAAGGCCAAAACCTCATCTCAAAGTACCACGAAGCCACAAACTCGGACGAAGACCATGTCAAGCTCTTTGTTTACTCGGTTCCGGACTTACAGCGACCGACCTTCAAAGACGCGACCTCCCAGGAATTCAAGCCAACTCACATCGGCGCTTCTTTCGGTCCCAGCTGGTCCACACATTGGTTCCGGATTCACCTCACAGTGCCCGAAGACATGCTCCAACGGGAGCATCTAGAGTTCCACTGGGATGCCAACAACGAAGGTCTGATCTGGACAGAGGACGGTCACCCGCTGCAGGGCTTGACTGGAGGTGGGGAACGGACAGAGTTTGTTCTCCCCAAAGGCTGGTGTGATGGGAAGGAGCATACCTTCTATATTGAAATGGCTTGCAATGGCATGTTTGGCAACGCTCCTGGTGGTGATTCGATCCAGCCACCAAATCCCGATAAACACTTCACGCTCAGCACGGCGCGAATCACCGCGGTAAATCTAGCTGCCCGAGCACTTTTCTATGATTTTTGGATTATTGGAGATGCCGCCCGGGAATTCCCAGGTGAGTCGTGGGAGTCACATGAAGCCAATGTCGTGGCAAACTCTATCATCGATACCTTTATTGCCGGAAATGGAAGCAATGAGGCTATCAACGAGGCGCGGAAGATTGCTAGGAAATATCTCGGCGACAAAGTGGATTCGTCCGATGTTTACGACACAAACACGCAGCCAATAGTATATGCCATTGGCCATTGTCACATTGATACTTGCTGGCTGTGGCCTTGGGCTGAGACCAAGCGAAAAGTAGCACGGTCGTGGTCCAACCAATGTGATCTGATGGAACGATATCCTGAGCACCGTTTTGCTTGTTCTCAGGCTCAGCAGTTCAAATGGCTCAAGCAGTACTACCCATCTGTCTTTGATCGCGTGAAGCGCTGGGTAAAGAAGGGCAACTTCCAGCCTATCGGTGGGAGCTGGGTCGAGCATGATACAAACATGCCAAGTGGAGAGTCGCTGGTTAGGCAGTTTTTGTATGGACAGCGATTCTTCGAGGCAAACTTCGGTAAGCGAAGCACAACTTTCTGGTTGCCAGACACCTTCGGGTACTCTACGCAGATCCCTCAGATATGCCGCCTGGCTGGGATGAGCCGGTTCTTTACCCAGAAGCTCAGCTGGAACAACATCAATAACTTCCCTCACACTACATTCCAGTGGGTTGCGCTTGATGGCAGCCAAGTTATGTGCCACATGGCCCCTGCCGAGACCTACACGGCCGAAGCGCATTTCGGTGATGTCAAGCGCAGTGTCACTCAGCACAAGTCGCTAGACAACGACAAGACATCGCTACTTGTATTCGGAAAGGGCGATGGAGGTGGTGGCCCGACCTTTGGGCACCTCGAGAAGCTGCGTCGCTGTCGTGGTCTCAGTGATCAGGTTGGGTCATTACCTCGAGTGCAAATGGGCGAGTCAGTAGATGACTTCTTTGCAAAGTTAGAAGCAAAGGCTGCCTCTGGCACTGATTTTGCTACCTGGTACGGCGAGCTTTACTTTGAGTTGCACCGTGGTACATACACCACTCAAGCAAATAACAAGCGCAATAATCGCAAGTCCGAGTTCCTGCTGCGTGAGATCGAGCTTCTTGCAACCTTTGCAACCATCAATGCTTCCGATAATGGATATCAGTATCCCAAGAAGGAGATTGATGAAATGTGGGAAGGAACCCTTCTTTGTCAGTTCCATGACTGCTTGCCGGGTAGCTCCATCGAGATGTGCTATGACGACTCAGACAAGTTGTATGCCGAGATCTTTGAGACAGGAGCCAACTTGCGAAATAATGCCCTCGAAGCTTTGGGGCTCACCGGTGATATCACGAGTGGAAATGTCATGGCCCTCAACACCTTGCCATGGCCCCGATTAGAAGTAGTTGCAATTCCTCCAGCGATATCCGCTTACAATGGATCTAGATACGCCGTGGCTGATGGTACAACTGGGGTGATGCAAGTTCAGCCGGCTGACTTCAAGACAACCACTTCGGTGACTGTGGCCGAGATCAAATCTGGTGTCTTCCGCCTGGAGAACGGTAAACTCAGGGTGGATGTTCAGGACGGGGTTATCACATCCTTATACGATGTGGAAGCCGATAGAGAGGTCGTCGCAAAGGACCGCAAGGCTGGCCAGCTAGTCATCTTCGACGACAAGCCTCTTTACTGGCAAGCATGGGATGTCGAGGTGTTCCATCTTGAGTCACGAAAGGAGTTGGCCGGGGGTAAGACGACCATTGTAGAAAATGACCCGCACCGGGTGAGTGTCGCGACTGAGACACAGATCAGCGACAAGAGCTGGATCAAGACCACAATCAGCCTATCGGCATCCACATCTGATGAGCCCTCGTCTGTGGAAATGGAAAGCGAGGTGGAATGGCAAGAAACCATGAAATTCCTCAAGGTCGAGTTCCCAGTTGATATCACCAACACCGAGGCATCCTACGAGACCCAGTATGGCATTGTTAGGCGCCCGACCCATTATAACACAAGGTATGAACCGACTTTTTACAAAATTCGCAATGATACTAATTACTCTTCAGTTGGGACATGGCCAAATTCGAAGTCTGCTGTCACAAATGGGCCGACCTCTCCGAAAATGGCTATGGAGTCTCTATACTAAACGACTCTAAGTACGGCTTCGCAACATGCGGTAACTTGATGCGCCTTTCGCTTCTCCGTGCCCCCAAAGCACCAGACGCCCACGCTGACATGGGCCGCCACCACATTCGCTATGCAATTCTTCCTCACGCCGGTGCCCTTGATGCCCGAACAATCCGCGCAGGCTTCAATTTCAACAACCCACTTGTCGTTGAAACAGCCGGCCCTAGAGCGTTTGCTTCCGATGCCCTGTTCAAATCTCTGTCTATCAAGGGCGCACCTTCCTTGATTCTAGATGTTGTCAAGCGCGGCGAGGATGATGCTGATGTTTCGTGGGATGGTACTCCTACCCGTCCTGGGAAGAGTGTTATCCTGCGTGTCTATGAATCACTTGGTGGTAGGGCTCGTGGTGCCATTGAGACGACACTGCCTGTGAAGAGTGCCTTCAAGTGCAATATTCTCGAGGATATTGAGAATGACGGGCTCGATATTGCCATTGAAGATAGTCGTTCGGCGATCAAGATTGAGTTGAGGGCGTTTGAGGTCGCTACGTACCGACTGCAGCTGTGACTGTAAGGAACATGTTTGAGTGGCAGGCTTTAACCAAGCCTAGGAAGTATCGCAAGATACCTAGCTCATGTCGCATTCAATCGGAAGCAATGAAACAAATGATATATCCGACAAACGCTCTCTGTATAAGTTCGTGATTTACATGATATCGCATCGTAGGTGTAATAAGACAGATAAATCCCATTCCCATTTCCCGCTACGCCCACAACACGACTCCTCCCAGGAGTCATGTGAAAAGACAAACCAACCAACTCCGGAAAAGCCAAGCAGATGCAAGACAGACGCAGAACATAAAGAGGTGTAAATCTGCCAAGACTTAGTCTCTCCCGTAGCTGATCTTCAACCGCTTAACAGAAGGCTTGTCCTCGTCGGATATATCCTCGGTCTGGTTCTTGCCCTTAGTATTCTTCGACCCGCCAGTCGCCTTCTTCTTGTTTTTTGACGAGCCATTCGAGTTCTTCATCCCACTAGCGGAAATGGACAACGGGTCAATCTTCATGGACATACTTCCGCCAGTCGTAGATGTCGGCGTCGCTGCGTGGGAAGGCGTTGTTTGTACGGAGGAGGGTCCTGGGGAATCCTGCGGACACAACAATAATCGTTAGTCCCCAGTTCAAATCAAAAGCACCATAATCGGTATGCAAGGCGGGTAGTTCCTTGGTAGGTTCGGTTCTGCATACCAGCATGTAACTCGCCGAGCTCCGCGAGAAAACTCGATCCGATTCCGTCACCTGCGCCTTTCGTCTCGACCCGGCCATGCTACCGCCCAGACCTAGTCCTGCGGCGCCGAGACTCGACCCGCTCGCGGAGCCTTTGATGTAATTGTCGAAGCCCTTGATGATGTTTCCAGCGGTGGTTTCTTCCAGATATGATTGTTCGAAGCGGAATATTTGGTCTTCGAGTTGAGCCTAGTTGAAAGGTGTGTTAGCAATACATCACGATAGAACTGTTTACACGTCCATGGGCGGATATTGCGAGATGATGCAAGATTTGAGAACATGCTCGCGCAGCAAAAGAATAAAATCCCAGAAAGGTAACCACGTCCGGTCCCTAGAAGACGAGAACGCGCGAGACTGCACTCACCATGCTCTTATCCATTAATCGCTTTTTCTGTAGTGTGTCCCTCAGCTCACGGCGCAGTTTCTCGTAGTATGGTAACCCGCGACTCGCGGCATTCTGATCGGCAGGCGCATTCGGTGCCCCTGCTGTTGCGCCGGCTGTGGGCGCCGCAGCTCCGGTGGTTGCGGACGCGGGTGTTGGAGCTGGTGCTGTATCTGCCATTATTGGAAGGTTGAAACGTAATGGAGAGGTTATTTGCTTTACGTCAAACGGACGTATCGCATGCGCAGAATGGGTGAAATGAAGTTGAGATTGAAATGGAAATTGTGTCGGTGCGTAGTCAATGACCGCGTTGGGGACGAAGAGAGTTATAGCCGCTTGGGGATCTTATCAACGTTTGTCTTGTTTGCATTCCCCTCCTTGACCATCAATGCTTTGCTAGTTGTCTCTCCTCGTACCACCTGCTATCTTACGAGTACATTGTCATTTGTTCTATTGAGACATAAGAGGTCTCTTGTTACTTTTATTGCATATTTATTTACTACTATTCAAGATGGACCACTCGATGGATATGGACATGGGTCACGGTGGTATGGGCCACGGCGATATGGATATGGGTGGGAAATGCAATATGAACGTGAGATATAGCCTTCGGTCTGCTTTGATCCCATGCTGATACCGAATGTCTGAATTGTAGATGCTCTTCACCTGGTCCTCCGAGAATTTGTGCATCATCTTCCGCAGCTGGCATATCACCGGTCCATTCTCCTTCCTCTTCTCCCTCATCGCTATCGTTATCCTTGCTGCGGGCTACGAGGGAGTACGATCAGTGACTCGGAAATACGAGGCGGCCCATGCACAGCGGCTAAGTGCGTTCTCGGGCACTACAGCCACTACTGGGGGTAAGTGATTTGCTCTTTTTGTGCGCCAAGGTACAATGTCAAGCATACTACATTTCCAATGACCCCTGCTATGTTTTCGTTTGATATTGGAGATATGATAGGGAAATGGGATACTCGGAATGAGCAAGGTTCTTATTGATGCCTTGGCTCGCTGCAGACGCTGAGATCGCCGACCCTATCATTGCCAACGGCCTGGCTGATGCAATCCCTCACACTCACCACGAAAGCTCACCACTGCTTGTAGGAAGGGAGAACAGAGCGGCGTTGGTGCGCAAGGGCAAGTTTATCACGGCGGCTTTGTATGCCATCCAAGTATTCTATAGCTTCTTCATCATGTGAGTGCCTCCCAGTAACCCCTCAGGCTTTGTCCTAGCTTGCTGACTTGGTGGTTTAGGCTGCTCTTCATGACGTATAATGGGCAGGTCATGATCGCAGTTGCAGTAGGCGCGTTTGTTGGGTACTTGGCTTTCTCCGAAGGGACGCCAGCTGAAAAGACAATCGCGTGTCATTAAAGGGTGCAATCCAGGGGATTGGCGAATTTGCAGACTCAGAGGCAGGTGTAGAGAACAATGGCGAGTATGTCAGAAATTTGAACTGGTTTTCGGATTGGAATTGATGGGCCCTTTCCAGCGGAGAACGGTGCTGGTTTGTGGTTCCATCAATCTCTCCAGATTGCAGTAATAGTTCATATAGTTCATGGAACTTCAACATCACTCCCATCATCACCAAATCCAAAACTGAATCCACCACCTTCGGTATCTTGCCCATCAGGGGTGTCCTCTGTTTTCCCATGAACAATATCTTCCCACTTGCGCTTCTTGCCTTCGGTCTTCTTTTGCAACTCATCCCAAGCCTGCTCCAGCAGGTCGGGATATGCCTCGCGCATACCGGCCATAAACCGCTCACATGGGTTAGCCACGTTCTTCCGGAACCCAGAAACCTGGTCTGGCTTGTTAGACAAGAAATCTAAGGCAGCGCCGAGATGGCCTCGGGGAATAAAGTTCTGCGTGATAGCGATCGACGGCTCTAGGTTCACAACCAAATGCCACCACCCAGATGGAACGTGTAAGATCTCACCCTCACCGCAGATCCCTTCCACACAGCCTGGAGTCCGGCGTGCCTCAGCATGGAAGCCCAGTAACCACTCGGCAATGCTTAGCGGAGAAGTCACCTCACTCTGGTCATCCGACACAAAGACACCCGGAGGCGGGGGCTGTTTCGTGCTGGACGGGAACATAATCCAATATTTAGGACCACGTAGCACGGCGTTCCATGCGCTGGTGGCATTGGGGTCTTTGTGGAACTTGCTGCCGGACCGCTCGGGACCGATAATCAACCACTGATGGTCAGGGCGGTCCTCACCGAGCACGGAGAAGAAGTCTTCGGCGAAGCACGCTGGGGGCCAGTACGATGCATCGGGTGTGGTCTCTGGAGATCCCACGGACAGTCCCATCTTGGAGACGAAGGATCGGTCGAATAGGTACAGCGGGCTCTCGTCGGAGTTGTCCGCCATGTAGTCGCCGTAAGTGCGCATGGCCCAGTCCACGGCTTCGGCACGGAACTTGGTCTTCCCGTATCGGGCGAGGAGTGACCCCACAGTCCAGTTCTTATATGCTGGCCAGGCCTTGACAGGCTCAGTCAGGATGAATGGTCGGTCGGTCCAATTTGCTTGGAATTCCTCTGGTGACAGGTCTGGAAGTCGTGCAATTTGGTTCCGCGCCGGGATCTTGGAGACATAGGGGTCGAGTGAGATGTGTGCGCAGTTGAACGGCCGGTAGAGAGAATCGGAGAATAGCTGGGAACAGTCCACCATGGGCACTTTGGAAGCGGGGATGTTGAGATATGTTGACCGCCATGTCCCTCGCCATGTGAAATCTTCTCTTGGGTCACTGCAACCAGACTTAGTATGGATATCATTTGTGTTCATTGGGAAATTATTATATTATATGAATAAGGGCAAGGCTCAAGACCAAAAACATGACTCGGATCTACAAAATTCAACTTGGATCTGCAGGCTTATGGCTTACCGAACAAACAGCGCCTTCCACAGTTCTTCGGCCCGGGTAAAGGCATAGAAGGCCTTGCATGTCCGCCCGATTCTCAACAGGCTGGGCCCATCAAAGCCCTCCAACAATAATAGGATTAGTTCATCTGGCAGATGTTGAAAGGTCCCTATGGCGTTACGAAGACTCCAGGTAGCCAACAGAGCATTCCCGCTTGGCTTGACACCTAGTGGATGGGAGGGAATGGCCTCCCTTATGATCTCTGCATCCTGTGGTGGTGGATGACTCGGCAACGATGTTATGTCAGGCATGATCTGAGGCTGGCACTTTTAGGGCTTCAAAGATTCTGCTTAGTGGCGACCTGACCCAACTGGAAGGTAGTTCACCAAATAAATGGGGACAAGAGAAACTGAATTGACAAAACCAAAGAAACTGATTAGAACAACAATCTGCATCACAGCAATCAATCCAAAAGAATAAAATATGGACGTTTTCATGTTCATGTCGCCCACTCTAAACTCGCTTGGACTTGGCCACACCCAATAAGGAAAGCGGTGGGATAATGCCCCGTAAAAAAAAAAAGCGTAGCAAATGGCGCCGCAGTTGTGGCCATCCGATTTTTTCGCTTTTCTTCTCTTCCTCCTCCCACCCCATTTGTGAATTTCACATCCAACCACTTTTTTCAACCTTTCCTAGTATCTTATAAAAAGACTCTTTAATAAAGAGTCTGAGGTACTAGAAGTCAACTTTCCCACGCAGCGAACCTCCACAAGTTCGCTAAAGACTACCCCACCACACTGATCACAGACGCCTGTGATCCTTTCTATCAAACCGCAAATATGGCTGACAAGGGTCTTGAGGATCTCGCCGAGGGTATGTACTACATTCCTGTAACTTTTTGATCAAAGAACCGTTGCTTTGCTTTCGCTGGAAGTCGCAACCACGAGCGCATTCAGTCCTGGGTGGCGTCAGATACGGAGGGCGCTGTATGAAGATAGAGGCTAATATTGCATTTTTTTTCTTTCAACAGGGCAGATCGAGTCTAACTACGATGAGGTCACCGACTCCTTCGACTCCATGGACCTGAAGCCCGAGCTGCTTCGCGGTATGTACCCCCTTCGTCTTATCAGGTGGGGTTGAAAAAAAATTTACTAACGGTGGGATACCAGGTGTCTACGCTTACGGTTTCGAGCGTCCCTCCGCTATTCAGCAGCGTGCCATCATGCCCATCATCAAGGGTGAGTTTTGTTTTGTTCTAAACCCACTTTTGAAATTTGCGCCTAACCTGTGAGGTCAGGCAACGATGTTATCGCCCAGGCTCAGTCCGGTACCGGTAAGACCGCTACCTTCTCCATCTCCGCCCTGCAGAAGATCGACCCCGAGGTCAAGGCCTGCCAGGCTCTGATCCTTGCTCCCACCCGTGAGTTGGCTCAGCAGATCCAGAAGGTCGTTGTCGCCATCGGTGACTTCATGTCCCTCGACTGCCACGCCTGTATCGGTGGTACCAACGTCCGTGAGGATATGAACGCTCTCCGCGCCGGTCCCCAGGTCGTTGTCGGTACCCCCGGCCGTGTCCACGACATGATCCAGCGCCGTGTTCTGTCCACCACCGCCATGAAGCTCTTCATCCTCGACGAGGCCGATGAGATGCTGTCCGTAAGTTATTACAATTGATGTTATGTGTATCAAATCGGTTCTAACTTTTTTTTTTCCAGCGTGGTTTCACCGAGCAGATCTACGACATCTTCCAGCTGCTTCCCCAGTCTACCCAGGTTACCCTGCTCTCCGCTACCATGCCCCAGGATGTCCTTGAGGTCACCACCAAGTTCATGCGCGACCCCGTCCGTATCCTTGTCAAGAAGCAGGAACTTACCCTTGAGGGTATTAAGCAGTTCTACATTGCTGTTGAGAAGGAGGAGTGGAAGCTCGACACCCTCTCCGATCTTTACGAGACCGTCACCATTACCCAAGCTGTCATCTTCTGCAACACCCGCCGAAAGGTCGACTGGCTCACCGACAAGCTTACTGCCCGTGATTTCACCGTCTCCGCTATGCACGGCGACATGGAGCAGGGCCAGCGTGATGTTATCATGAAGGAGTTCCGTTCCGGTTCCTCCCGTGTCCTGATCGCCACTGACCTTTTGGCCCGTGGTATCGATGTCCAGCAGGTTTCCCTGGTCATCAACTACGATCTCCCCGCCAACCGTGAGAACTACATTCACCGTATCGGTCGTGGTGGTCGTTTCGGTCGCAAGGGTGTTGCTATTAACTTCGTCACCGCTGACGATGTTCGCATGCTCCGTGAGATCGAGCAGTTCTACTCCACCCAGGTTGAGGAGATGCCCATGAACGTGGCTGACCTCATCTAAACACCCTAACTCTTGACGTCTTGATGCGGTTTACGATCGCAGAATCTGCGTTAAAAGTGGCTTTCTGCGTTTCTGCCTGCAGTGTGCCGGGAAAATGAATGGGGCTATGCTTCCGCATATTGAGTCGACAAGTCGACGCCCCTGCCATTTTCCAGGCCCTTGCTATGGTTTCCTATGTCTTGCACCAACGGAGATGAGACATGTTTGCGTTCACCTGTTGCTACTCCGTTTTCTCTTATTTTTTACGCATTTCCCTCTGTTTTTCCCCTTGTCTGTATCTAGCTCGCTCTTGTTGGTTAAGGATGCTGCCTATTATCGTACTTAATCAATAGACCGGGCCAAAATGTGACTTGTTCCTCAGGGCGTCGTCCTTGAATGATATTAAAATCCGTATTCTGTTTATTGAATAGATATACATAGTGTAACCGTCATTAATTATCCCTGTCTATTCGATCACTATCGTCTTAAATGGTCAAATGTCGTGAGACTCTAGTAGCGCACAAGCGCAATTCGAGCCCCTTGGACAGCCATTGAGCCTCTTATCATCGCGAGGCCTGTACATTTGCCCTTGGTAGCCTAAAACTTCGTCACGAATTGGAGGATGAACACCTTTCTTGAGGCCCCATACCATTCACAAACTAACATACTCTCATAAAACAGAACCCTGCCCGATTAGTCATGACCAAGAGCCACATGTTTCGAACTCGCAATCAAAGTCAAGAGGTTGTCATCTAGGCGTTCTCCAGAAATAACCAGCTAATATGTCAGCGCTTACAATGCATGTCCAGGTGGGCTGTGAATTGGCCCTCCGGCTTGTCATTTCTGAGACTTTGGAGTATTTGCAGTGCCTTGACTGGCTCTATATCTGTCACTCTATCCGTCTTTTGCAGACATGAATCACTCGGAACACGTTCCGATGCTCGGACAAGCGAGCCGATGGTTGTGTCTTAATATGGAACCATTATATTAATTTTTGAAGGACGAACGTTATAATATAAGGAGCAGGTATTCAGATTCTTGTGCGCATAATACCATAATATCCCAGTTAGTTCGACCTACGACGCATAAAGTTCTTTAATCTATGTAGTAGTCATGAAATATATAACTGGTAGCGGAAGCTGATATTATGTTCAAAAGTACCCTAAATTATCATGTATCATTACATTCTATGTTACTAGTTACTAGATATATTAATTAGGTATGTTTCTCCCTTTTTTCACCTATCTTTCACCATCTTAGTCCTCTACAGAGTGGGTAAAGAAACAAGCGGTCGGCGCAGAAACCCGCCATCTCTGGAGTTCTCCGCATCTTTCGGAGAACACCCGAACCTCCGATTAACCCCCACGACTTCTTTCTTGATTCCTCTTCTTTGTCAACCGCATAGCTTCAATTCCCTCCAAAATGGCCTCCATCCGCGCCAACTGTCGCAAGATTATGTGCATCGGCCGTAACTACGCGTGAGTCTCCTTGTCTCCCCGCGCCTTGCTTCCCTCGGGAGTTCCGACAGCGGCGTCGCTTTTTGTCTCCCTCGTTCACAATTGCTAACAGGATGGATTGATACAGCGATCACATTACCGAGCTCAACAACACAGCCCCCAAGCAGCCATTCTTCTTCCTCAAGCCCCCATCATCCATCCTCCTCCCCGGCTCGGGTCCCGTCCTCCGCCCCAAGGGCGTCAGCCTACACTATGAGGTCGAACTAGGTCTAGTGATCGGCAAGACCTTGCGCGATCTCGATCCCAACGATGAGAAGGCCGCATTGGACGCGATTCAGAGTGAGTACAGCATGCAATCCGGGTCTGAACGCACATACCGCACTGTACATCACAGCGATGGGACCAAGGATATGAGCTTGAAGTAGCAGATAGCTAACAAACAAACCCATTGCGGTAAAAAGGCTACATCCTTGCTATTGATATGACTGCCCGCAACGTGCAAGACGAGGCAAAGAAGAAGGGCCTTCCCTGGTCCATCGCCAAGGGCTTCGACACCTTCCTCCCTATCTCGCAGGAGATCGCCAAGTCGCGCATCCCTAACCCGCACGAGGCATTCCTGCGCCTCAGCCTTGGCCAGACCGAGCGCCAGGCTGACTCGACTAGTCTGATGCTGTACCGCATTCCCCAGCAGTTGGCGCAGATTTCGCGCGTGATGACGCTTGAGAAGGGTGACATTGTTCTTACTGGTACGCCTAAGGGTGTTGGGCAGGTCAAGGCGGGTGATGTTATGAGGGCATCCATCGAGGTTGGTGGGAAGGAGATTGAGGAGGGTCGGATTGAGGTTGAGGTGCAAGATCGCGAGGGGCGATATGAGTTCAAGGAGACTTAGATTTATCTTTTGATGGTTGTATATTTTGACTTAATTAGAGCTTAGAAGTATATATGGTGAAATCGTCATTTTGGGATTCAAGACAAAAGCCGATCGCACCAAGGGTTCTTCTATGATCTACCAGGGATACACCTAGGAAACGAGAAAAAAAAAAACAAGAAAAAAAATAAAAAAATAAAAAAAATAAAAAATAAAAAAACATAACAGATTATTTAAACAAATCCAGGGAGCATCCATAGCAGTATCTCCCATCAGAATCGAGAGTGAGGTTCCCTATCTGCCAAGACATTGCAATATTTGGCTCTGACTTCCAAGGACAACAATCTCTCCCGACTCAGACACTAGACCCATCAACATGCAAGTCGCAGAGATCCTCTCAGACATTAATTCCCTCCGCGTCTGCGTAAGTATCATGCTTCCTTCTTCCAGAAGGCTGCCCCACTAGGTAATATGGCAATGCTGACAACATGGCACAGGGTCATAACGAGGCCCTAGCACTGGTGAATGTGCACAAAAATATCACAGGCTCAGATTCAACCGAGTCTGGTAGTGCATTGGCCGATAAGAGCCCGACAGACGACAAGGCCGATCTTCGTCGTGCAAAGGAACTGGTTAAGCTACACTACGAGGTGAAGGCGAGACATGCCAACGGAACCGTCGATGAGGAGCTGAGTCAAGCTCGGCAAGATGTCCGGCGAGTTCTGAGAGAGCTGTCGACTGTCTAAACCACAGTCATTGGGTCCTTCTTTTTTTCTTCCCTTCGCTCTCTCACGATTTATATGACTAAGTGCATGGAATTTGGTTGACTGGTTTAGTCCAAAATATCTTATTGGATTGCTATTGACTCGGTGCTTACCACACACACCCAGACCTCGAGAAAAGGACTGTGCGAGCACGATGAATTATATGCGATATATTTTTTATAGTATAAGCCAGTGGAGGTCTTACAACTTTATCAAAAATATATATCTATACAATTTTACAATGTATACTTCTACAGCACAACATATGTTATAAGTTTAGTGATGCAAACCCCACGGATGGATGTGTTTTTTTGTCCTCATCACGTGGTTAGTACTCTCCAAGGCGATCGAATATGGTCTGGGGCTCGGGAAATACTTGTTCAAGGCGAATGGGCAGCTGTACGTCCCCAGACGTAGGTTACATGACGCTCTACGAGTGTTTACACCTGTGTCTCCCACTAATGGAAACAACGCTTTTATGGCAGAATCTCAAGGCAGACGAGCACCCCAGCTGTCACTCCATAAAGTCTCTACATCAGTGCCAAAAACCAACTTTCGAAGCTTGGTTGAAGGCTGCATGGTTCCTTGCGCACATGTGCAGCTAGGGGTTCGCCTATGAAAAACCCAACTCAATCATGTTCGACTGCCGCACAGCTGCTCAAGTGGAATTCATTGAAAAGTAGCCGCAATATCTATTATACGTACGCAACGATGCCTCTTCTCAACAGTCCAGGGCTAGAATTTTTTAAATCTGGAGCAAGTGATAACAAGATCCTGACCGCGGCACCGATAACTATCGCACTTCTGTCATATGCTAATTCTCCTCCTAGACATACTATTATAGTGTAGTTGATGCCCTAGACCTCCATGAAAAAGGACTTTATTGGGTATGTCTTTTCATGGGTGATTTTTGCTTTCGCAAAAATCTTCCCCCAGGTCTGCTGCATGGGTGATGATTTCCCCCGTATGTCCTCTTCCGTCGAGATTAATCTCGCCCAGAATGTCGTATAAACATGCGGTATGGCAATTCGCACTGAGCCAGTGTAGGCTTGTTGCACGAGTGGAAGCTCTGGACCTGTTCCATCATAGGCTGCCTCTGCAGCCATGACGAATGCTGGCGATGGCAAGACCGGAAAGGATATGACTGACTCGATGGCTTCTGCATTGGCATAGAGAAATGCGTCGTGGCGGAGGCCTGGTTCAACTTTGTTCTCTTCGCAAAGACGTCGGAAGTAGCTAGGAAATCTCTGTCAGCGGAGTGCTAGAGCTAAGTAGGGTAAGAAAAGGTGGAAAGCTAAGGGATGTCTTGCCTGCAAAGATCGATTAATGAGGCATTCTCCATAGCTGGATCCTCTACCCACTGTATCTTCCATCGCGGGCGAATACTATGGAAGTTCCGAGGGAATACCAGTGCAGATTCAGTAGCATGAACGAAGAATTCCTTGAACTTCTCCCATGAGTCATCGCCGAACGAAGTCCGTACGCACACAAATCCCCACGCGGGATGCTCTTCCAGATGTTTTTCGAGTTTGTCGACCCATCCTATCGCATTGCACCCCACAATATTGATGAGTTCATCTTTGGAGAAATTCTTGGATTCGGCCCTCCTGGTATCTTTGATCCGCTCAAAAGCAATATCGGCATTCGCACGCGCTCTCTTCTCTGTATCCATCTCCGTAAGAATCAAGTCAAAGGCATTATCGAACTTCGTCTTTGTATTCTGGGACCACCGATTTTGATTTGCCAGATGTTTTTGATCCTCCGGGATACAGCCGCCGAAAGGAGTGTTGAGAACAATAATCGCCTCGGCCTCGGTGAGACTCTCCTGGCCATCTGCTCTGGCGGCCTTTTGAACAAGCTCGTCGATAGTACATTCAAGGTAAAAGTTGCAGTAATAATTTGCTTGGTCTAAAGGCCATCGGCGAAGCATTCTCAGACGATCTTCGGTGGTAAGGATGGAGGGATCGTTTTCATTGACAGCTCTCTCCCATTTATCGATGTTTTCTTGTGGCGGCTGTGGCCCACCACGGCTGAGGGATGCCCATTTACTCATGGCTTAGTTTGTCCGTGAGATCATGAGGCCAGAGAGGTGGCAAGTCTAGAGAGGTGGTAGGTCTAGGTCACCTGTAACGTGGAGAGAGTAAGAAGATGAGAAGATGAGAAGCAACCACGAAATACCCGAGGGTGCGGGGTGGCTCTAGGCGAGTCTTATTTGAGCTCTGTGCACTTTGACGTATTCTCTCACCAGTTACGGATAACTGCTCAATCACTGTAGGTTACCAAAACACTGTATATTCCTATTGCGTAGTCTGTCTGAAAATAACTGTTTGGTTCGAGAAGATCTCTGGGGACGACTCTTATGTTGGAATTGTATACAGTCCCGTTCGGATCTCTGTTTGTCCCAGTTTATCAACAGTCTAGTAGGCGCGGTAGGTTCTGCAACTCTAGGCTATGTTTAGAAATACATAGCAGAGTAGAATTATTAGAATCGTTGGTTGCCTTGAGATTCTCGTAGTTTCGTGACTTACTGGCAGTATAGTGCCTTGTATTAGGGTTCGTAGCGAGAAGGGCGGAACTATTGTTGCCGAAGCAGTAAGGAAGGGACCGCTGAATACTGAAACTTTCTCTAGCTGTATTATTGGAGGAAAACGGACGCCGACCCCCTAGGGTGTGCTTGAAAATATTAGTAATATCCCGGTTGGAATACCCAGGACCGTATTGGTCGGAGTACGGACTGCCAGTTTTAGGGTCTATCGCTAAGGGTAGATCAGCTTTGGTTAGCTCGTTAGGGGTCAAAAAGATAAGCTTAGGTGGATTAAGCGTTCCCTAGGCACGCCACTAAACCTTCCGAATCAAAAAAATGTATCGTCTTTGATATTAGGGGTATCTCTGTTCGTATTAGGAGTAACGCCTCTAGACTGGTGTAAAATATTCACCTGGCCGTTGCTTCTAACCTGATGATCTATGATACTATCCTACCTTGCTGGCTGGCTTGTATCAGTCCACGGCTAGTTATCGGCTGAGGATCAGGGGAATCTAGATAAGCTTTGTGTCTGCTCATCGCATATATTTCACCCGACGTGTTTGCCCGTGGCCGTGGTGAGGTGTCAATAAGCCCGTAAGAGAAATAACATATTTTAGGCAACGAAGCGTGGTGCCTAAGTGGTGGAAGTGACTCGTCAACGGCTGTATATAGTATGAATATTGTGTATACTGATGTCATTGTCCCTGAATTCAACGATTAAAAATTACCTAGCCGCACTAGAAAGCACTCTATAACATAATGCCATGCAAAGCAGCCTACGCAGCTATTCGCAAGGATGTCTTGACGACTTTATTATAGGGAATTCTTTTTGGACTATCAACCACAGCTCATCGTCTATTCTTACTAAAGTAACTTGAACTATTGAAAGTATGGATGCATGAAATCGCTAGCCGAGGATAGGTGAACAAATCATCATTTGCAAAGATTCCTCACGACTTTACTAAGTCTGCTCCGGTGTATCTTTATCAACCTGCTGCAGATCCTGGTCTGTCACTAGCATTGGGGCTGAGTAGTAGGAGTTCTCGATAGTCAGTCGTCTGTTCATCAGAAACATAGTTGCAGACATACCAATTGTGAGCCAAGGAAAGCCCAAAATCCTAAAGTATCCGCTAATAAAATAAATCCTTGGCCGGTTTCCCGAAGGCGTATGCCCACACAGACATCTGCATCGCATATCTTGCTATATTCGGACACTTTTTTCATTAGGCTTGATTTGCGACGGCCTTGTTTTTAGCGTATATACTTTTTGACCCATTTAGACCGATTGGATAGAGTGGGAGCTATAGAAGCTATTTTAAGAAATGCCTCAAAAGAGTCACTGTTAGGAATAACTGGAAGAGACTGGGGCACTTAATAGTCGTAGGTATAGAATAAATAAGAATCTCTCGGGGATCCTTAAGGCTTCAAATAGGTACATAAATAAGGACAATCTCTATGTTGATAGGTTTTGCGTTCAAAAGCAGAGCTGCGCTTCAAAAACCGTGGTCTTTAGAGTTCATGGCCAACGAAGGCCGAAAACAGTCCACCTAGTAGGTAATAAATTCACCGCAGGCAACGGATTTTGCGTTGAAAATCATTGTCAAAGGTGATCGAGGAATCCGCGCTCGAGAAACTGAGGTCCTGAGAGTTCATGACCAGCAAACAATCTCGAAACGGTTCTTTCAGCAGGCAATGAAAGCAAGAGGTGCCTTCGGGTCACGAAACAGGCATGGGGAGTTGATTGCCACACCACTTTTGACTCCTGCCGCACCGAAACAGGGAAAAGAGACTTTTTTTTTTCAACATCAAATGATACCTTTCAAAGCAATTAATGGTGTCGAAGAATGTATCAAGTCGAGGCCTGTTTATAACTGGGAATTCCTCAATTCGAGGGCCAACCGAGTAAACATTGATTGACTGCTTGGAAACGTTCGGTCAACTACACACATAGCGTAGCTAACCATTATAAAAACCTCACAAATCTTTCCGGGCATACTGTACGATCTGATCGTGAGCAACTACACGTCCTTCGGTCGTCTTGCACAAATATCCAATTTCCCTGACCCGAGTCTGAATCCCTTTATCCTTTAGCACTCGCAACAGGGCCGAAGACAGTTCTGATCCGGTTATTTTCGGTGCCGAATTGGGGCTTCCGTGTAAGCCTATGCCTAGCCACTCTACTCGGGCCGGGCAATCGTATGTGTCGAACCACTGGGGCAGAATGACCTGCGGAACACCAGCCCTGGGCAGAGGCATCAGCACCCTTTCTTCCATCAATTTGTGGCCCCAAGAAAAACTTACTTGCACGCCTCGAAAAAGGAGTTGGCTCCTCCATGGTGGACATATGCAACTATATTACCGCCTTCCAAAATAGATATAATCTCTGGCTGGATCCATGGAAAAGTTCTCACTTTATCAGTTTGAACGAGAGGTCCGAGAATATCCTTGACCGTCGGGGAGTTTTCCCAGTCATATTTGAGTTTCCACAAGACCTGCATATTAGAAAACTCATGCATAACAGCCTGTATTGCCACTGCCATCTGTATTGCATCATTCTCTGGAGCTTGAACATGTGATCCAAGACAAATCAGAATTGTTGGCTCCTTCAGCCACGAATCCAGTGCTGGATTGTTTTCTATAAGCGACGAAAATGACCGGACGATCGGACCGCAGCCGATAACATTATCTGGCACGTATAATGGAAAATCTATCTCGCGAAATGAAGGCGAGAGGTGCAGATGGTTTTCGCAGTAAGGCGCCACATGGGGAAATGGAGTGCGGATTCCTGCTTTCTTCCGAATGTCCAGAAGATCGCGCATCGGTTTGCCTAAGCCAACAATCCACCCGAAGCAAAATACCATGTATATATTTGCAAGGATCAATCTCCATGGTAGAGGATATGGATATCCTGACCCGGTACTGAATATTGAAGTCAGCGAGATCCTCGAACTCCTCCCGGGAGATATGAGTTGCTTACAGGGGATATTTCCAGAAAATGCCAGCTTTTGGCTGGACAGTTACCACCACATCTTTCAAAGGCACAGGCCAGAGTATCACGATTCGCGAGTCAGCACTGCGAGCGGCATCTAGTCCTAGATGCAACAACGGATCTGCAACCACGACGACCGGACGGACATCTCTCAATATCTCGAGACAGCTTCGGTATGACAGTATATACTCGTCAGGTGTCCATCCCAACACGGATATATTAATTATGTTACATGCATCATGCGTTCCGGCAAGCCCTGGCCGATGACATATATCCAGTGTTGTACGGGGTACGATCTCGGACAGGGACGGACCTGCAATTGGATGAAATTGAATGTCTTGGTCGTACTCCGCTTTGTCATTTATCGCTTGCACACGAGCTGATAATTCCTTGAACGAGGCGATGTGGACTTCGAACTCTCCGCGGTGCAGAAACTCTTCGGCCACTGCAAGTGCTACGTTGGACTGTCCATGCTCGGGGCTTGTAAGGAAAAGGATGGTTTGTTTTGGAAGTGCCATTCTGTTTCCTTTTTTCGCTCAAGTATTCGCATGGGCCAAATTGAATAGGTTGTTTCTGGTCGTCAGTTTTATTTTAAGTATCTGAACACGCATCCCACCCTCATGAGATTGCGTTGTCGCATTCTATAAATACTAGCCGATGTATGGTTACTCGGTGCCTATTGGAGTGGACAAAAGGGAATATTGATGGGCTGAGTGCTTTCGTATTGATTCAATAGGGAAGGTAGTAGCCGGTTGTTATATTCGTGGATAATCTCATAAAAGACCCGGATCGAATCCTTAAGCTTTATAAAACCCGCTTGTGCACTATTAGACATCCTTTAATTAATAATAATAATTACTCCTATAGTAATGGGAACATGGACTTCGGATAAGTAAGAGAAAATGAACAAATTAATGGCCTATATCTAATTTTTGACCTAGGTATCCAAGTTTTCGCAAGCAGCCAAGAGTCACGGCCAAGCCGACCAAGTTCAGTGAGAACAAAAAAAGAATGCAGTCCTATAGCCGGTCATCCATATCTCTGGGGAGTCATGCAAAGAAGTACTTTGGTTGGGCGTGTGTAGTAGCTGTGTGCTGGCATCGTTTGAAACAAGTGCAGTCAGTGCCATGCCTACAGAGGCTCCAACCATTGCCACAGTGCAGAGCACGCCCATTGCAAGACCTCGAGTCTCTGAAGGAATAGAGCCAGCGAGTATCATTATCGCAATTGGGATAACAGAATTTGATGCCACCGAGTTTAATGAAACGGCTAGCATTGCACATTTCCAATAAGGCCAAGTTATGTTCAATGTAGCCATCAACAGTGGGGAGAGACTAGAGAGCACTATTGCAATGACGAGGATCTGGTTGGCTTCAACACGGGATGAGCAATATCTAGTGAGCAGAGTGCTTAGAGCGCCGACGATTGGGATTGTCACATATCGCCAAGAAGATTGTAGAGCCGAAAGCCCTTGTGCTCGTTGGAACACGAGGACCATAAGCTGCGAAGTAGAGTGGGAAGACGCATAGATGAAGAAAATAACCAGACCGATGGAAAGGAAATGACAGTTTGTCCAAAATGAATTCCGAATGCCTTGTGTGCTGTCTCTTTCCCAACAATCATGCCAGAACAGAAAAGCGACAAGGAGGATCCAACCAAGAGCAAGAGGAACAAAGAGGCCCGAACGGCCAATGTTTGCCACATTGTTTGTGATGACACTAGTTTGAATTTGATCAGTATGAGAATATAAACCGTCATTAGGATGGGGATGCGTACGCCAATGCAGAGAATAGGAGCGCCGTCAATGAACTAGCGAGCAGAGTTCCAGACCACTCGATATCTTCAGCTAGCTCTGTCCATGGGATATACTTTGGTTCGCGGGGCTGTTGTGGAATCGTCCAGATTGATAGGAGAAACCCAACTAGGCTCACAATTGCAGCGCAATGAAAGCCCCATCGCCAACCGGTAGTCTCCGAGAGTAACCCACTAAGGACGATGCCTATACCAGAGCCAATGTATTGACTTGTACTCGTACAGGAAAACGCTAAATTGCGTAACTTCCCAATTGGCAGATTCTCCCCATGAATGCTCAGTGCCGAAATGAAACACATTGGGTAAGCTATGCCGGATACCAATCTGGCAGCGATAAGTTGCGCGCCAGTCCGGGCTAGTCCACTAGCCAGATGGCAAACGGTCTGTAGAAAACATCCATATAGAAATGTTCTCCTGCTACCTAGGATATCTGCTAAAGAGCCTGCCAGCAGGAATGTGCAGCCTTGAGCAAGATAGTACATTGACATTGGCCTGTCGAGTTGTGAGCTTGGCGTATTCTGTGTAACCAGATACAAAACCGGCTTGAGTACTGGAGATGTCTCTCACCATAATTCAACCCCCGGGTCTAATCTAAATTCGGATGAAAATTGTATGATATTGAGGGTAACTAGGCCATTGACTGCACTGGCAATAAACAATACCGAAGTCGTGCAAATTATGATGGCAAGTCCATGAGAGTGGGTGTCCGAGCGGGCGGAGGGGGACCCGAGAAGCGGCTGATCCTCAGGGATCCGGAGACCATCTAAACATTGATATTCTGACACGAGATTATGTGTAGCTTTTTGCATCATTGAACTGATTTGAGATGCCTGGCAGTTAGGGACAAAATGTTTTCAAACTTGAAAAGGAAAAGAACAAAAAGGAAATAAATAAACCCGAGGAGCTGAGACCCTATTGTATATTTTAATTTCAACTAATCACATGTGGATCCACTATTCAAGGTTGCCCCTTGCTGGGCTCTTATACCATTGGTCAGCTTTGTTTGCACTTGTCAGGTAATTTTTCATTGTTTGCGGTATTTTTCACCTTCCAAGACTTTAGTAGTCGGATTTCTTAGTCTATATTTCCCGAGCAAGGTGGCACGTAGGAGACACACTCAATTATGCTACATGGCCAGACTAGACCGATTGGTCTGTTTATTACATAGGTATCTATTGGGAATTAGCGTGTTATGGAACCTTTGGAACTAGAATGGTTTAGTGTCCCTTGAATCTACTATATATGAGTCTACTAGTGACGATGGACATGATCCTTCAAAGAGTTTAAATGGACGTTTCCAAAAGAAAGGAAAGGCCTGTATAAGCAAGGGTAACTGCATTATCCCCTTCCGAGACAAATTCACAACTTCACTCTTCTACATCTAACACCCAAGAATACTCGTGACAACGGCCGGGAACCTACCATTTTCCTGAGTCAAAATGCACCTTGATAGTGACTACTTCTCGACTTAGATCTTTTGTAAGTATTTTCTATGTTCTTGTATAATCTTTACTTGTTACAAACCCTGGTCTTGAGGTTCTCGACATACCCTATACCAAAATGGTTGCACGGCATTTACTTTCGGTGCAAGAGGTGATCAAACACAATGAGGCAGATTATTGCTGAATAGTAGTGGGAAAGAAAGTGTGGGGCTTTACACAATTTGCAAGCATTCACCCAGATGGTTCCAACAGTATCCAATTCCAGACACGGCTAGCTGAAGCTCAGTGAAGATGACTGACTTAGTATAGCCATTCTTCAATGCGCGGGCCATGACGTAACACATTTGTGTCACCAGGTCCACATCGATGGCCTGATCGAGAGCACCCTGTCCTTGCCTAAACATATGGGATATCCTGATCCTAACAGTATCGATGGTGCATGGCGACAGCGTCGGAGCGGCTCGCCATCGAAACCTACAACAACAGGTTCGGAGGTCTCCAAGCCCCTGTCCAGCATACCCAGCACTTATGATTTTGATAGAGTCGCCCAAGAGACCCTGTCATTGAAGGCATGGGTATTCTATTCATCTGCGGCCAATGACCTCATCTCAAGACCAGCGAATTGGCCATTCTACAGTAGAATATGGTTCCGAACTCGGTTGATGCGAGATGTTACAGATGTGGATACATGATGCCACTTTAGAGGGATTGAAACATCTTCACCTATCATAGTCGCACCTGCTGCGGTGGGTAAGCTTGCTCACGAGACAGGAGAAAAGGGATTGTGAGGGCTGCGGCAGCCAGAAACATAACATACTGTATAGGTTGCTCACATACACCACCAAAATACAACTAATAACGTCCACAAGGATGGGTCGGTGACCAAATCACTTCTTAAAAGAGTTTTGGCAGCGGGCATTCGTGCGATCATCGTGACAATAGACGCACCAACTTAACTTCCTCGAAGTATACCCCTTTATATAAATTGAAGGTTTTAAATCGGAGTCTATTAAATATAGCTTCCTTCCTCGGGAAGCGGGGGATGAATGTGTGCGCACTCAGCACCGAACAAGCCAACTTAATGCCTATAACCGGTACAACAGCCAGAAATGAGAAGATAGGAAGTGGAGTTACCAGAACAACTGGCGACTTTATTGATAGTTCGCTGAGTTCGAGGGATCTGACATAGCCGAAGGAAATTTGGGGGGAGAAGTTGATGCTGAAGCGGATCCAATGCCGTAATGATTCCAAACTGCGGCTCAACCAAAGATTCAAGGTATTGTATCGAGGTAAGTCTGCATTTAGCTACCGTGGGTTTAGATTCTATCAGAGTGTTACTTCAGCAGCCACGGAGGTAGAACATTGGACATTTCACTGCTGACATTTTTGACCCTGCTGGAGCTGCATTATCAAGGTCCGGCCATTTTTCAACAAACAGAACTATATACTGACAGGGATAACTCGTGGAACAGATATTCTCAAGGTTCTTTGTCTAGGGGAAGGGTGTACTTATTGGGCGTCCATTTCTATATGTACTCAACTACGGCGAAGAAGGTGTCGTTCATTTGTTTGACAGTATGCCCAAGAGTCCCGTCAGTCCCGTGATTTCTATATTTTCTAACTCACTTTAGTTCACAAAGAGAACTGGAAACTGCTATGAGACTTGTTGGAATCACCAATGTTTCACAGACACATCCGGGGCTGCTGAACACAAATGATATTGATCATCTGGTTATAGCCAAGGATCTCAATGTTCGGTGAGAACCCAAGCTATAAACATAATTTGTTATTGGAAGAATATATCGCAGTGAAGAGGGTGACATCCTAACACCAAATCAAGAAAATCCAGAGAAGTCAAGATAATTATTGGAAAACACCATATATCAAGCAGGAAACCCGCATTTCCAAAAGAATCCCGATTAAATACCCTCTAGGTCTGGTGCATTGCTCGCCTCCCATGGATGTTTCTGCTCCACTGAACGAATGAGGGATTCATGAGCCGTACTGCGAGGTTCGATGTGGAAACTCCATGGTGCCGGATGACTGATAACCCCAGGCTGGAATTTTGGTTGGACATCAACTTCTTTCCCGTCTTTGACGGCTTTCCTTATATTAAATACAGCAAGCGATTGCGCTGCACTCAAATACAGTGTGTTATCTGCCAAGATACGCGCGGGACAGATGCGACGCCCAAATCCAAAGGCAAGATCATGAGGATCTAACTCGGGCTCACGTCCATCAATTCCTAGAAAGCGCTCTGGTTTAAATACCATGGGATCATGATAGACAGCAGGATCATGCATCATACCCCTTTGGTAGGTGTCAGTAGAGCATGTATTTAAGAGTCAACGCACTAAATGGGGCCTTAGACTCACCAGATGTTAGGCATAACCAATGAACCCTTTGGAATAAAATATTCTCCCCAGGTATCATCTTCACTTGTCGCGTGGGGAAGACCCATGGGTGCCACCGGATGCCACCGCAAAACTTCCTTCACCATAGCATCGATATACGGCAAACGAGAGCGATCGGCGACTGTTGGAAGCTGGCAAGGTCCCAAAACCCGATCGATTTCATTTTGTGCTTTACCTTGAACCTCGGGATACAGTGTCATTGCAAGGAAAAGACATTCCATAGCACACACAGTCTAGAGAGATTTAGTCAAAGACTAGAAAAGAAGGGTCAAATATCTCACGGTATCAGCACCACCTGCATAAAGTGACGCAGCAGACCACTTAGCAACAAACTCTTCTTCCGAGCCGGATGGAGGGCACCCCGTTGTTTTAAATAAGCTAGAAAGATAAGAAGGCTGAGACCGACCTTCTTCCGTTTGCCGACGTGTGAATGCGTAGGGCTTTTCCGCGAAAATCATGAGATTCTTCTTCCATGCTTGAGCAGTGCGCTTGAAACTTGCCCCAGGAAGCCAAGAAGGGACGTGTTTTACTGTTCTTTGTTAATACCACCTTAGCAATTAGTGCAAGGCGAATATAATGACATACGAGGTGGAATAATATCAACCAGCCAGGTACCCGGTGTACTGGCCTGGGAAAAATGATCGAGAGCCAGATTTGCAATATGCACCAAAGGATCCCGCCTGTGTGGCTCAATAGTATACCCGTATGCGATTTTAAGAATGATCGCGCCAGCCTCTCTGTGAAAACATAAGTTTCAAGGTCTTTGCATTGAATGGGACAATTGGGATATCTGCTCACGTTTGAATGTGCTCTATGAGCTTCGTCGGATCTTCGAGGACACGAAATAGAAAGCGGTTTGTTTCTACTTCTTGTAGAGTATTGAACTGGGCCACAGCCGATTCAGATCCAATATATGGTTGCATTGCCTTGCGATAGGAGCGAAATCGAGCAGAGTATTTTTGCATTGCCAAAAAATTCTCCCACCCCACCCTGCATTGGTTATCAATGCGTCAGCTTTATGTCTAGATCTGAACAACCAGGTGTACTTACATTTCGGACGCAAAGACTAGATTTGGCCTTGAGGAGTATTTTGAAGAGCGCTTTGCTAGAAGTTCCATAGCCGGTTTTGCGTCATTCAATATTATGATTGTTTGTCCCAGCACCGTGATAGAGCTGACCGGCCCTGGAAATTCATTGCGTCAGTGTGTGTTTTGAAAAACAAGAATTGCCGTAAAAGCATACCATAAGCATCTTTGTATTGAAGCCAATGCATCCAATCTTGCGTCCCCGACGGCGGTAGATCAGATATGTTGCCAAACACTGGCGTCGGCTTTGGGCCTGGTGGCAGAGGGCCAGCAAGCCTCTGGCGGCTCAACAGTATTTTGGCGACATAGAGGATGAGGATTCCTAGCAAAAAACTAGAGATAACTGTGAATAACATCGAGGCGGGTGAGTACCAAGAAACGAGAGTGGCGGACGAAATAAAGAAGGTTATAACACAAAAAAATATGACATCTGCTAACCCCACTTGGTAACCTGTACGTCTCACTCTGCTTGGACGAAAAAAAAAAATCAAGGTTCTATGAATATGGCTGTGCTGAGGTTCTAACGTTCTCCTATTGGTTTTTAGTTTAGGAGAGTCTCCGCATGTACGTGTCCCTTGCTTCCCCGCTGCAGTAATACCAGAACTAGAATGTGTTAAGTACATATGCAAGTACGTAGGTAAATGCTACAAGAGTACACCTCTGGTATGTGGATAATAAATGTAGGTGACAGCACCTCGGACCATGTTACCAGCCGCGAATGCCACCTATTCCACTGTTTCTCACTACTGTATTCGATCAAGGCTAGGACACGAAGTTGCCTGCCTTCAATGTCAGTTTAAGACTAGTTCATAATTAAGGAATGAATTTCTACAAGAAAACCCAATGAGATGTACATTTACATATCGTGATCACATTCTTGAAAGATGTGGGCTAACGGCCCGGCGGGTAATTTTGAGCCGCTTGTGCAAGCTTTTTTCCCCCATGGTTTTGATCACCAGTGATCCATAGCCTGGGGACTCCAATTCCAAGGTTGAGCTGAGCTTATTAAAATCTTGGGAAATTAAGATTCCAAACATCGGTCAAAGCATTAATTTTTTTCGCATGTCAAACCCTGGAGGAACCCAGTCGGATCCAACAAACTGGCCAATAAATTGGACATCGGGTTGGGTGTGGGTCCGGCTCAAATTGTGATGAGTGTAAACCCAGACTTCAGTTGACTCTCACCTCTCACCTCTCACCTCTCACACCAGACGCGGTGATGTATGGGCTGTATCACTCGACAGGTGCAAATATATTGGAATTCTTCTGCTTCTACCTGGTTCAGAATGTTGTCCCTGCCGTTTTCATCATCACCACGCGGAAAAGCTCTCCCTTGCGCTACCTGTGTATTTCAGGGATGATATGGATCGCGAGCAGGTTCATCCGTCCCTTTGGCTCGTCTGGCAGTCCCACATGGTGCCAGGCCATAACACAACTTGTTATTGCGACTTTGCAGGCAACAAATCTGTTATTGCTCAATCCTTTGTTCAACTCAGACATCTCGCGGAGCGCAAAGAGCGCTCAAAACTTCGGATCTAGGTTGATCACAGCGGTTCGCTTACTTGCTCAAACCCGTGCTGTCAATACACAATGGCAGGTGAAGAATGTGCCTTCTCACCCAAAGTATTACCTGCGGCGGGGTATGCAGGTCCCATCGCGGGGTCGGTTTTTGCTGCGACAGTTAGCAATTGTCGTGTGGCAGTGCTTGGTGTTGGATATCGTGCAAACGGTGTCGCTTCAGCAGGCTAAAGAACGTGGTCTGCATGAGCCCGCATCATTGGAAATAGAATGGGTTGTGCCCTTGGAACAATGGGCAGAGCGAATAGCTACCCATCTGTCCATTTGGTTTGTGGTAAATCGTCTAATCAGCGATCTTGCGTATCGAGTACTGTCAATATTATTTGTCGGGATAGGGCTGGATTCTCCTGCAGACTGGCCACCCGCCTTTGGGAGTATGCTAGATGCATTTACATTGCGCAACTTTTGGGGGTAAGCCATATTTGTTTACCAGGATGCATAATTATGTTGACGCACTTTGCAGGAAATTCTGGCATCAGTTCATGCGCCAGCCATTCACTTCTATCAGTAACTTCATCGCACGAGATGTTTTGAATCTTACCAGACCTTCAACACTGGAGCGATACACAAATCTTTTCATTGTCTTTCTCATCTCTGCGATATTCCATGTTGTCGTCGATATACTACAGAGCATTCCGACGGAAAGGTCCGGCTCGATGCCATTTTATTTAGCAATTGCCTTCGGGATAATGCTCGAGGATGGAGTGCAACATATTTGGAAACGGGTACAAACACCTGACAGCATGCAAGAGGAGGCAAAACAACCGACAGACATCGTGCCGCTTTGGAAGCGTGCTGCCGGGATGGTATGGGTTATGCTATGGCTTGGGGTCACCTCGACATGGTATTTTACTCCGATGATTCAATCAACGAATGATGATCTGCGGATGATTCCTTTCAGTGCCGCAAAATATATCGGCTTACAGCCGCTCATAGGTATTGTCGTGGGTAGTGGAATTGGCATTGTGGTTATGTTTGAAGTTGAGATATGAGATACACAAGCATCCGCTCTCAGAACAAGAAGCAAGGACACAAATCGCCAGATAGAAATTGAGGGTCTGGAGGTGCTGTGCTCTATTGTTAGCCTTGGTGAAGCAGAGAGCAAGAAAAAGCTATGGACTGAGTGAGTGTGGCTCGGGGAGAAGGAAAGAGAGAACCGTAGCGCAGTTCCTATCCACCTGAGGCACCATCCCCAACAACGGTGTAAACTGTTTACGCCTCCACCAACTCTAGACACCAACTCTAGATCCGACAAATCTTTGTTCTGTCACGAAAATGAAACCATTTTGGCTTTAGCTAATTACTACCAGCAAGCGCTATCTCGGGTATGTGCAGGTTGTCGTACTTATTTGGCTATTTTATCCTAACTTTTTTACTCGCTTACAGGTCACGGCAAGAATCGATAATCCAGTCTCATAGTGTCGTTTGTCCAAGTTGATACCGGAGTTTGCTTCGCATCTTCCGGGAAATGGATATAATCATCAATTAGGCGTATCAAAACGAGCAACACCTGCAAGATCCAACTCATGCACGGTTCCCCAGTTCTTCTCCAGCTTCTGAATGGCCCGTTGTTGTCCGTATCGAAGCAAGAATCGATAGACTGCCGCATATGCACTGTTCAACGAGCCGACCACCCACCCATGATGGACACTGGCGGCCTCTCCTACAATATGGAACTTGCCATCAGCTGCTGGGAGAGACAAAGAAGGGTAGAGATTGGTAAATTGTCCTGGACCAAAAAGCGCAAAGGCTCCTGACGAAAATCGAGAATTACCCCAGCAGAAAGCATGATGATCAATGTACAAATTTAGCAGCTTCTCGTACGTCATTCCATGCTGCTGATGTTGCCGAGCGAGATCGCGGAGGACAAGATCCAGCAGGTCATCCCTCGGGTCATCACTCCCCGAGGTGACGGAAGACGGTCCGATTAGAGCCCCCATGCGAGTGGCGTCTTGGCCCCAAGTGTACGAAGCCAATAGCACAGCTGGCTGGTCCCATTCTTCTTCGGCGATATTCGACGGGTAAACGCAGGTCCGTGATGGGAGAGTCGACGAGGCGCTACCGCCCCCTAGAATCCCGCAGTCTACGATCCACCATGGATACGCAAACTTGATACCTACCTTAGTAGAGTCTTCATACCGCAAACACCGGATGGCTTCCTCTTGAACAGGGTCAAGACGGAGTGAGCTAGTGTCAATGCGTTGCAGACATGCTAATGGTGTAGTGCTGAACACCGTCGCGTACCCATCGCGAGCATCTTGCTCGCCCGCACATGACACGGACAGATCGGCGCTACTATTGATGGCAATTTGGCGAACTTGTTTTCCGAGCTCGATTGTGCTACTTCTGTTTATTTGATCGCACATTCGCTCGATCAGCACGGAAGAGCCGCCATCAACAGAATACCATTTAGCTGCCCCACTGTTCTCGGACCCTGTCGTGAATTGATCAAGGTCGAAAGAGTCCATGACACTTTCTGAGAAGGCTTGATCAAAAGCGCCTGTGCCAGTTGTGTCGCTCTCGGCAAACTGGATTGCCATAAAGTCTGACTTGTGGCTGCCTCGGAGGTATTCACGGGTGCTCATTGCATCGGCTTGCATCAAGAGCTGGAACCCCTTCACAAAATCGTTTTGCATGACCCTCTTATAGGGGCCGAAGCATTGACTGACAAGATTCGCTGATGAGCTATCTCTAGTCTTGGAGATGTCACTGCCCCTCGTGTTCATGTTTCTTTCTCGCATTTCAAATTCCTTCAATGGCACTTGCATTCGGCGAAAAAGATCAAAGACTCGAGACATAATAGGAATATCTGGAAACCGCATTGCGCCTACGTCATAGTAGTCATTGTGCGCCTCAGAGAAGCGATGGGTATAAATGCGGCCGCCAATGCGATCACGATTGGCCTCGAGGATATCCCAGGAAAGGTTTGGGATCTCCAAATCTTGCAAAATTAGGGCGAGATACAGACCTGCAACCCCGGCCCCGATAATGCATACTTTGATGTTGTTGTCTAAGGGAGGATCTGAGCTTTCTTCCTCTTGGTAGCTCGTGCGAACGGAAGGGACATTCTTAATATTCTCCCCCCTAGTCACTGCAGGATCACCAGGACCGCATATTGAACAGCCGGGACAACAAGGACATTCAAATGAATGGACATCCGGGTGCTCTAGAGGGTCCTGACATAGAGAAACCCGTATAGATGGTCTCGGGAACAAATCACGAAATGGAAGCTGGAGCTGCATGATGACGCCCAAAGAGAAACACGGATCAGTGAAAATGAGCTACAAAATAGCAAAATAGGTGAAAGGTATGTACGAAAAAAATGTTCTCTGCTGTACGGAGTATGTAAACGAAAGACAACCTTGCGTAAATTCGGGGCAGTGTTTCATTCCTATCAATTACAAGGAACCGGTGCCTAGTCGTGCCTAGTGTAGTTTATACATAGACTACCGCCGATAGCTATCAGACAATTAATGCCGATGATGTGGTCAATGAGGATGAAGGATATTCCCACCTGGGACTCTATGGTGATAGACATACAGGAGGATATGCCCTGAGAGATCACCTGGTGTAAAGGTCCAGAACCACCCACGTTCATCAAGGGCACCGTACATCTTTGGGGCTGGCTAAATTATGGTTCGAAGATAAGCAGCCTGTATGCCCAGATGCGAAGGGTTATAACTGGCGGGGAACGTGCATGCAACTAAAAGATGAGAGGATCTAGACGTATCTTGTGCATGTTATTATACATAAATTACACATAAATTACGAAAATTCGGGAGGAATTGGTCCTTTCTTTCCAGTGGTGGTCAAACAGTTGTGATCCTTTTCGTTCATTTAGATACACAAGTTGAGACATTTCGAGAGCGTATTCAGCTTAGGTGAGATAATCCACTTTCGTGCATAACATGCTAGTAATAAAAGTGATATACTATTTCAAGAGTATACAGATTATTTACCTACCTGAGTGAGCATTAAATTACCCCCGAAAAATGGATTTAGTAGAATGTTGAGGTTCTGATACCCTCCAATGCAACTTTGTCCCAAAGCGCCCTTATACTAGGCTGCTAGCTTCCTTACCCCCTGTGTTGCCTATCACTGGCATTATCTGGGGTTGTTGGATTAAAGTTTTCGTGGCAGCATCCGTAGGGAAGACGGTCCTGATGTCCCCTCTTTGATATCGAAATTTCTTAGGATCTGTTTTGAACAAGAATCTCAGCTGCAGAACTACACAAAACGGATATTACCCAGCTACATAGAACACTTACCGTAACTAAGGTCTTATATAGGACCAGGACTCCTATGTGTCGCCCAGGACACTTGCGATAACCAAATCCCCAGTGCGCATCATACGCATTCCACACCCGCAACTGCTCTTCCGATGCTTCAAGCCACCGTTCGGGCACAAAATCCTCGGCATTGTCACCGTAGAGCCGAGGATGAGTGGAGATAGTGAAGGGACTTGTAGCTACCGCAGTGCCCGGAGGGACGTCCCGGCCTAGGAGACGCAGTGGCCTATCTGGCGAGCAACGCCATCTAGGAGAGGCCGTTGCTGTAATACGCATGGCCTCCCGGACGCAAGCATCAATAAAGGGGAGAGCGCAGCATTCTGCGTAGGTAGGCGACGGGCTAGAGAGAGTCTGCTGGGTAAAAGCGTTATCAATCTCTTGGTGGGCCCGGCGAACGGCCTGGGGATGTTTCGCCATCGTGGTCACCAGATGGCTAATTGTGGTGGCAAGTGCATAGGGACCCCCAAGTCTGTGCGAACAGAGTTAGTATGTATTGAAAGAGTTTCTTACTTTGGGGAAACCCACACGTCTGAGACTAGCTGGTCCTCGATGTCCGACTGGGGAATGCCTTCTCCTGTCGCGGATTTGGCGGCCAGCCATTGATCCAACATGGAGTGCTTCCAGCGTGGCCTTTCTTGTGTTTTGGAAGTTTCTATGCGCTTTTGAGTGATATCATGCACTTCCTAAGCGAGGTTCAGAGCTGCTAGTTATGAAAAATGAAATAGACACTTACATTGGTCCACATGCCCATGCCCGTTGAATCGTCGCGGCCACTAACAAATAAACGACGACCCAAAGAAGTATTGGCGGCTAGCCAAGCTATTGGACGATATCGACTGAGCGTCCATTTTCTGAAGATACGATAACTGCTTTGCAACATATTGCGCACATCGGATTTGTGGTCCAAGAAGCCGAAGCTCTCCCCCACACTCATTGGCACGTATACATCGAATGAAAAATATCTGAGCACAGTCAGTCCCTAGTTCAACACTTCCCGTTCGTAACGGGACACTTACTTGACCCAGGTACCCCAATCTATCGAGGGGCTTGTGTGGGTCTCCTTGTTGAGAATGGAAACCCACTTGATAAGAGTTTCATCTACCAGACCCTCAAACAACTGCACCCGCGATACTGAAAACTATTCAAATCAGCTACCGGCTCCGAGGATCAATGTGTAATGTGTGACCCACAGCCTGTCCGAACTGCCGTTTAGCTGCAGCATACTCAAGATAGTTGGCCTTGTTGGTGGCTGCACCGGGACAGGTGAAGTCTTGGGGGTAGTCTGTCTTGTCGCTCTGGCGATGATATACCACCGGGATTAGATCCAAATCATTGAATGTCAGGTGGTTGGGGCCACAGCGAACGACCGGACCTGTTTATCAATTAGACCATAGAAATGGAGATCAGATGTGACCGTATTACAGACCATATTTGCGATGTAAATCTTGGTACCAGGTCTTTTCCCGCCCAGTCCACACGGCGTAAAAAAGCTGGAAGCTCGAGGCAGCAACCAGGTTCGGCCCTGGAAATCCCGACAATGGATGGAAGTACACTCGTCGCACTAGAAAACAAATGGCCCCAGCCAAGCAAAATAGTAGAATCCTGGAGCAAATTGCTAGCCAGTCCATGTCGTAGATGGAGTGGGACCAAGAATCAACTGCTAAGGTAATTTTTCAGGTGGATATTGAAGAAGCCGGTCTGACTGAAACCCCATTCCTTGGATATGGACCCCGTTGCATCTAGTGGGGGAAGCGTGGAGCTGCCAAGTAAGCACGGGCCGGAGCCCGTCGGATAAGCCCCCAAGAATCCTGCAGGAAACCACCTGGACAGCTCCTTCACCTTGCTGTGATCAAAGTGCACTGTTACAACGCAAATATCGCGCCATTGGATTTAAATTGGTCACGCGTACATTATGTGGAGTACATTCAGATCGGGATTAGTGTGTCAAATTGCAAGTACACGGGTGATAAATCACACATGTATTGAAACGCCAAATATTCTTCACGGGCTGAGAACGTGCGTATGCAGCTGAACTATCAGGCGTACGTGCCCTCGATGCGCATGTGCTGGAACTCATTTGCTGTCAAGAACTTTTGCACTGGCTGGCTGTGGTCCACTAACGAATCCAGCAGTGGACGGAGAAGCGCTGCCCGATCGGGCTTTGCGAAATACGCAATCGAGAAACGTTCTGGAACCATATTACACTCGTTTTCACTTTTTGCCAGATGCACCCGGTGTCGGGCACTATGCAGCCCTGTCCACATCTGGAGACAATCCCCTACATTGACAATACACTCATGGGGGCCAGCACTGTCAGCCGGAACAAAGACTCCGCTCCCAGGGGGCTGTTCCATCTCTAGGATTCCGTTAGCTCAATACTAGTATAGAGAGATGACACCTTCCAAATTTGGAAAGTAGTACTCTGTATTGCTTACCCAGGCCTCCGACATTGTCTTGAAACAATAGAGTAATAGTGCCGAAATCCGTGTGCGCCGCAATGCGGGTGGCATTAGCAAAATCTGCCCGATCCACTTCTGGGTAGTGGGTGAGCCGCAACTCGTTAGTCTGTGCGGCATGCAATTCACGTAGAGAGTGCACGGGCAACCCTAAGCCAATCGAAATAGCGTCCAGAATGATCACTTGGGCGTCGTAACAGGCAGTAAAGAATGAGCTCATTGTAGTTTGAAAGTCATCGTGGACTCCTGCCGGGGGCCAAATATTGGAATATAGCGGATCTTGTTCCAATCCAATGTCGTAAGACTCCTAATGAACCGGTTAGATATGTAAAACGCAAGTAAGATAACTTGTCAAAAGTATGTATTCGATATTTGTACCTTCATATCCCTGAGTAGGGGCTGCGTATCCGAGGAGCGGTAATTAGACACAGTTGATATGTTCTCCAGGCCAACTGGACTGAAGCCCCGATGGGGATGAGCCGTTGGAGGATGGGGCGACTTCAGCTTCTGCTCCATTGGAAGATTGAAGAATTGGTGACTCTGGAGAGACGATAAGTGAGACGAGCTTCAGAGAGAGGTTGAGAGAATGTTCGCACCATTTCAAATGCCCGGTCGATGCTCTCTGGAGGGATGCCATGATTGACTAGCCGTACCCAGCCCGACTTGCTCAACCCGAAAATCAACTCACGGCAGAATTGATCTCGCTCGTCGGTGCTTCCACGGTGAAATCTCGAAAAGTCAAGTTGCCCGACCATGACTGATAGAGATATAGTAAGGGAATGTGGTGGAGGGTGCCCAATGTGTGATATTCGAACCAATGGCTAGGCTTCTTCTAGTAGATGCTAGCAACGCAGGAAATGTCTTTTCAATGTAGGACTGCAGATCGGCAGTGCTCCGAAAAAACGTGGAAGTAATGGCGATCATATCTTGTGATACACCAGATATATTATCCAGTACGTGGGCCATAGTGGTTCATCTGCGCTGAAGCGGGCCCTTAGGCCGTCGGGACAATTCTAATTAATGACAGGTCGGTAATATATAACATACCAGCGGTGTACCTAGTGGTTTCTTATCGCATGACTCTAACCTCATCTTGCATATGCATGCACTGCCGAGTGCGCACTTGTCAAATGGAGATCCACAAAGTGGAGATGATTCCTGGCCCGTTCAATGCTCCATGGCTGATACCGAGAAGCTAACATTCTCAAAATTCAGATTAAGAGCCGAGGATAACCTTCCCCTACAGTTGTGTAACTGGAATCATCTTCATGAAATATCAGAATGATTGCGACAGAGACGAACCAGGGTACTCAGCTACCAACGCCGGATGCACCAGGTGCTGCATCACCTTCGTCGCAAGAACTTGATAACATCTGGGCTAGTAATACTGTTGTCCCAGAGTCTATCACAGGCTGCGTTCATGACTTGATTGCTGAGGTAGCACAAAAACAACCAGATGCTCTCGCTGTTTGCGCGTGGGATGGAGATTTTACCTACGCTCAACTATCCACCTTGAGTGATTATGTTGCTTATCATTTCTGCAAAATAGGAATCCCGCCAAGATCCCCAATCACCCTTCTTTTCCCCAAGTCACGATGGACATCTGTCGCTATGTTGGGTATCATCAAAGCGGGTTGCGCGGCCATTGCCCTTGATTCGATTCATCCAGATGCGAGACTTCGATCTATTATTGAGCATGCGCAGCCAAAAGCAATGATTTGTTGCGCAGCGACTCAAAAGAGAGCATCCTTTTTGTGCGATTCACCCATCCTTCAGCTCGACGATAGTCTGCTGGAGATTGCGGGTACCATAAAAGAGCAGACGCTTGTTTTGCCTGTGGTATCACCTAACGACATAGTCTATATATCTTTTACCTCGTAAGAGATCCGTGACCCAACATTTTAGGTAAATAAGGGTGCTAACTTTAGTGCTTCAAACCAGCGGAACTACGGGTGAGCCCAAAGGGGCGTGTATTAGCCACGCCAACGTGAGAAGTGCTGTACATCACCAGGGCAAAGCTCTTGGCTTCCACCGAGAGTCGCGCGTCTTCGATTTTGCACCTTACTCCTTTGACGTGGCCTGGAGTAATGTTCTCCATGCGTTGTGCGCGGGCGGTTGTCTATGCGTTGCCAACGAGCAAGATATGGTGAATAACCTATCAGCTACAATCACGGCATTTGCGACTACTCTGATCAATATCACCCCCACTGTTCTACGAACAGTTACTTCGGTCCCACCAACGCTTCAAACTGTACTTTTGAGTGGAGAGATGCCGTATCGAGAAAACGTGACTCAATGGGCTGGCCGTGTTCGTTTGCTCAATACATACGGTCCCACTGAGTGTACCTGGAAATGTACCTTCTCGCAGCTCAACCGCTGCGAGGAAGGCCGGCCGGGTATTGGGAGAGGCACGGGATTCTGTCTCTGGATTGTCAACCCCAACGATAGCAGCCAGCTTGTTCCTCCTGGAACTCCAGGAGAACTGTACCTCGAGGGACCCATGGTTGGGCAAGGGTACCTGTCCAATCAAGAAAAGACCGCCGAGTCGTTCATCGATAACCCACGGTGGCTTTTGTCTGGGAGCACCGGTGTCCCTGGGCGGCAAGGCCGCCTGTACAGGACCGGGGACTTAGTCAAGACCCGATCGGATGGAAGTATCCTGTTCCTAGGGCGGAAGGATGTCTCGCAATTGAAGATCAGAGGTCAACGGATTGAAATTGGCGATGTGGAGCACCATGCGCGTGCTTGTCTGAACGACGCACTAACAATAGTTGCGGATATCGTGACCCCCCAGGGAAGCGATACCGGACTGCTTGCGCTCTTTGTGCAGAATAAGAATAAAAACTCCGAGACTGTCAAGACCGTGATGAATAACCTTGTGCGCGACCTAGATGGTGCATTACCAGCATTTATGCTCCCCAGCATCTATCTCCCCGTCAAAGACATACCAGTGGCTGCCACGGGCAAAATCGACCGGCGAAAACTACGAGAGCTAGGAGATAGTTTGTCTTTGGAGGAACTTCTTCAATTACAGTCAACCATCCTTCCGGTTCAAGAATACCGTGACCCATCAACTGCTATGGAGGAGCAGCTTCGTGAGCTCTGGGCGGACGTATTGAAGATCCCATTGACTATAATCAGCACCACAGATAGTTTCCTCCGCTTAGGAGGGGATTCAGTTGCAGCTATGTTGTTGGTCGCGGCAGCACGGAATGTCAATTTATCCATCACGGTGGCTGACGTGTTCAAGAGTCCAGTGCTGAGTGATCTTGCCCTCATTATCAAGGAGGATTCTTTCTCTTCTGAGGGCGAAGGAATCGTGCCATTCTCTCTGATGGGCCGTCCGGCAGATACTCAAAGAATGTGCGAGGAGGCTGCTAAACTCTGCAATATCGAATTGGCTCAAGTCGAAGATATATATCCGTGCACCGCACTCCAGCAAGGAATGCTCTCTATCACAGCTCGAGGCGAAGCCAATAACGTTGCACGAACATTGTTTGAACTTCCTAGCCACACAGCTCTCTCCCGGTTCGAAAAGGCATGGCTAAATACCGTTCATCAAGCTTCGATCCTGCGAACAAGAGTCATCGACCTAACCAGCGATGGTCTAGTTCAAGTTGTTGTCGACTCCCCCATCATGTTGGGTCGATACGAGAGTATCACCAACTTCATCGAAGACTCAATTCCAATGGGACTTGGGGTCCCTTTGTGTCGGGCTGGCCTAATTTCTGGGGAGTCGCCCAGTCTTATTGTGGAAATGCACCATTCGATCTTCGATGGCTGGTCCACCAAGCTGATATTGGATGCTATTGAAGCCGAGTACTATGAGAAGGCGACTCCCTCGCCTATTCTGCCCTTCCAGTCATTTGTGCAATATACAAAAGGGATGAACACGGAGGCTTCATCGCTCTATTGGAAGAGCCACCTAGATGGAGGGTCTGAAACAAATACTTTCCCATCTCCAGGGTATCGGCAAGGGGAAAAACTTGACTTCAACCATAACGTCTCTGAAATTTCATGGACACATTCGGGGACCACACCGTCATCACTAGTTAGAGCAACATTGGCCCTGTTACTAGCCTCATACACCAATTCCAACGATATCATGTATGGAGCCACGATCAGCGGGCGGCAGGCCGCTGTGGCCGGGATCGAACGAATTGCAGGACCGACAATCGCGACTGTCCCAGTCCGCGCTAAATTTGACTGGGATCAAACAGTCGAGAGCTGGCTTGAACAGGTTCAGAGACAGGCAGTGGAGGCCACTGAGCACGAACAGCTAGGGTTGCAGCAGATTGCTGGATTAGTTGAGGATGCCAACCTTTTCCAGCTGCTCCTGGTGGTCCAGCCGGCTCAGCAGGCAAACAGTCACGAGGTCGACAGTCTTTTCAGCCGGGCGAGTAGTGTTGTTAGCAGCTCTGACCAACCTGGCAGTTTGAAAATTGTTTGCAAGGATGGCGAAGCCGACACTGTGGGCATGTATAACCCTTATGCGATGATGATTATCTGCCAATTGCACGAGTCAGGAGTTGAACTGAAAATCAACTTTGATTCTGGTGCCATTCCAGCCAAACAGGTCCAGAGAATGTCAGTACAATTTGAACATTTGCTGCGGCAGCTATGCTCGGGGGAGTGTACCCATATGAGCCTACGCAATATCACTGTTGTCACCAAGGACGACTTGGCTGATATTTGGACATGGAACGCAGCGCGGCTGGAGCCCAAGTTTGAATCCATCACCGATGGTCTGCATCGGCAAAGCAATGCGAAACCAGAAGCAGTTTTGATATCTGCGTGGGACAAGCAGTTAACAGCCCAACAGGTGCAGAGCTGGTCTGTAACGCTGGCTGCTCGACTTCGCCATGAAGGTGTGCTTCCTGGATCGATCGTTATCCTGGCCTTTGAGAAAAGTGCTTGGCAGGCAGTGATGATGCTTGCAGCCCTCAAAATTGGTGCAATAGCTCTGCCGATGTCTGTACCAGTTTCCAAATCTCGAGCCATGCAAGTGATTGAGAGTTTGCAGCCCCAAATTGCGGTTACCTCCACCCCGTCCGATTCATCTCCATTCCACATGTTGATCCCAGTCCTCAGCATCGCCGACCTCATTACTTCGGAAATGAAAGGCTCCGATGATGTTGTTAAATATATGCCATATCGTCACCTGCCCAGTGATCCTGCTCTTCTTCTATTTACTTCAGGCTCCACTGGAACACCAAAAGCTATTGAATGGAGTCACAGCGCCTTATCAGCTAATATACGAGCCGCCATCATGGCATTTGGACTGACTGACACGAGCCGAGTCTTCCAGTTTGCCGGTTACGACTTTGATGTGAGCACAGTAGAGACTTTGGCTACCCTGCTTGCTGGAGGTTGCTTGTGTATTCCATCGGAGACAGACCGAAGGAATCGGCTGACCGACTCAATCAACGGCTACAACGCCAATTGGATGTGTCTGACCCCATCTGTGTCAGACACCATGAGCGCTGGTGGTTTGCCATCTATGAAAACAATGGTATTTGCGGGTGAGAAGCTCGAGCACAAGACTGCTCTTCGATGGTTAGACGCCCAGAAAACTGTACATAACTGGTACGGGCCAGCGGAAGCCTCGGTGGCTACTTCGTGCCTTATAGATTCCGACAGTTGGCGTCCAGGTATGATTGGGCAAGGTCGCGCCGGGCTGGCGTGGCTCGTCGATCCAAAAGACCCCAACCTACTAGCCCCAGTGGGAGCAGTGGCCGAGTTGTGTATGGAGGGCTCTATGCTAGCTCAGTATGCTGGAGCCAATGGCGCTGAGTTGAACAAAGAGAGTTTCATTTCCCCATCGTGGCTGCAAGATGGCCACTGGAAGACCCCTGGTCGACCAGGTCCAGTATATCGTACTGGTGATCTGGTTACCTACGACTCGGATGGTCGTATCGTCTACCTTGGGCGCCTCCAGGATTCTCAGCGAAAGATCAGAGGCCAGCGTATTGACCTAGGAGAAATAGAACGGTGCATCCAAGACTTCCTGGCCGGTTTGGTGGACACCAGGCTTGTCGCAGAGATATTTTCTCCGGCTTGCGGTCATAACGATACTTTGGCCCTTTTCATCAGTCCTACTGATGCCGTTGATCGCGCAGATCCTCAGGCATATCTTCAAATCGTATGGCCGGTCGATGCTCTGGAGAATCATCTTGCCAGCATTCTTCCATCTTATATGATTCCCAGGATGTACATACCGCTTAGTGAACTTCCTATCGGTCCGACAGGAAAGACAGACAGGAGAAGATTACGCGAAATTGGAGGTTCCCTCACCTTGGCACAATTGGCGGAAATGCAACCAACTCGAAAGCAAGCCAGAAAGGTCAGCACTGAGAACGAGAAATTATTACAGCAAATGTGGGCTCATGTGCTGGGGGTTGAGCCGGATGTCATCTACGCGACCGACCACTTCCTTCGCTTGGGAGGAGACTCGATCAGCGCTATGCGCCTCGTTGGAATGGCCCGTACGAAGCGCTTTTCTCTCACTGTTGCCGATGTGTTCGATTTCCCCGAGCTAGCGAAGATGGCGGAGAAAATGATTCACGGCGAAAGTCATGTGGATATGCAAGACATTCCAGCATTCTCACTTTTACCCCGTGGGGTGGACGAGTCACACTGTCGATCGTATGTGGCTCAAATTTGTTCGGTCTCGCCAGATCGAGTTCTTGATATCTACCCCTGTACAGCACTTCAAGAGGGATTGCTGGCGCTGGGGGCCCGAAGAAATGGGCAATATGTATCTCGTAGTGTATTGCCACTTCAAAGCGATATTAATCCAGACCGACTCAAAAATGCCTGGGAGAGGACAATCGCCAAACTCTCTATTATGCGAACCCGAATCGTGGATCTCCCTGGCAAAGGGCTTGTGCAGGTCGTCCTCAATGACACACCTTGGAGATCTGGTCAAAACATCCAGCAGTACTTGCATGACGATGAGACGGAGCCGATGGCTCTAGGAACCCAGCTTTGCCGTGCGGCCATCATCGATAGCACGTTCATATTCACTATTCATCACTGCTTGTACGATGGCAGCTCACTGCCCATGGTTCTCGAAGAACTCCAGGCTCAGTATTACAATCAGCCAGGAAGGACGGTTACTGGAGTGGAGCATTTCATTCGCCATTTGAGTCAGATAAATACCCAGGAATCGGACGCTTTCTGGAAGGCCCAGCTATCTCGCGCTGAGTTCCGTTCCTTCCCTATCCTACCATCCAGCACGTATGAGCCACAAGCCAGTGAATTTATGGAGCATCCGGTTGCCCTAAACTGGCCGTCCAAGGGAGCAACACCATCCACAATCCTCCGCGCAGCGTGGGCAGTCCTCTCGTCGCAATATGTGGCCTCCAGTGATGTGATCTTTGGGGTGACAGTGAGTGGACGACAGGCAAATATAAACGGCATGGAGAACTGCGTAGCGCCAACTATTGCAACGGTTCCAATTTCTGTGTCGATTGATTGGGAGAATACGGTTGAGACATTCCTCCAAGGCCTCCAAAAACAGGGGTTGGATATCATGTCTTATGAGCAATACGGCTTGCCAAACATTCAACGAGCCAACGGGAATCGCAATGGTGGGTTGTTCCAGACTTTGCTGGTGGTTCAGCCAATAACCAAAGGGAACAGCCTGCATGAAGATAGTCGGTTGTTCAAGGCACGGAGCTTTGCCTCCAATTTGAGCACCTTGGGGATCGATCCATTCAATGTGTATGGCTTGATGGTTATCTGTCAGCTTACCACCTCGGGACTCAACATTCAAATGAGCTTTGACCCAAACATCACCGACAAGCGGCAGATTAAAAGGATAGTCTGTCAGCTGGAGACAGTCATTCGCCAGTTGTGTACAAGGTCTCCGGATAAGACGACACTGAACACCATCCAGACAGCCAGTGAGCTCGACCTGGAGCGCTTCTGGACCCAGAACGCCGACCTACCCCCGGACCCAACCACATTTGTACATGACAGGATTAGTCTATGTGCCAAAATAGACCCCGAGGCTATCGCCATTGATGCATGGGATGGCCAGTTCACATATGGCGAGCTCGACCAGATCTCTACCGTTGTCGCGCGCAAGTTAATTCTGCATTTGGGAGTCACGAAAGGGTCCGTTGTGCCCTTGTGCTTTGTGAAGTCTCGATATATGCCACTGGCTCAGGTTGCCGTTTGGAAAGCCGGTGGAGTGACTCTGCTACAATCAGCAGACATGCCAGAGCAGAGAATGAATCGTACTTTCCAGCATCTTGGTGTAGAGGTTGCCCTGGCTTCACCCGGGCGCTTGGCGACAGTTTCGAAGTATGCTCGCTGTATTACCATGGAGCAAATTTTGGAGACCCCATTGGAAGAAATTATCACACCACTACCTGTCCTGGATATGGATAGTCCGGCCTCAATTCTGGTGTCCTCCGGAAGCACTGGTGAACCAAAACATGTTCTCTGGAGTCACCGAGCTCTGGCTGCAAACGCAGAGGAACCGACTCTGCGTTTGTCGGTAACCCCCTCTTCGCGCATGTTTCAATTCTCATCGTACGATTTTGATGTCGCGACGCTGGAAACAATAATTGGGCTGACTCATACGGCCTGTCTGTGTATTCCATCTGAAGCTCAACGCCTCGACGGTATCGCGGCTGCAATTAATCATTTCGGGGCGAACTGGGCATTTATCACCCCGTCCACCGCCCGGTTGCTGCGTCCGCAAGATGTACCGGGGTTGTCCACTATTGTGATGGGGGGTGAAAACGTGTTGCAGGGCGACGTTGAAAGGTGGAAAGGGAGCTGTGCTGTCCGCAATTGGTACGGGCCTGCCGAATTCCCTGCAGTTACCGTCTATCCGGCAGATGAGCCCAATTGGTCCAGCGGTGTAATTGCACACATTGACTTGTGCCGCTGCTGGCTTGTAGATCCTCAAAACCAACAGAGACTTGTTCCATTTGGTGCGATCGGCGAGATCGTGGTGCAGGGGCCTGCAGTTGCTAGTGGCTATGTGGGAAATGCATCTCTTACAGACAAGCACTTCTACCAAAACCCCACATTCCTCTCTCGTGGGTTCGGGGCAACTCGTCCAGGAAGGCAGGGTTGTGTCTATCGAACAGGGGATCTAGCCCGATACGACTCCGACGGCTATCTGGTGTTTTTGGGGCGAAAGGACTCTCAACTCAAAGTACTTGGTCAATTAGTGGTGCCAAAGGAGGTCGAGACCCAAATTCAACGATGTCTTGATCGGCCAGGCGAACATACTGAGGTCATTGTCGATACCATCCCGCCCCCAGGTGGAGGCGGAATGATACTCGTGGGGTTCGTCGTCACCCAAGAGGATATCGACCAACTAACCAGTGGACTCAACCAAAAGCTCCAGGCGGTTCTTCCTCGATATGCAGTCCCCTCGTGGTATATCGCACTTCCAAGTGTTCCTTTGACTACAAACGGGAAGCGAGATCGAAGGCGGCTGCTTGAGATTGCTGCGTCGTCCACTCCATCCAGCCAAGGATCCACGGGACGGCTACCAGCCACAACCGCCGAGATCACGTTAGCGAGGTTATGGTCTCTTACTCTAGGGATCGAACCGGAGACAATCTCGGCCATCGATAGTTTCCTGCAGGTTGGCAACTCCATTGATGCTATGCGATTGGTAGGTACCGCTCGCCAACACGGCCTGTTGCTTACTGTCGCCGGGGTGATGGAATTTCCCATCTTAGAAGCGATGGCCAGCCTCCTGCAAAACTTGGAGGATGCACCAGATGACAGCATTGAGCCTTTTACGCTGTTGGATCATGGCCAAGACCTGAAGCTAGCCCGCCACCAGGCAGCATCCGCTTGTACTGTCAATGAGGATGACATTGAAGATTTATTCCCTTGCACCTCTCTCCAGACAGGTTTGCTAGCTTTAACAATCAAGTCCCAAGGTGATTACACCGGTCGCAATGTGCAGGAGCTAGCCCCTTCGATAGATGTCCGCCGCTTCGAACACGCCTGGGAAGAGCTGGTGCGCATAGTGCCTATCCTTCGCACACGTATAGTCGATCTTCCTGGGCAGGGATTTGTTCAAGCCGTGATCCGGGAGAGAACAGATTGGAGCAAGGCCGGGAGCGTGGAAGAATACCTGAGCCAGGACCGTCAGTATCCCATGGGGTTGGGTACTCCTCTCATGCGTTGTGGGTTGTTCTCATGCAAGTCAAATCATGAACCATCTGGTGCTTCCGGCCCAGTGCGCTGGTCTTTTGCATTGACAATGCATCATTCGATATATGATGGGCCGGCTTCAGCTATGATAATGGGCACGCTAAAGAGTCTTTACTATGGAGCAACCCCTCTTCGATTATGTCCCTTCCAGTCATTCGTCAAATACGTCTCCAGTCGGAATAAGGAAGCCGGTGCCAAGTTTTGGAAGACACAATTTGAAGGCTGTGAAGCTTCGCAATTCCCACTGCTTCCCTCGGCTAGTTATCAGCCAAGAACGAATTCCACCCAAACTGTTGTAATCAACAATGTTAAATGGCGAACAGATGGGTTCACTCCTTCAACCATAATCCGTGGAGCATTCAGCCTCGTGTGCGGCCAATATGCGATCTCGTCTGACGTGGTGTTCGGCACAGTCGTCATGGGTCGTAAAGCCCCCATTCAGGGCACGGAGAGAATTGCAGGCCCAACCATTGCCACAGTTCCTGTTCGTGTGCAAATCAAACTCGACGCCACTATCCCGCAATTTCTCCAATCTATCCAGGATCAAGAGCGAGAGATGATCCCTCATGAGCAAACAGGATTGTCGAACATCCGGCAAGTCAGCACTCCCGCAGAAGAGGCATGTCGCTTCCAGACCTTGCTCGTGATCCAACCACCCGAGCAGACTATGGACGATACTGGCTTGTTTGTATGTCGGACCGCTGAACAGGATGAGGCCACCCGATACCATAGCTTTAGCTCTTATGCGTTATCGGTAGTGTGTAACCTAGAGCCAAGTCGGCTGAAGGTCGAGTTCTGCTATGACTCCGCCATTGTTCAGTCCGAAACTATTCAAACCATGGCAGCGCACCTGGATCAGGCCCTTCGGAGCATGTGCACACAGAAATTGCCTCATACTTCGCTGGGAGATGTAAACATGATGACCCAGTCTCATCTGAATGACATCTGGACCTGGAACGCAAAATTGCCTACCACTATAGATCGATGCATGCATGATCTAATCAAGCAAGTTGTACAATGCCAGCCTGACTCGGTGGCTATCTCTGCATGGGATGGTAGTTTAACATATGCTGAGTTAGATCAGCTGTCAACCAGGCTCGCAGGTTACCTGGTACGTATGGGAGTGAAAAGGAACGTGATTGTGCCGCTTTGCTTTGAGAAAAGCTTGTACGCCATGGTTGCAGTGCTTGCCGTTATAAAAGCTGGTGGTGCCACCCTCCTCTTGGATCCATCACTGCCTGATATTCGTCTTGATGACATATTGCGGCAGGTAAATCCCACTTTGCTATTGTCATCAATCTCCCAGGAACATCGCTGCTTACGATGGGTGGCCCACCCAGTGGCCTTGGGGAAGGGATCTACCTTCTTTGAGGCCGATGTGATGAATGGGGACCCCGAAAGTCACGACCTGCCGTCTGTATCTCCAGATGATCTTTTATACACCGTCTTTACAAGTGGCAGCACCGGAACTCCCAAAGGATGTCTCATGCATCACCAACAATTCACCAGTGCAGTGGTCCACCAGCAATCCACGCTTGAAATGAATTCAACGACGCGTCTATATGATTTCTCTTCCTATTCATTTGATGCGGTCTACTGGTGCCTCTTTCACGTATGGAACGCCGGGGGCACGTTATGTATCCCCAGCGAGGAAGAACGGAAAAGCGATCTGACCGAGAGCGTGCGCCGGTTTGAGACCACGCACATTTTCTTAACCCCCTCCACTGCACGGTGGATAGACCCGCAGCGTACTCCTACCCTGCGCTATCTCTTTCTTGGAGGCGAGGCGGTCTTGCCAGAGGATCTCGCTCGATGGGCCCCACATGTCAACGCATTTGAGGTATATGGACCTTCGGAATGCTCTGCTATTACCCTCTATCATCGAGTTCCCAAGACAACAGCCGCTGCGGTACACTCCATTGGGAAGGGCATCGGCGTTCTGACCTGGGTGGTGGACCCAGGGGACCAAGACCGACTGGCACCTCTTGGAACTGTAGGTGAGCTGTATCTCGAGGGACCTCTAGTGGGACAAGGTTACTTCCAGAATGAAGAGAAAACAGCAGCAGCCTTCATTGAGAATCCATACTGGCTAGGTCAGGGCTCCCCTAATGGAAAAGTTCCGGGGCGGCGTGGTCGGATGTATAAGACTGGTGACCTCGTCAAATATCATCCACTCACTGGAAATCTTGCGTTCGTGGGCCGAAAGGACACACAGGTTAAACTGCGAGGCCAACGCATTGAGCTTGCAGATGTTGAGCATCATGTCATGCAGTGCCTAATGGATCGATCTTTGTCAGGAGCTGCGCCAACAGCAGTGGCAGAGGTTATAGAGCCAATAGCCACAGGCCGGCCAATGCTTGCCGTATTCATTGACTGCGATCAAGCACACCTAGCCGCCTTGTTGCCCTATCTTGAAGCTGAGTTGCCGCACCGGGTTCCGTCTTACATGGTCCCTGCAACTTATATCGCAACCCCATCTATGCCCATGGCGGCGAGTGGCAAGACAGACCGACGACGGTTGCGCGAGATGGGTTCCAGTTTGACTCTAGAACTATTGGCGCGCAGTGATGCTCCTGCAACTACGTTGCCCCCAAGCACAGCCTCTGAATGCCACCTACAAACCTTATGGGTTGAAGTCCTCGGTGTACCCGCCGAGAAAATTGGGGCAGAGAGTAGCTTCGTTCGTCTGGGTGGCGACTCCATTTCGGCGATGCGGTTGGCCTCCTTGGCTCGTATGCAAGGGCTGTCCTTGTCAGTTCATAATATTCTCACCACGCCTCGATTGTCCGAAATGGCACAGGCAATTTCTGCCTTGTCTCCGAAAGATACCAAGGAGATGGAAGTGGTCAGTCCCTTCTCTCTCCTAGAGTACCCCTCGGAACATAAGGTCATCTTGGATGACTTCGCGAGCCAATGCCAGATCCGTAACAGCCAAATTGAAGACATCTTCCCCTGTACGGGTGTCCAAAAATCGCTGCTCTCCATGACTGCCAAACGCGCCAACTCGTATGTTGCTCGACTCTTGCTCAAACTGAGGAAGAATGTCGACGAGTCGCGTCTCATGAATGCGTGGGAAATGGTGAGTAGAGGTTCTGCCTCCATCCTTCGTTCACGAATTGTCGACTGTCCAACAGAGGGTCTCGTGCAAGGTATTGTGGACGAACCGCTGCACTGGGACGTCCCTCAACCGCTGCAGCAATATCTCCAAAAATATCGAAACAGGCCCATGGGTCTGGCCACCCCATTAACTAGGCTTGTCATTGTTGAAGATGAACTCAACCAGGAACGTTACTGTCTGCTCACTCAGCATCATGCGATATATGATGGATATTCATTGAACCTTCTCGTGGACGAGGTGTCTAAAGCTTATGATGGAGTCCTTGACGAGCAAGCCCCAGTGGCATCATTCCAAGCTTTCATCAGACATGTCATAGCGGTTGATGCTGAGAAGGCAAAGGACTTTTGGAGTCGTGAATTTGCAGATTTCGAAGCAATCCCCTTTCCAGCATTGCCTCATGCGGATCATCAACCCAAAGCAGATAGCACAGTACGACGCAATCTGGAGAAATTCCAGTGGCCACAGCGAGATGTCACTCCGTCAACTTGTATGTTCCCATTGTTTCCTTTTATTACCTTACTGTTCTCCCTAGAAATTGCTGACATATTTATCATCGCAGTAATTCGTGCATCATGGGCCATCCTTACTGCGCGGTACATGGATTCGGACGATGTGGTTTTCGGCGCCATGGTTACGGGCCGACAAGCTCCTCTGCAAGGTTTGGACCGCATGGTCGCGCCTCTTATAAATGCTGTGCCTATCCGAGTCAAACTTGACTTCCAAGAATCGGTCGATAATCTGCTCGCTAACATCCAAAAGCAGTCCATCGACATGATTGCCTACGAACAGACTGAGTTGCTCACAATTCGGCGCATTGATACAAACACTGATCGCGGAAGCCGTTTCAATACTCTTCTCGTTGTTCAGCCCGCTATTCAAGGCGAGTCTGACGATCATCCTAATGGCCCCTACGAGCATCCCAGACAATTAGTCTCCGCAACTCAGGACCTGGATGACTCCAATCCAAACGCTATCATGATCATGTGCCAACTTACCAACACGAATGGTCTGCAACTTGAGTTCAGCTTTGATTCTATGGTGGTGGATCCAGCGCAGATGGAACGAATTGCCTCTCAATTCGAGCACGTCTTGCGTCAAGTATGTATCGCTACGACGCAGCCTGTCGACCACGTTCAAACTCTCAGTGGCGCCGACCTGGCAGAGCTATGGAAGTGGAACTCGTCTGTCCCCCCGGCAATTCCTAAATGCGTGCACAGCTTGATCAGTACAACTGCTCAGAAGCATGGAGACCAGCCAGCCATCTGCGCCTGGAACGGCAATTTAACGTATTTCGAGTTGGATGAACTGTCCAATCAGTTGGCCTCGCACTTGATGGCTTTTGGTGTTGGTCCCGGTACCGTCATTCCACTTTGCTTTGAGAAGTCCATCTGGCATCCAGTGGCAGCTCTTGGGGTGATGAAATCAGGTGCTGCGTGTCTCTCAATGGACTCCACTCAACCAGAATCCCGACTGCAGTCTATCGTCAGACAAGTCAATCCTCGGGTTATCCTAGCATCGGCAAAAACCGCAGGATTAGCAAGTCGTTTATCTGATGCTGAAGTCAAGGTGATTGACCAAGATTACCTCGACTTAGTGGCTAAAGATACTCCGGTCCAGCCTTTGCCCACAGTTCACCCATCCGATGTTCTATACGGTGCGTATCTCCTCCTTTTTTTCTCTCTTTCTCTTCAATGACTGTACTAACCTCTTCAATATCAGTGGTATTCACCAGCGGCTCTACGGGAACACCTAAAGGTGTCGTCACTACACATCAGAATTTTGCATCTGCTGCAGTGCATCAAGCAGAGATGCTACGTATTCAACCAGGCACACGCGTATTTGACTTTGTCTCGTACAGCTTTGATGTATCATGGTCCAACACCCTTCAGACATTGATTCGCGGAGGCTGTCTTTGTATTCCCGACGAGTTGGATCGTCGAAATGACATTGCGGGGGCATTCAATCGCATGAATTGCAACTATTCCTACTTTACACCCTCTGTGGTGCGATCTTTGGAGCCATCGAGTATGCCTAAACTCAAAACCTTGGCCATGGGGGGCGAACCCATCCCTACCACTGAGGTTGCTCGGTGGAAACAGACTGAGGCTGTCATTGGAATCTACGGTCCGGCTGAATGCGCACAGGCCCTCACGTTTGCACCTCTACGGTCTAACGGACGAAACAATCATGTAGGGTACTCATATGGAGCCCGGACATGGCTGGTGCAACCGGGCCGCCCCGATCGTCTGGCCGCAATTGGCGCTGTGGGAGAGCTTCTCATTGAGGGTCCCACGGTCAGTCGAGGATATTTCGATGACTCTGACAAGACTGCTGCTGCGTACATTCAAAATCCATCCTGGTTGTTGGAAGGCTCACCAAGCCTTCCCGGCCGTCAGGCCACCCTATACAAGACGGGTGACCTACTTCGATACAACTCAGATGGGTCGCTGGATTTCCTCGGCCGTAAGGATGGTATGGTCAAACTTCGAGGCCAGCGAATTGAGCTGGCTGAAGTTGAATACCATATCCGTGCTAACCTCCGCCATCCTGATCTATGTGATGGCCTTGCGGCAGAGATTATTACCCCGAGCAATAGCAGTCCCATTCTCGCCGTCTTTTTTGCCCTATCTCCCCCTGAAGAGGAGTGGTCCGAAGAAGCCACTTTATCGAAGCTGACGCGTTTGATCGACGGTTTGGAGGATAGGCTTTCCAATTCTTTACCGCAATAGTATGTATTCCCCCATTCAACAACATTTTTGCTACTCTCGACAAATGCGACTGGGGTTAACTGTGATTCTTTCCTAGCATGGTTCCTGGCGCCTACATCCCCATCAACAAGATTCCAATGACTACCACCGACAAAACAGATAGAAGAACTCTACGGCAGTTGGGAGCTGTTCAGACTTTGGAAAAACTAGCAAAACTGCAGTCTCACGGGAATACCCATCATGCACCCACGACAGTGATGGAACAGAAACTACAAGTACTGTGGTCTGTGGTTCTTGGAATAGATCCGAAAATTATCAATGTCGACAGCAACTTCCTCAGAATTGGTGGAGAGTCCATCGCAGCCATGCGACTGGTGGCAGCAGCACGAAATGAGAAGCTCACGCTCACAGTCGCGGATATTTTCAACGCGCCACGGCTCTCTCAACTCGCCCTTTTAGTTCAGGAGGCCACTGAGGAGGAGTCCCTGCCATTGTTGCGACCCTTCGCTTTGCTCAAGGCGAATGATCCAAAGCACTTCTTCGCTGACTTTATTGATCCGCTCCTCGACCCAGGGGCTGGGAACGTTATTGATGTCCTTCCTTGCACCGACTTCCAAGCCTGTGCAATTTTGGATGCTTTCCAAGACCCGCCCAGCCGATTGCCTCATTGGATCTTCGATCTCCCAGCAGATGTCGACTTCTCACGGTTAGAGTTGTCGTGTCGCAAGCTAGTAGACCATTACGACATCCTTCGTACGGTGTTCGTTCAAACGCATGGTCGATTCTGGCAGGTTTTGCTCGAACATTTGAATCCCGCATATGACAACTTCCAGGCAAGTCATGAGGATGATGTGACAACCTTCGTCGATTCCATTTGTGAGCTAGATCGAAAGCGGATTCGAGCCTTTGGCTCTTCCTTCATTCGATTCATGGCAGTACGGAGTCCCTCTGGGAAACACCGACTCATTTTCCGGATCTCGCATGCCCAATTCGACGGATTTAGCTGGGAAACTGTTCTCTGCAGTCTCTCTTCACTCTATTGCGGCGACACTCTCCCTGACCAACCCAAGTTTGCTCAATATATCACCTATAGGGAGGATAAGAAGACAGACGCCTTTGCCTATTGGACCTCGCGCCTCAAACACACTCCAAATCCCAAGTGGAGTAGTATAGATTATTCCAACCATGTGTACACTACCAAGGACCGGCTGACGGTAAAAGCGACGATCCCAATGCCTGAAGGGCAGTTGGTTGAGGGGATGTCGCCCGCAACTTTATTCCATGCCGCATGTGCCATGGTATTATCCCACCAGTATCAGCAAGTTCACGTTGTATTTGGTCGCCTGGTCACTGGCCGGTCGATGCTACCGACCAGTCTGCAAAATGTGGTCGGTCCATCTATGACCGAAATCCCTATCAGCGTGCACATTGATGACCATGCTACTCTTTCGGGCATTGCATTGCAATTACAGCGTCAGCTAATTGAGGATTCCCGATACGAAACCGCCGGGATGGAAGAAATTATCCGAAACTGCACCGATTGGCCAGATGACACAAAGGACTTCGGCTGGCGGACCTCCTTCCAGCAAGAAGATGATCGTAACTTCACTTTCCTTGGAACAGAAAGTCGAATATCATTCTACGAGGCAGATCTGCTGCCTCGAAACCGACCGGAAATATATGCTACCCCACGGGATGGGAAGCTGGATCTTGAATTTGAGGGTAATCGCCAGTTGATCAGTGAGGATGATGTTCAACGTTTCATTCAAGGTCTGAAAACAGTGTTGAGTGTCGTTTGATATGCGACCAGAACAGCCTTTCGTATTTTTTTATACTTCAAATTTCAATGCTATCAAGTTCAGAAAGCTGGTGTACGGACGATGTATGGTATGAATAATCCCTCGGGACCAGAGTTGCTTGAATAAATTGTCGATTGTCTCCGGATTGACCTTGCAGCTGGCCTCGATGGCGGCGAGGTACTTTTCTTGGGCACTACGACCGTCAGCCTTGCCATGCAGATCGATACTTTGAAATGGCACTCATGAGGTCATTGTAAAGAAACGGTACTGTGTTGAATTTGAGAAATGTAGAAAGCTAATCGAGCAAGGTAGAGGATGCCCAGTATTTAACCTCATTATTGTCTATAATAGTCAATGTATAGGCAAAACAATCGATCAAGTGCTAGAATATCCCCTAGGCTGACCAACTAGGCAAACGAAAGTCTCCATTTGATCATTTGCCATTAACTTGACAGCTGGGCGTATCGAGGCACTGAATCAGGAATCTGTGTGGGGCTTACCCCCTACGCCTTACATTTAACATACAGTACAGCGGCTTAGATATCAACCAATACTTTTTTCGGAGACTTTTTAAGCTTGGCGAGTGCAAAAAAACCGGAATAAAACTAGGTACGCCACATTGGTAAGGATGTATTGACCATTGAAGATATTCCGTTGATTAACACAGAGTGACGTCGTTGACATCAGGCTAAACGGAAGGGGGATCTTGTTCGAAACTATATAACACTGCATATTTCATATTCATATTCTTCTCCGGGCGCAACAGACAGTCAACTAACCATGCCTTCAGCCATAGTCACTGGTGCCACTGGTAAGCGGTATTGTCCTGGACTTTGCCATAATATATGAAGTTAACCTCGGTAAGGAATCACCGGGAGTGCTATCGTGCATCACCTCCTCAAAGATGCATCTTTCGACAAAATTTACTCGTTCTCTCGTGGGAACCCAGGGTACAAAGACCCTATAGTCCAGCATATTAGCCTGGACCTCCAAAGCTCAGCCCAAGACATGGCCCAGGCCTTCCAGAGCGTTTCCGCCGAGTATATCTTTTTCTGTGCGTACTTGGCTTCAGATGATCAAGTCGAGCTATCGCGAACAAACGAAGCGTTGCTTTCTAATTTTCTGGAGGCACTCGAGCTCAACGACGCTGTCCGCAGGATCAAGCGCTTCGTTCTCACCTGCGGATTCAAGCATTATGGTGAACATATCGGACCCGGGAAGCAGCCGCTAGTCGAGGATGACCCTCTTCTAGAGAACGACCTTGGTGGGGTGTCCTGGCCGCCAATCTTCTACTACCCCCAACAAAGAGTTCTAGAAAAGGCAGCTAAGAAAGGTGGCTGGGAATGGGTTGCTACGCTCCCGGAAGACGTTCTTGGATACGCCCGAGGCAATTTTATGAACGAAGCAACGGCCCTCGGACTTTACTGTGCTGTCAGCAAAGCCCTCCCTGGCTCGGAACTGCCATTTATCGGTAGTAAGGCGAACTATTTTGCTTTCAATTGCTGGACATCAGCGAATCTACATGCCAAGTTCTGTCTCTGGGCAGCTGTCGCGCCGGGTGCAGGAAACCAGATCTTTAATGTGATCAATGGCGATACAGAATCCTTCCAAAACCTCTGGCCACGTATGGCCGCCCGGTTTGGGTGTCACATTCCCGATCCCATGTTTCCCAATGGCGGTATTCCAGATACCAAGGGATTCAGGAACTACGAGTCATCTACAATTCGACTACCAAATAATCCTCCTCTCAAGGCGTCAGCCACATCATTGGGTCTCTCTACAGACCCGGATTTGGAGAAACCACCTACACTTTTCCTACAGGTTGACCCAGAGAAATGGGCCAAACGGGAGGATGTCAACAAGGCATGGGTTCAGCTTCGGGAAAAGTACAATCTTGACCAACACGCATGGGATAAGGCGACTTGGAACTTCTTAACCATGGCACTGGGTAGAGACTGGAGTTGTGTAGGGAGTATGAGTAAGGCAAGAAAATTGGGCTGGACTGGGTATGCAGATACTTGGGATGAGTTGGAAGAGACATTTGAAATTCTGGAAAGTAAGGGTGTTCTTCCGCCTTTGAGTCAGTTGAAGCAGGATTTCTAGTCTGCTGTTGAGAAAGAACAAATGCTGTCGAGCATCATGTGCTGTTGCTCTTGGAAAGTTGGGCTCGAGGTTGCCGTAGGTAGACCTAGCTCTCTCTTCCCTTCTTCTCTCTCTGAGTCTTAAGCTTCAATACAGAATGTTTCTGCTTTTTCTTGTATCTCCGTTTCGGTACATGCTTCTCCCAAAATCCTATATTAGGACCATTTTACATGCATTGGCAAGATTGTTCCTATTAGTGCATTCATACACCATACACTTTCCGTACATGAAAGAGGAAAACCCCACACGGAAAATGATTGGAATCCGGTAAGGGGACTATCATGCTTATCATGCATCTAGCTTTAATGCACTAACACAGCTGCAGGTTACAGCCGATCAGGCAATCGATCAAAATGACCCTATTCTCGGGTACAATGTATCTTGAAATTCGTGATGTCGCTCAGAGCCACGTCGATGCGCTACAAGACCGACAATAGCACTCAAACGCATTGCTCGTGATACCAAAGCGTACAGCAATGGAACGCAAGACCATCGAAATGCCATTGGTGAGCTCTTGTCTGAGATCAGTCGCTTGCGCAGTAGATAACCAGTCTACGCCGGGGGAAAGGACCAGCTTGCTAGTCATGCTATGAATGCAATAACCAGTGATCACCAAGTCCCGCAACGCGATGAAGCCCTTTATGTGGGCGAATACCCGATACCCATATTTTGACGAGACACCCCTACATTTCTCCCAAATTTCCTTCCATCTAACTTGTATATTGTCCACTGACCATATATATGGCAAAACATATTCCAGCGACAATTTCGAAGTTACGAATGAGACTTTCAGTAACCGAGATTAAATCCTGCATTTACTATGGTTTTGTAAGGTAGGTGGCTCGCATATGAAATACGTTATTATTAAAGTGGTTATATAATGAAGTGATTTCGAGTATCCCTCAGTTCCTAGACCTGAGGGATAACGTATTTCCTGGGCGAGCTGCGCAGTCCGGAACACATAGTAAATGCGATAAATCACTACTTGATATTTTACCACCATTTTATTTTATTTTATTGTGAGTCGATAGCTGTTGATAAGACTTAACACCACTGTATATTAATATTGGAGAAAGTAGAAGGCTATATGATCATTATTTCGAAATTTACCGAAATTTACGTTGCAAAAAGCTAAAGATATATATATCGCGATTATCAAGTCATGAATATTTTACATTGCGGAATCAACTGACAACGAGGATGATTATTAGAGATTACTCTTGAGTATTGTAGCACTATATCTTTATTGAGGTCATAATTTCCCTTGATGACTACTCCGTACTTGGTAAGGGAGCCGCATCTCGTATCCCCCTTTCTTCCCGAGGTCCATATATCATTTTCTTCGCATTTAGAATAGAGTCTCCAGTATGCCACCAAAGTTCATCTCAAAGTGTGATCATAAGTCTATCTGTTTGTCCTCCTCTACTCATGCTACTGTAGCAGGTTTCAGGAGACAAGGCCCAAGGCAACGTCTTGCTGCGATAAAAGCAGACAACCGAAGCTTCCCACGGGAAAACAAACTCTTCCTCGAAGAAGATGACAGAGTTTTCCCTGCACCCTTGTTGCTGCCTGGAGATGACCTTTCCGGGGACCCAGAAGACCCGCAGAGTTTTCAAGAATGGCTTGGTGGGGAACACCGCAATCCGGTAACTGCAAAACAAAACACTGTCTATATCGTTCCATCTCCTCAAATTGACCCCAATGTTGACTTCATGCGAACATGGACAACACCAAAATGTCCAGGCGATGAGCATTCCACAAAGCCTCCTAGTACAAAGGACGTCCAGGATTATCTGACTGCCTTCTACCACGGTCTTCCTGTCAAGATGATGCCACCATCTACCTTGCGGTTCATTCCATGGGAAGAACCCACAAAGAGACCTCGGAAAAAGACAGGCCCGCAATACCTGGGTCTGCAATCCGGCGACGAGTGCGTGCGGATTCGCTCACGTACCTTGCCAGAGGGGGCATATGGGGGCCAAGTCAATCTAGATGATCTTCTCGATACGGCCGTTAGCATTTTACCAAAGGATGCATATGCCCTTTTGATTCTTGTGGACTTCGATCTCTACGAGGATGACGAGGACGAGTTTGTATGTGGCCGTGCATACGGAGGAAGTCGCGTTGCAGTGGTATCCAGTGCAAGATACAACCCCATACTGGATAATATGCAAGATGTTGAGCGTCTCCATGCATGGCCTGCGTCGCATTGCAATAAGTACATGTCGGCTTGTGCTTCGGCGGAACCAACTGCAAAGAGACAGAAAAGATCTCAGGTCAACAGTCGAGGATCACAAAATTCGACTTCGGAGCTAAACGGTCCTGTGAGGGATGCAGTATCAGTCTACCGTTCCCTCCCAGAAGTAGATTCATCACCTTCATTGCTGTCTGCGCTCTGGTTGGGCCGTGTTTGTCGGACGGCGAGCCATGAATTGGGACATTGCTTTGGTGTTGCCCATTGCGTGTACTACGCATGCTCAATGCAGGGCACCGCGTCTATCAGCGAGGACGCAAGACAGCCACCTTATCTCTGTCCGGTTGATCTGGCGAAGATACTTTGTGCCACGTCAACGTCTGCGTCTGAGCGATACCGGGCTCTTCTAGCGTTTTGTGAACGGCCTGGTAATAGTGGTACACATTTCTTCGCACCGTTGGCTACTTGGATCCGAAGTAGGTTAGCCCAGATCAAGGACTCGACATGAGTTTCTTAATGGCGATGGTGCTTTTTTGCTTTTCCATGCCGATGATAGGTGGGGGTTTGGGATGTAGATAAGCAGTCCCTAAGTATCTCTTTCGCAAACTCTTCGCAAACTCAAAGGAATATATTAAGGGCTTGTATGGATAAAGTTGATCAAGAACCTTGGAACAGGAATTCTAGAAAGACTTTAAATCCCCGGCAACCAGTCTACAACATACAGTAGAGTGTGTACCATGGTATGTACCATGGTATGTTGTACTATAACCTCGGCACTTCCAAAAATGAATTCTACCTTCGAACCCCACTATCCCTTGCATGTGGTGTGGTATGGGTTTTGAGACCATCAGGAACTCACCCTAGCGATTGAAGAGAACTCTCGGTCGAGAGAGTAGGGAATAAGATCCGGTTCCTGTGTTGTCTATCTCAGCAAAAACGAGCCGTCGTTTCAAGTCTTGCGATCCGAGAACGTTCCACGGTTTCCATTAGTGATAGTTGGGGTCATCTTTGTTTTTGTTTTTTTTCTAGCAATAAACAGAGGGAAACTGACGAGCGAGCAGGTAGTATGAGAGATTTTTTTGGGGCACACTTATTTTCTAAAAGTATGTCTCGATCGGGTGTTCCTGATGGCCGACCTTGCCAAGCCGTTTCAAGTTAAGAATTTGGGGGTTTGAAAATGTCTTTCAGCCCAGCGCCACCCATACACCGCATACACGGGAGAAGTTCGGTTAACGGTGTATGAAACTGTCTATGGTTTTCGAAGCTTAAAAGGGTTTAACCGAGAGATCTTGGCGTGAACTGGTGGATCACCGATCAGAGTTGGAAGCAAAAATAGTAACTGTTTCAAGTAGAGTGAGGTTCCTGACGGACCGTGGATCTGAGCATTGTTGCTAAGGTTCGTCGAACTTGTTTTGTTTTTTTTTTGGTTCACGATGAAACATCCGACTGTTTCCGCCTGTTTCCGACTGGAGTAGGTGGTGGGGAATAGAGCACGTGAGAGATCGATTCCGTAGGAAACGGTCGGAGTGGTTTTTCACGTTTTGCGATTTCAAAAACTGCTCGAATCACAACTTAATAGCAGCTATACATAATTCGGCCGATCGTAAGACTACCTTCGGCCGATTGTTCCGAATAAACTATCGCAGAGGCGTTGGACTAGTCGAAAATGATTTTGGGGTTTTTTTTCTTTTCGAGTGGTTTTCTTTGTTCTAGACTGTATTTCGTACTTCGTACTCGTACGTGGTACACGGATAGAGAATGCCGGCGAAAATCGAATTATTGGAAGATCCGTTAGATCAAAGAACACCCGTACTTTGTGTATATGTGTATAGAGTACGGAGTACAATGTTTGTCCTTTGAATCCCAAAGAATTCGACATTTTGTTCCAGTTACTTTTAGTCATTTTTCCCGAGGGAGCTGTACCAAAGATACTCTCCTGCATTGGACCGATCCTGACAACGGGGGGAGCTGCAGCTAGAGATGAAAACTGCAGCTTGCAGTCCCATTTCTGGCATTAGCCTCTTACAAATCAGGTCATCGCAATTTCCATGGTGCAGGTACAAGGGTATCCGAGAGGTTTACCGTCACATGCACTGTCTGCAGCGACCACTCGTGGAGCTCTTCCGCGTGGGGTGAGACATTGGCTTCATTCATGCAGATCACAACTTTTAGTGTTGTTTGAAAACCGGTAGTTTGCGGAGCAGTGGAAGAGAAGTTTGCTGGCCAAGGTTATTTCTCGAATTCATTGAGCAGTCCCCTACTGTTTTCGGTATTTGTTTGGTTGTCCCCTGTATAGAACATTCAGTACCATCAGCACATTAAACAAGTGATTCAAAGACAATTTTACAATTTTGAGGGATTGTGCTTTCTCCACTTTGGGGACTAAGGCACTTTTAGCTTGTTTTGATATTAAGCCACCCTTGAATAGATAATCTGATTCGACTATGCAACCCACAAAGTGGAGACTCTCCCCTGCTCAGTTGCATAACTTCATATTCCATTCACATTTTAAACCCAACTAAGTAGCGTCTTAACTAGTGCTGTCAGCAATACTAAAGGCCTAGATGCTGCTATCCTTGTTTTTGTTTTTTTTGTTATGTCGACGGAGTAGCTTTGTCTTGAGCAAACTCTTCGTGAAAAGCCGGGTTTGCGCTGTACTATTATTTACCATAGTTGGTCAAGAACGTACACTTCCCTGTAGGACGTAACCATATTCCTGCCGACGGTATACTTTGGGATAGTCTCTCGCGTTGTACTTGTATGTACTCTATACTCCCTACTATTAAATATATCTTCCGTATGAACAATACATGTATGATCCGAGTTTGTCAAAAGTCTGTACCTCAGAAAGCACCGAGAATTCAGTGGCTAACAAGTTCCCCTCGATAGCCTTAAATTGCTATCGTGTACAACATAGACTGAATTGACAGGTGTAAGTTTCACGGAATCGGACGTGTCCATCTTTGCCTGATATGGTCAAGAGCATGCTGTACCTGCGCTAATTCCCCGGGAGCAGTGGAACACGCATTTGACAACGGGCCACTCGGAATGCCGCTTACACTTTTTAGTACAAGGTTCATGAGAATCAGATAGTTGGATTTGGTCTGTAAGGCGTACTCCATAGATGTGTAAAATAGAATATAGTTCCTGTGGAGATAGAAAGGGGGTTAACTTCAGATACAAAATTGTGATGTTAGAACGTTTCAACCGTCCCAAGGTTGATCTTGTTGATCCTTTTCCTCTTAGAAATTGGCAGTTTTCTTTTCTTTTTTTACGTTTATTTCCCAATAGGGTCTTGGAAGGGACATATCTTCCACTTCCAAATGAGTTCATCTCTACCCGAATGGACGGAGTACGGAGTAGTTAACATTCAGATGCCATAAATATGATGAATCTCGTAAATGTCATAAATATGATACATTTTCCAACTCTACCAAAAATAGCTCGGGACATGGCCCACAAGTAACCAGTTTAGCCCGTCAGGAGTCATGATCCACCTGAAAGATCCCAAGTCTCCATCTTCTCATCCCTGAAGCCTAAGGGGTCGATAGCTCCAAATGTGGAATTGGAGACCGGGGTAGAACCAGTATGAGTTTGTTCCGATCCTGACGCAGTTGAGTACCTGGGATTGTTGCCCGGAACCCTCCCGGCTTATAGGTGATCAGGGGGTATATAAACAACCATGGCGATCACCTCTTCGGATCTTCAATTCTTCAACTATCTTTTCTTTCTCTTTTCACTCTTTCCTGTCTATCTTAATTCTTTTGGCGGCTTCTGCCTGCCTGTCCAGTCTTTCGCTTCTGTATACCCTTGTTCAGAAGGCTTTACACATCCAATACCTTTTGGACTACACATTCGTTAATACAACACAAAAAAACGCAACATGCGTTCTTCTCTCGTTATGCTCGCCGGTCTGGCGGGCGCGGCTCTCGCCTACCCTACCGATAAGGCCGTGGAGCCCCGTACCCTGGGTCTCCTCGGTGAGCTCCTCGGAGACATCACTGTCGACGTGACCTCTATCCTCGGTGCCGTCCTCGACCACTCCCACTCCTCCGTTGAACTTCTTGCTGGTCTGAGCGCTGAAGGTGCTGCTGCTCTCTCGGGTGGTGCTCTTGGCTGCAAGTCTGGTGTCATCCACCACAAGGCTAAGGCCGCCCTCAAGCTTTGGTTGCTCTTCCACGCCGACCTTGACGTCTCCCTCAAGAAGTCACTGATCTCCTGGTGTGAGGGTAACGACGAGCTCGTTCTCTCCGCAGACGTCCTGGCTGCTTTGTCTGTGTATATCCCCGGATGTGCCGATATCGCTGCCCAGGGCCAGCTTTACGTGACCATTGACGGTATCTTTGAGGCTGCCAGCCTCGAGTCCGCTCTTGTCCTGAGTGCTGGTGCTCAGGCTTCCCTTTCTGCTTGGATTGAGGCTAGGCTTGATCTTGATGCCGGTGTCAAGGTCGGTCTGAATGTCTGCGCCGCTGGTGGTGTTGTCGGCAGTCTGTCGGCTGACATCAAGGCTACCCTCCTCGCCTGGATCAACAGCAAGGAGTGCGACCTCAGCGCTCACCTCAAGGTCTCGGTTCTTGCCTGGATCAATGGTCACGCTGGTGGTGACCTTGTTGAGATTGGTGCTCTTACTGAGACTGCTCTCTCTACCATCTCCGTTGGTGCTTCCGTCGGTGTGCACGTTCTGGAGTCCGGCCTTCTGTCTATTGGCGGCCAGGCCTCTCTCGCCGCCTTCCTGGGCGTCGATCTCGCTGCTGATCTCGCTGCCGATGTCAAGCTCGGTCTCCAGGCATGCGCCAAGGGTGAGCTCGCCACCGCCGTCGAACTTGACATCCGCACCCAGCTCGCCATCTGGCTCCACAGCTCTGACTGCTCTCTGGGCGTCGAGCTGAAGGCTGTCGTCCTTCTTTGGCTGTCCTTCGCTGTCGAGGCCGATGTCTCCGTTTCCCTCGACCTGGTCGGTGGCCTCGTCGGCGATGTCACCGGTCTCCTAACCGAGACCGTCACCGATCTCAGCGTTGACCTTCGTGGCGCCCTTTCCCTTTGCGCTGCCGGCGGTAGCTTGCTTGATCTGACCTTCGCTGCCCGTGCTGAGCTCGCTGCCTTCCTCAGTGGCTGCACTTCCATTGATATCGATGTCACCATCCAGATCATCATCATCGAGTGGTTCACCGGCTGCAGCATCCCCGGTGCTCCCTCCGCCCCCGCCTCGTCTTCCGTTCCCAGCCTGCCCTCCAGCACCCCCTACCTGCCCAGCACCTCCGCTGTGCCTTCCGGTCCCGGTGCCTCCGTTTCCGTCTCTGTTCCTGCCGGCACCCCGGTCTCCAGCGGCCCTGCTGCCAGCACCACCCCCTGTGATACCGAGACCTCGCAGATTGTCAGCTCTACTGTCATCCCCGGCCCCAACGGCTCCGGCTCGATCACTGTCACCGCCCCTGCTGTTCCCACCGGTACCACCATCCCCAGCGGCCCTGTTCCCTCCGGCCCTGCCTCTTCTGGACCAGTTCCCTCTGGCCCTGGTGCCAGCACTACCCCTTGTGACACCGAGACCTCGGAGATTGTCAGCTCAACTGTGATCCCCGGTGGCCCCAACGAGTCCGGCTCCCAGACCGTTACCATCCCTGCCGTGCCCACCGGCACCGCCCCTGCTGAGACCCCCTCCGGCGTCGCTCCCACTGGCACCCCTGGCGTTACTGGGCCCGCTCCCTCTGGCCCTGCTGCCAGCACCACCCCTTGTGATACGGAGACCTCGGAGATTGTCAGCTCTACTGTGATCCCCGGTGGTCCCAACGAGTCCGGCTCCCAGACCGTTACCGTCCCTGCCGTGCCTACTGGCACCGCCCCTGCTGAGACCCCCTCCGGCGTCGCTCCTACCGGTACTCCTGTCGCGTCTGGGCCCGCTCCCTCTGGTCCTGCCCCCAGCGGCCCCGCTGCCAGCTCCACCCCTTGTGACACCGAGACCTCGGAGATTGTCAGCTCTACTGTGATCCCCGGTGGTCCCAACGAGTCCGGCTCCCAGACCGTTACCGTCCCTGCCGTGCCCACCGGCACCGCCCCTGCTGAGACCCCCTCCGGTGTCGCTCCCACCGGCACTCCTGGCGTTACCGGGCCCGCTCCCTCTGGCCCTGCTGCCTCTACTCCCTGCGACACTGAGACCTCCGCGATCGTCACCTCAACCGTGATTCCCGGTGGCCCTGCTCCCTCCGGCCCAGCTGGCACCACCGACGTGCCCGTTCCCTCCGGCCCAGCTGCCTCAACCCCCTGCGACACTGAGACCTCCGCGATCGTCACCTCGACTGTCATCCCCGGTGGCCCTGCTCCCTCTGGCCCTGCCCCTACTAGCGCTCCTAGCCTCCCCTCCGGCGGTAGCGATGTTGTCACCGTCACCAAGACTGTGACTGCCACCGTCTGCGGCTGCGAGTAAAGCAGACACTATTCCGGGGCATATTCCGAAGACTCGGCCCTGAAAGGTCTCTCATAGTATTTCTTTCGTCAATTGTTAATTTTTGCTTTTTGAGCCCTATCCACGACAAGATGATTTTCGAACATGGGTGTCAATGTGGCTACCCATGCTTCAGATACCCTTCCATCCCACCCGGTGATCTGCCGTCTCTCCACATCTGGCGTCTCTGTAGATATATAATTCTAATTCTAATCTGCTCGTGTGGAGATTGAAATATCCTGTTCATCATGGGTATCGGATATCTCTTGTTCTGGTGTGTTTATGTATGGTACTGGATATCGGCCTGCTGAAGATCCCTTGTTAACTGATGACTTTGAGTATATATATATATACATATTTCCCTTCAATGGAGTACATTCCTTTATTTGTGTTCATGTGCCGGACTTTTGAGACAATTGTAGTGCTATACTTCCTTTAAGATCTTAAAATCTTTCGAATTGACCATGCCACCAACTAGCTAGCTGGCTGAGTGGGTTAAGTATATAGCTATAGGCTATAGTTTGGTAGGAGAATATTATCACCTTTTCGATTACGAAGGGCAGTTCACTTTACAGGGTACATGCCAGAGCACGTAAATCATAAAAAAAAAAGAAAACAATAATTGGAATTGTTACAAAGTACATGTACAGCGCTAAAACGCAGACATTTCGTTGGAGTAAATCTCAAAGTTCAAGTCACGCATGGCCAGTGTTAATCCTTCCCACTGGTTCTTGCTGCTCTCGTTTAGTCCTGCTTTGGCTGTGAAACACTACTCGGCTTCTCACTAGACCGGCGACGCATAGCAATACATCTCTCACGGAGCAATTTCTCACGAAACTCAGTTGAATTTATCCATGAAGAAAGTGGTTTCTTGGTCTAAGTGTTGCGAGTTTGTTAGTATCCGATTCAACATAGCAACTTCAGAAACAACATGACATGTGAAATTTTTAGACGAACATTAAGTAAGAATTGATTCTGGGTGGTAAAAGGAGACAAGGTAAGGGTCGAACCAGGAATCTCTATTCTCAATGACCAACCTGCTCGGCAACTTTTGTCTCACTGTCATCAGCTTTGGACGGGTCATCAGCTTTCAAGGGGGGTCGGGTGGGATTATCGTTCTCATCAGCCATCTTGCGTCGTTTCTCATCAGGGTTGTATCTTTCCAAAGAGCGGCGCCGCTTGCCGTCGGTGTCCTTCTTGGGGCTCCGGCTGCGGCTACGGCTCCGACTGCCGCTGGGGCTGCGGCGTCGACGGTTCTCACCACGATCACGTGTACCAGCACGGTCAGGGCTGCGGCTGCGGCTGCGGCTCAAGCGACGAGAATCGCGGCGGGCATAGCGTCCAGATGAGCGGCGGGATCTCGAGGGAGATACGGACTTGGGAGAGTCTGCCTGGCGCCGGGTGTGGCGGGGCGGCGATGATACACTGCGGCTACGAGAGATGGAGCTTCGTCGGCGGCGGTCTCCTCTGGGGGAACGTGAGCGCGGGGAACGGCTGCGGGAAATGGGTCTTGCTTTAACACGGTCACCGTAATCCGGACTGCTGCGTCTTCTCGCTCCTCCGCGGTTGCGTCGCTCGGGAGATACTGAGTTGCTTGTGGAACGGGGGCGGCGTTCGCGTCGTCTGTGGCGTAGCTCATCGTGAGTTCGACGAGATGGTGATGATGGCTTTGGGGATCGAGATGGAGAACGAGTGCCGTGTGAAGACTTGGATGGTCGGCGGCCACGGCGATTGCCAGGCGGCACGTAGGAGTCAAAGTCACGTCGCGGAAGAGGCTCGCGGAATCGGTCTCGGCTACGGTCTTGGTCTCTGGGAGGGGAAGATCGTCTGTTGTTGAAGTCTCGCCCTCGACCTCGGCCACCGCGATCACCACCTCTTCCTCCACGTCCGCGGTCTGGTCCACGGTCTGTTCGCTCGCGACGTCTCACATCGTCCAGCTCTCGTTCGCGGTTTTGGTCTTGTTCCCTTTGGCGTCGAAGTGCTTCACTAGCTTTCTCGGCCTCGAGCTATATTGTAGTATGGTTAGAAAATATCCAAGGTCAAGGGCACGCTTACAATCACCTTCTCTTGTATGAGCTCAAGCTTCTTGGCCTCCAGGAGCTCCTTCGGAACTCCCTGTGGATTGGCCTGACCGCTCAGACACAACGACCACAGCTCTTGGCAGAACTTGGGAGTATCTTTGTCGAGGAATCCGGTAAGTTGGATTTGGAGAGATTTGATATCGGGCTAGAACCAGAAACAGGCGTCAGCAAAGTAGGGTCGAGACGCTAGATATCCGACGGCCCAACATACATAGCGTGGTCCCTCCAGATGTGCGAAACAGAGCTCGATAACAACGTCATCCTCGTTTCCCAATATTTTGGAGATTTGACTTGCGATCCATCTACGTAGGTGGGGAAAAAGCAATGTCAGTAAACCGGAGATCCGAAAAAACGCCGGGAAAGCCACTTACTTCTTCATAACCTCGATATTGACCTTGGTCATATCCACCTTTTTATTGAACTCAGGGGGGAACTTAGTCCGCCTAATGAGCTTCGCATCCACGCTGGACGCCATTTTTGCTAGAGTCCGAGGTGAAGGAAGGAAAGTCCATGACGAGCAGACGCGAGATAGATGTCCGCGGTGTTCTCATTGCACTTGTGGTCGCTCGCGGATGCCGTAGTTAGGATGTTCGCCCGATTCCTAAGGCGCCAAACCCCCCAATATCCAGGAGTTCGACAACATCCATACTGCCATACTAGCTAGGTAGATCTAGATGTCTGCGGTTTTTATCCTTGCACATGATCATTTAATTTCATTTCTTATTATGATATCCTATCTTTTTTTAACAAAAATAAGAAGAAAATGATATGCTAGGCTGATTCTTTATTTTTCCCTCTTGAAGTATATATGTCTGTGCCCCCCATAAATGACTACCATGTATGTAAGTCTCATCATTTTTTTAGCACTTCTATAGCCATAAAGCGATAAAATTAATTTCTTATAATCCTACTACATTATAAAGGCTACATAAGTTAAGACATATAAGCAATTTCACGTTCCTTCTAGATAAACAAAATCGATTCATAGTAGTCAAACACCTCAAAGCTACGCTTTTTGTACATCCTTTCAGGGCTACTCTGATATTCTAGTAGTAGTAGGGAGTCAATGATCTAAGTCTTGTCGATGTTGAATACACCTGAATTATCGGGTTTCTTTTCAACTTCGGATTTCCCTATCAATAAATTAATCATACCGAATATTGGAAGGGAGTGACGGCCATTTATATTGACGATAACACCTCATTCACATCACTTGATACTTAATAGAAACTTATATTCATGAATGTACAATGAAATCCCCTGATTGAGGAGTACGGCAGCATTATCAAGTTTAATCTAGTAGTCTATAGAGGGAGACTAGAAAGTGGAGGTTACCCGGCCAATCCCAAATCGGGTATAAGGGACTGATTGCGGCCTTGGGATTTACTTAAGGTACTAGGACACTCTTGCCAGGGAAAATTGGGGTATTATTAGCCTAGACTTGTGTCCCCCTTTTTGTGCAATCTTCTCCACTCAAGCGCAGAATCAATTCTTTCAAGTGTCTCTGATATGTTATGATGTCGACGTCGCCATAGCAACGACAAACACGTGACTGTATAGCGCGCCCACGACGAAACCTCGAGACTGGGCTTTCTCCAGGATCAACAAAACAATCGACAACTTTGGAGGGGCCACATTGATCCACGACTTCAATGTAGGTATTATCGCCATGGCGTCCCCGAATTCCCTCCCAGCATACAACGAACTGTACCGACAGCCACCCCGACCGATGTCCCGATCCGCGGTTTCACACTCGGGTTCCAGACGGGTATCTCCATCAACACAAGCTATGCCCAAACACTACTCTGGGGACAGCTCCGATGAAGAGGTCCCGGAACCTAAATTCAGCGCTTCTGTAAAAGCATTACTGCATGGGGATGGATTAGGTTCTTCGCCTCATTTGCAAAAGGCACATATGTCGCACGAACCTCGAATTGAAACATCAAGACAGCAAAGCCGCTCACCCCGGAATTCGTCCCCACACGACTCATCTAATGGTAGCCCGGCCCCTAGAGTCGTTCGTATAGGCGCTATCTCTTCCGCTTCTCGATTCTCACGCGAAAGCTCCCCACTATCAAATAGCCAGAGCGCAGAACAAGAGCACCATAGCCACCCAAATGATTTTATTACTCCCGCTCCACGCCAGCGCAGTGTTCGTATCAATGTTTCGCGCAGCAATACACGATCCCCCGCCTCTGTCTCACCTTCAGGAAAGCGCTCGTCGGAACGCAATTCGGGTGACGAGTATGGTAGTGCAGAGCGCTCGGATAGTGATCGGAAATCGCAATATGACGATGACCCAGCATTGCGATATGGCCTTTCTTCCGCGTTGCGAGGCCACGGCGGCGAAGAAATCGCTCCACACAGCTCACTACGTGTCAAGCGGGTTGGTCGACTTGCTGGCACTTTCTTGAACGGCCCTGCCCGGAGGGGCGTGCTACGTCGTCAGAGCGAGGAAAGTAATGAGGAAAACCACCAATACCTCTCGGCTGATGGCGTCCGGGAGGATGTCGAAGGAGAGGAGGAGAATGCCGAATACCGACCTCGCAACTCAGCAAAACCCTCATCCCCCAAGGTGTCATGGGCCGATCCAAGCCCGCCTCTCATGCGTGAATCCAATCGACCAGAATATCCTCTTCGCCCTGCTGAGGTTGAAGGACCGTTTTCGAGGTCGTCTTCGCCAAAATCATATGGCTCAAAGTCTACACCCGCTTCATCAGAAATGTCTTCCAAATCATCAATTGTGAAGGAACAACCTGTATTCAAGGTTCCTTCAATACCGGCGTTGCCATCGGTCCGTGACCAAGAGAATGAACCACCGCCAACTTTCCGGCGTACAAAGCCCCAAGGGTTGAATGTGTTGGATAAACCTGAAAAGTATAATGTTGTCTACGATACCGAGAAGAAAGATGTAGCAGAGACTCCAGCAACCAACTCCGCACGAAAGATACTGGCCACACGGAGCAACAATACCCCTCATAGGGCCGCCCCTCCTCCTCCGAAGATGTCAGTTCTTGAGACTGCTACTTCCACAGCAGGCGCATCGACATCCCAATCACGAAAAAAGAAGAGTCAAGTCGCGATAAATGGCAAGCATTTCACTCGGCTCGATTGTATTGGCCGCGGCGGCAGCTCGCGTGTCTATCGAGTGATGGCAGAGAATTATAAGATTTTCGCTCTCAAGCGTGTCAATCTTGAAGATGTCGATCCAGTGACTTTGACCGGATACAAGGGTGAAATTGACTTGCTGAAGAAGTTGGAGAATGTGGACCGTGTGGTGCGCTTATTTGACTGGGAGCTGAACAATGACAAACATGCCCTTAGTGTGCTTATGGAGATTGGAGAGTCCGATCTTGAAAAAATTCTTACATTCCGTTTAAATGCTGAAGATGCTGTGTTTGATATCAACTTTACTCGATTTTATTGGAAGGAGATGCTCGAGTGTGTCCAAGCTGTCCACGAGTACAATATCGTTCACTCAGATCTGAAGCCGGCCAACTTCCTCATGGTTCAAGGCCGGCTGAAGCTCATCGACTTTGGAATTGCCAATGCGATTCAAGATAACACGGTCAACGTTCATCGTGAACAGCAAGTCGGCACACCCAATTATATGTCCCCTGAGGCATTGGTTGATTCTAACGTGTCGCTTGGTCTGCCTTCAAGTGTTGGAAAAGTCATGAAATTAGGAAAACCCAGTGATGTCTGGAGTTTGGGTTGTATTCTGTACAAGATGGTTTACGGACAACCACCATTTGCCAAGATCGCCAAATATTATGAACGCATCATGGCTATCCCAAACCCCCGTGTACAAATCGATTTCCCGGCATTCGGCGTCGGTGGCGTCCCTGTGCCTCCCGGCCTTGTTCGGACGCTCAAACGCTGTCTGCAGCGTGACCAGACTCTCCGACCAACCATCGAGGAGATGCTCGGCCCGCGCGACCCTTTCTTGCACCCAGATGCTCAGCTTGAGGGTGCTGTTCCAGTCACCCAGGATATGCTTGGCCGTATCTTGGCCAACGTCGTCAACCACTGCAAAGCCCGCGGTGTACCTAGAGAGGAAGAACTGGCTGCATGGCCCGCAGGCTTCTTCGCAAAAATAAAAGCGGCCCTTGAAGAAGAAAATCCATGATAACACCCGACCGCTCCTTTCACTTTATTTCCTTTGTCTTGACTGCCCTATCGGCCTTTTCTCATGTTCCCTTTTTGGTTCAAACGACTTAATGACTGGTGTTGGATATGTTGATTTTCTTTTTTGTCTTCAGTTTGGTTGGCTTAATTTGCGGGATATATGGCTGTCTGTGTTTCTTTGCATTGTCTCTTCTCTTCTTTCTGCATCATCCTTCGGGGTGTTTGTCCGACCCAACCATGTTGCCTTATGGTGGGTATTTATTGACGACTCTCGGTTCAGCGCAGCGTGTTGACTTTCATTCCCGTACATGACCTCATTAGCCTTTTCATCTTTTCTCCTTCAGGGTGGATACTGTTCTAGTATAAGCGTTTTTAGAGTGACAATACCACCCAATTTGGTTAGAATGTTTAATTGACAACCTGTCTATCTTCTTTACTTAGATACTATACTGCGTTCACGGGTGTTTCTCATCCTATGGGCTACTTGGAAATCCGATTAAGTCTTTGATCCATGATCTTGTAATGTCTTACAATGGAGATGCTGCTTGTCTTCATAAAATCATAGTTGATAAATGCCTGACTATCTAAAAACTAGCTATGTCCATTCAGAAGGCAAACATGCGGAATACTTTTCGTTTGAAATCAATGGACTTGACTTTGCGCCATTAACACCGCCCAAGAATAGAACAGTCTTGATAGACCGTATGTATCAAGAAAGGGAAATATAGAACTGCCTGAGCATGGAGGTATCGAAGACAGGCGGGTGCCTGCCGGGAATGTAGAGGAAGTGCTTGTGGTCAGATTAGACAAGGAGGACCCTGTTGTAGGTTAGTTTTAGATATAACATAGACAACAGGAATGATCGAAGCAACTCACGCATTGACACAACCGTCGTTCTCCGGGGTGTTGGTCACCTGGGCCCATTTACCCCAGACAACCTTACCGGAAGTGGTAACAAGACCCAACTCGGAGACGTTGACCTCAATGATTGTTCCCTTGGTCAAGACACCCAGCTGGGTATAGAGAGGGTTCTGGGGGTTCTTCTTGACGGACAGGATGGGCAGCTGCACAGTGACAGCCAGCTCGGGACTGGAGAAGAAAAAAGTCAGTATACCATATCCAACCAAAATAAACCAGAGGGTAGTCTATCCCCCCAAAGATAAAACATACTGTGTGACGTTACACTTCTTGTAACGCAGACCCATGGGACGAATGAACCGCTCGTACTTGACGGGGCGACGGGTGAAGTCATTACCGACGAAAGTAGGCTTGGTGATCATACGCTTCCAGGCCTTCTTGTGGGTCTTCTTTCCGGTGTTGATAACCTTGAACATCTCCTCCTCGCTAATACCCTTGACCTTAGGCAGGGGCACAGCAAACTTAGCAGCCTTCTCGTTACGCTTGTTCTTGATAGCACTGGAGAGGGCCTTGGCGTTGGTCTCCTGCGAACGGTCGAGCAGGTACTGGGGCAGAGGAGTCTTGGAAGGCTCGTCGGGTGCGGCGGACTTGACGTTCTTCTCCTCCTGGGCCTTGATGCGCTTCTTCATTTGAATCTTCTCCTTGTGGCGATTCTGCTGGTACAGCTTGGCCCGCAGACCACGCAGGTTCTGGGCATCGTGGGAGGCCTTGTGTCCCTCACGAGCCTGACGCTTGCGCGTGCGCTCATCGTGATCGAGGCGCTTACCGTGCTGCTTCTGCCAGCGCTCGATATACCTGGTGGGAAAATGTCAGTTGGAGACCAAACGGTGGCTGGCGGGGAGGGACGAACTCGTTCTGAGGCTGTAGGTAGGAAAAGAAGTTAGCAAATTGATGAGATTGGACATTGAGAGATCGAGAAATAGCAAGGAGCTTACCATGATGAACGACGAATGAGCAACACGAGGTGAATGGGTGATGAAGTTCTTGCCTTGAAGATCTAATCGGGACCGAAAAAGTTGTGATGCGGGAAAAGATAGTGAAGCACGTGACGCTTCTTATCGTAAGGTCGTTTCTCGATTTCTTCGGCTTGTAAATATTAAAAGAAAAAAAAAACAGACAAATGGCAGAAAATTGGATAGTGAGAAATATTACTCTGAAATTAGGGTCTATAATCCATCACAACATTTGTTTCTTCTCGCTGCAACTCTGTGTCTTCAAGTCAGATAAACATCATCACGTGATACTACGGGTGACAAAGCGGCCATTTGCGCAAGAAGTGAATTTCTCTAGTTACGGGGAAGCCGCTGTTCTATCTCGGATATCAACCACCGCGAACCACTTCTACTCTTGATCATTGAGCATTGGCAAGCGGTCAGTCAACATGTTCTCACGCTCTGCTCTACGGAGCCTCGCCTCCGAACTGCGCTGGACTGCGCCGTCTACAATTTCATCCGCAACTCCCCTGCAGCAACGAGCATGCCTTCACCAAAGTGCATCTTTGATGAATTCGCAACAATCCCAGAGCCAATCAGCATCCAGTCATCCTGAATCACCTCTCAGCGCCACTCCCCGGGCCCAAGATACCCAACCGAAGACTCACCAGGGCGTCAAGGCCTCCACTTTCGACGAAACCACCATGACACCCCAAACACGCGCACACGTCCCCATTGCAAAGCAACCTGTTGCCCCGACTTTCACCTCCCCTCTCCAAGTGACAAAATCTCTCATGTCACAACTCCCCCATCTTGCCGGCCAGAAGCCGCACTACGTTGTCGCTCAATTGCACGCACGACCATACCTCTTGACAGAAGGTGATCACATTCGGTTGCCCTTCCTCATGCCCAAGGTCAAGGCGGGTGATATTCTGCGCTTCAACCGTGCTTCAGCACTTGGATCCCGCGATTTCACAATGAAGGGTACGCCGACTATCGACGAGCGTATCTACGAGTGCCGTGTTCGTGTGACGGGTGTGGACGCAGAGCCGCTGCGCATCAAGGAGAAGACTAAGCGGAGACAAAGACACGTTAAGCAGGCTAAGAGCAAGCACCGCTATACGCTCCTGCGTGTCATGGATGTGCGAGTGAAGACGCCGGATGAGTTGTTGGCGGAAGGCGCGGTAGTCGTGGAAGACTCAGAGAACAGCTCAGTAATTGAACCCCGGTCATAATTGAGTTGTCCGGTGTTTGGGAGAAGCTTTTTTTTTGAAGCGAAAATGTGATGCCGGACCATGATCCGACAGTTGTTCGAGGCATTGGCAGTACTACTCGAGATATGGTCTGATATTTGGGCTGTTGGTAATTGTCTTGCCGCGATGCATTGATGTCTTTGCGGCATATTGTACAGATAGATCGATTTGGGCTGTTCTCTGTATGCATTGTATTCTATAGTATTGAAATTTTTTTTCAGAAGATCTATTTATTGTCATAGTGTAGGGTGTCATTGAAAAGATATAGGCTCTTCTCAGTCAGTGATTGAGCCAGTCACCATTCATCGACGTTGATTTTCATTCATTTAATAAAGCCTAATATCTCATCCGTAATCTTCTGAGCGAATGCATACACAATCGATTGGGGATGGCTCGGCGGCAGAAATGGGAAACTGCTGGCATCGACAACTTTTAACCCTTGCACAACATACACATTGGCATGGTTGTCAATCACAGCCATCGTGTTATTCTTGCGTCCCATCTTGCATGTCGCTGATGCATAGTAAACAGTAGTCATACTCCGATGAATGAACTCAAGAATCAGAGCATCAGTGGTAACGTTGACTCCTGGTCAGCGACGCGTAGCTTAGCCAATTCCGCCCAAATCTCCCGATGCCGCTTTGCAGCCCGAATGGCGAGATCCTTATCGGTTGGATCTACAAACCATTGCGGACCGATCAAGGGTGGGGTGTTCATGTTGGGGCCAGCAAGACGGACTGAGCCGCGAGATAGAGGAGCAACCAATGCTCCACTTAGGGTTGCATACTGGTGTCCATCCTTTGGATCGGCTGTGACTTCATTAAGATTATAACCGTTGAATGCACTGATGGGTAACCATTCAAGTTCCGGCCAGTCGGATGGGAAACTTGATAAGGCGAGGCGAGATGCGTGTCAGGTATGAGCGGAATAGGTCGGGAAATTTCTCCCAGCCGTAGTAGCCTGGCCCAAATATAGAAAGGGCCCCTGTGTCAGTCTGTGTGTACTGTATGGCACCAAGTGCTGCTACGGTTGCGTTGTTGGCTGAGGCCGAGGCTTTGAGGACGTTCACGCGGTGTGCAGCCCCAAAGATTAGGTGGTCTTACATCTTTTGGCCTACGCCTGGAGGGTTCTTGATGTAGGGAAACTCAAGGTTACGCAGATGGTTCGCAAGGTCCAATGCCTGAAACCATCAGTAGCTGGGGAGACTGAAAATCTCCGGCTGATAGAATAACCTGGGTGAGAGCGTGGAGTGTAAAGTTGACCGACCGACTGCCAAAGGTGCCTTCAGTCGATAATTGCACCTCCGTTGCGTGCTTGTTATCGTGATCAAATAAGGCCTTATGCGCCATGGTGTTCTTGTACACTGTGGGTCCGGCACCTTTGTCCAACATGGCCTGAAGAAAGCTGGACTCGGAGCTGGAGCGTTGCGCGTTTCGCGGGTCTATCGTGAAGGCCGCAAAGGCAGAACTAAGTAATCCACCGCTGTTGAATCCATCAATTCGGTTCATACCGAGCACGATAAATGCCTTCTGGCACCGTGTTCTAAACGCATGCACAGCATTCCTAAAAGAGACCTCTAGTGGTCCGCCGGTGGGACTGAACGCATCTGGAGTTTGGCCGTTCGTGGAATTGCTGTGTAATATCTGGTTATGGAGAGGAGTCAGGAGAAGACGGGCCGGCCGATATGCCATATTTTAGAGCCTCTTACTCTTCTCCCATTTAGGATATCGGCTCAGCCGACATGATCTCACGGCCCGAATATCAGTATCATGGAATAGTAACCGGCTTTGGTGGAATTGGGGTGGCGAATCTCGATTCACTATCTCTAAATCATCGGAGATCGTAGGATACTCTCGCTTAGATGCCGAAGCATTTGTTTAAGAGGTTGAGGCTTCACAAGGTGGCAAGGGCTTGGAAATGCGGAGGTTATTTCCGACAAGGAATTTTGCTTTAAACGAAGAGCTAACAACATGATTATACGAACAGATTCATTATGTATACTCTGCTATAAATATGAATAAAAGAAAATTACCGATGGAAAGTTCAACCGCTCAATCATGGTATGCCGAAAAACACATTTGTGGTTAATAGAAGAGAGATTTCAAATAGGCGCTATTAGCATAAAGCGCGTCATTCTATACTATAATCTCCTTAAACCGCAGTTTCTGCTGGCAAGTTTCCAATGATTTTTGTTGCATCTCGGCATATAGATGGAACTCATCCGCCACACATTTCCCAAGGAGGTGCTGGAAACCATCGAGGTCCGGGTCCGCGCTCATTATCATTTGCTTGGACTGGGAGACACCACCCAAGTTGGAATTGAAAATTCCTCCCGCAGACAAAGGAAGGAAGTCTTCGTATGTGATAGCCTCATAACTCAGGATCTGCTTATCCAAAAGATCCTGGAGTGAGACGGGTTCCTCCGATAATACAAAGCTTTCGTTAACTGACTGTTCGCCCAGTGGTGTCAACCGATAGGTGAAATAACCCAGTCTCAGATCGTGAAGCTCTGAGAGACTATCAGGGAATTCTTTGAAGCGCTCTTCTAATAGCGTGTCATAGGTCTTCCCTTTCAAGCCACTCTCCGCGGCTTCTTTATTGACTCTGTTCAAGATTCGATCATAAAGCTGGCGTCCTTCTCGGGTCAAAGCATAGCCTCGTTGCTCCACTTCCCCAAAGCGTGCTGTGTGGGAGCCCTTCACATAGGAACCGGACGAGTCCTTGAAATAGACAGTTTCCTCCAGTGCCTTGAAGCTTGTCTGCCGTAGAAGAATTGGACACGATCGTTTTGGCGGTCCCTCGATACGATCCTTGGCAGGCATTCCGTGATCTAACATCAATTGTTGTACAAGGTCGATGTCAATCGTTCGGGGCGTTAAGTGGTTGATATGGGCGTTGGGAAAGGAGACGACGTCCGCAATCAGAGGATGCTCAGCTTTGAGCTGCTCGTATTCTTCAAGGGTAACTGTAGCTTTCGAGTGCCATCGGAATGTCTCCAGACCATTACTAATGAGCTCTGTGCATTGATCTGGTGTCAAAAAGCCCTGGCTCTCTGAGATATCCAACAGGGCAAGAAGTCTGGGCGTGAAGATATTTCTTTGCTCCAGCGCTTTCTGCGCTAGTTTCCGAGTGCTTTCTGTCAACAGTTCCATCCGCAAGACTGTTGTGAATACGCGAAATGGGTTCTTATCAAGCGCCTCTCGGGTATTTGGTCGGAAGGCAGTAGCGTGCATGGGGAATCCAGCGAGGCTGAGGTCGTAGTAGCCCACAGGGTGCATGCCCATCACAGCAAACATGCGACGAATTGTGGCCAGCTCATATGCTGTCCCCAGTCGAATGGCTCCATGTCTCTCGACGCGATGCCGAGCGGGCAAGATATCATCTGGGTTTATAACGCGATCACCCTCGATATTCTGGCTGTTTTGAACAGTTTTTGCGTCTGCCTCCCAGACTACATCTATTAGGTTGCCATACAGAGGGACTTCGCTCTTATACATTTCCGAAAGCGCATGGCAGAAGTGCGATCGCAAAGTGTTCTGATCGAAGGCCATGTTGAAGGTTTGTTTGAAGGGATAGGAACCTGATCAGATAATCAATAGCGAGAAATGAGGGCACGTGGTATAAGATTGGTAGAAATATGTTAGGATTGAGTGGGGATTATAAAATATACTATTAAACAGGAGGATATCATCCATGTTATATACCCCGGAGTTGCATTGAGTCAAAGCTGATATCAACTCGCCTGGTTTACCCGCTATCTGACGCCTCGCATCGGGGAGATAAGTCACCTCAGGAGTCATCCATGGATCACCAGGGCTAATCTTTGATAACTTATTTATACTAGGTAATGACATATGTAGATTCGATTTTGTTAAGACAACTGATAACCCATACACCCTATGTATCCATGTATGACTTGAAGGTGCTGAAAGTATACCGAGTCATCCGTCGGAAGGTTGTCTTCCGTCGGAACAGCACGTATGTCAGGTGGTACTCCGTATAGCAGTATTACTCAAACATGTTAGTTAATTAAATTGTAAGCAGAGGCGATGGAGAAAGACAGAGAGTTACACCCTATTAATTGGACCCCCTATTTTTACCATACGGAATCAACCGACACATTCCTAGTACTCGAACAAGTATAGCTCAACTCAATACCACAAGCAAAATTACGTTACGATACATCGCAAGCAAATACATACTTCGTTTTATTAGATAAGAATGTGAAGATACTTGACATTACCAAGATATAGTTAGTTCCAAATGAATGTGGATTAGCCAATTAGTCTGTAATTCTTATTAAACACCGAAACTTCTTCCTTTGCTAAGGTCAAACTGCCATTCTAATTTCACGGATGCTTGGCCCTTGTCAAAGATAGACGTCGGGATTTTCTCTTGGTCAAGCCCGACCATCTTTTTCACAGTGCTGTCGAATACCTTTCTCCATCCTACAGCATTCAAGAACCAAATCAACGCAGCATTGCTGCCTTTCCACAAATACTCACCTTGTCCGTATCTAGGATGCTTCACCACTACTTCCTCGACAATTTGTTTGGCAAAAGCTTCTGGTTTCAGACTGTTTTTGGAATGGTTTCGACTTCTTTCTTTGGCTCTCTCTTCAGCATCGATATATATGCTTCCGGAGCCAAACGAGATATTGTCAGCTGACATGAGATTCGTGGCAACTTCGCCCATGAACACTGTAACCACTTTAATACCGAGTGGATCAAGCTCGATCCTGAGAGTGTCGCTGTAGGAAGCCACAGCTGCTTTGGAGGCGTTATACGCCGCCGAAAAGGCGAACGGGAGGTGTGGCAGGATTGACGAGGTATTGATAATGACAGGTGGTGTTTGCGTATTCGAAGCGGAGGCTAGAAGAAGAGGAGTAAAGGTTGAAACCATATCAAACAGGCCGAAGACATTGGCATCAAACATGGCACGTGTGCGAGTAGGATCGGCTTCGATTGCCGGCGCTTCATACACTGTTAAAGCAAAGAATCTCGTCAGAAGCTGAAACTATATAAACAAGTGGCAAAATGCTAAAAGACCACGGGGAATCAACAAGTTGGACGTACTTGTACCAGCATTGTTGAACAGCATATCCAATTTGCCGCCGGTCCGCTTCACAATTTCGTCCCTGAGTGCTGCAATGCTTGCCGCATTCGTCACATCGAGTGCAAATGTCTCAATTCCCTTATCCTCCAAAGTAGACAGGGATGCAGTGGATCGCGCAGTTGCGAAGACGCGCATGCCGTGGGCAGCAAATTCAAGAGCGAGAGCATTTCCTACTCCCCCGCGTGAGCATCTACTTAAAGTAATGCTTATTAGCTCAGCCAATTATGAAAAAAGAGGTGTAAAGTGATTTCTATTAAAGGTTACGTACCCAGTGATAAGAATCGAGCGTTTTGGGGAAGTCATTCTGCCTGGATATAAGGTCGAGTAATAGGTGAGGCCGAGGATGTTGAAGTCGAATCTGTATTATTAGATGTGGGTGTTTGCTGACCTATATATAAATATGTATACATGATACCGAAAAAAACCTACTTCATTATCAATTTAATCTCGAGGTACTTCCAACCGGTCAGAATGTGAGAGTAAATGATTTGCCACCAACATTGATATTGGAACACCAACAAACTCAAGTTTTGGTCGGCCTCGATTAGTGATCCTCCCGCAAGATGTTAACTAGTTAACTATGTTGTAGTTATTTCATATTCGATTAGTCAACCGTCCGTTGGATGATCAATAATGTGTATTTTACTGAGTGGATCAGCTCGTGATCTATTCAGGTTAACCCTTTCATCCCTCAGAATCAGGGCAAACACAATTATTAACTAGACCTATCTCTTTCTGTACCTTCCAGGGTCGGGGTATCAGGGGGAATCATTTTGGTCTCTTTACCAGGGGTTCTTCGAAATAAAGGTGCAATTGATGTTCTTCTTGATGCATCTGCGACATCTCACATTGTCACCAGCCTCGCACTTTACTTTGCGTCGCGCACACGGAATGCAAACCTGGCAAGTCCGCTGATACTCATATTCAATAGATATCCTCCATCTTCTCTTTACGCGGTCCAAGAGTGCTATGCCGGGGGAGTGATGCAAATCTCGAGGAGCGGAGAAGGCAGGAATTTAAGAGAATACCCACGTTCGGGTATTTCAATCTCCTACCCCCCAATCAAGAAGAGACAGACTCCTTGGCTGCATATCCTCACATCCTCATTCGATTCTTTTCCCAGATAACTACAGATTACTGAGAAATATTCTGAATCCCTCTATAATCATGCCTGTGGCCATGTAAGGGACAATGCTGTCGATTTTCATATAGACTTCATCGGCATTAGATTAATAGGCCATCCAATAATCATGCAATTAGGTCGAGTAATTTATATACATAAAACAGAAGAGCCACAGCTAGCTCAGATCTCGAAGCAGATTATCCAACGTCCCTCGAGCTTTCTTGATATCAGGTGCTTCGTCTTCCCAGTAAGTCAAGGCCTCAAGTGTCCGGCTCAGGTGACTTCGAAGGCCGCCAGGATGAATATTGGGAAGACTGACATTCCCACTTCTTGCCAATGCGATAAATATCAGCGAAGCAGTCACCAAAGCCCGAAGATCGAACCAAATGCCATGATGTCGATGGCGAAGGCACCGCGCTTGGAGGATTTTGTTGCTGCAGTCTAGTCCGGATTCCACGAGGCCTTGAACTATACCAAATTCATCTTCGGTAAGCGAGGATGTAGGATTCTCCGTAGCTATGGATGTGGTACTCATAGGGTGGTGCACTGCAAAGAATAGGAATGGCTGGTAAAGCCATAGACGTATCTCAAGGAACCGATTGCTGAGCGCCCAGCTTAGTTCCCTGCATATTGAATCTTGGATATCTGTCGTATATCTCTGCCCAGTATTGCTTAGGGTCGGGTCACTTTCATAAGTTTGCATTGCTGGTGGCAGGTTCGCGAACCACGCATTGATCTGAGACTCGAACTCGAGCGCTATCGGAATCAATGGCTTGATGTTTGACCAGGTCGAAGGCGCTTCTCGGTAAAAGGCATTCAGGACTCGATTGCCAATCCGTCTCAATGCCACCTCCGTAAGATAGTAGTACCAGCTTTGCTCCTCATTGAATAGCTTTGAGACATGATTATATACCCCCCGCTCAGGCAGGCCAGCCGGATCATCATGCGGTGATTGATTTGTGTTCTCAGAATTAGCCCAATCAGATGTCTGATCTCTGCGCCTCGGATATTCCTCTGATAGAGTTGGAGGTGTGGGGAAGAGGGCTGGGTACTCGTATTCGGCTATGGCAGATTGCGGCAGCGGGAGCTCCACGCGAATCTCGACTTCTGACTTGAAGCAGGACCAGTACAGACTTTGGTCGAGGCGCTGAGTAACAGACGCTCCTGGTTGCTCTGCTTCGTATACTGATTTGTCAAGTCCGTCAATCAGTCGCAGGCGTAGTCGGTAAAATGTAGAGGCTTGGTAGAAATGGTTCCAACCAGACAACGGGCGGAATGTGTACATCAGATATACTGAACAGACGAGAACAGAAGTTAGGAATGGACACTATCGAAATAAAGTATTCTTTCCACATACCTCCAGCAAAAAAATGGCACTGGGCTCCGATCACCGAGTACCGCAAGAGACCGATTCTCCTACAAGCCATCATAAAGAAAGCCTCACCTTCTCGCAACTGTGTACCAGAGCTGGAATTGAACCCCGGCGCTCGCCATCCCATACCGTCATGAAGAGATCTCGCAGTTTGAGGAAATTGGATGGAAGTGGTGAATGGTTGCGAGATACAACCCAACGCACAAGCTAAGAGTATAAGGCAAGACCGAGCATCCCACTGAAGACCAAACTCGGCCGCATGTCTCCCGGACTGAATAAGCGATTCTAAATCCAAGATTGGGTTCTTGATGTGAACATTCTGAATAAAGCGATCCACCAGTGTTGGAATCTGCTCGTCTGGCGTATATTGAAGTCCATCTGGCAGGGTCCATGACTCAGTTGGTCTATCTTCAGATGCTCCATGCGAATAATGAAAAAGTGTCGTGATGAGAGAGCTCTCTCGGAATTGACCTTGGAAGATGGGCCAGGTTAGCACCGTGTCAGCGCTACATCGGCCTGCAGGAATCTGCAAGTAGTCTCTTTGCCACTCTGCTGCTCTGATAGGGACACTTCCCCGGCGGTCGTGGATCTCTGACTCTGGTGGCCGACTAGTCTGTGGAGTCTCTATTGCAGGTCAGTATCTTGTATTCTGTAGTGCAAGGGCTTCATCTACCCCTGGAGCTTAGCATGTTCTGCATGTTATCAACTGCTTGTGATAATGTGTCCAGCCTTTCTAAAACCTGTTTCATTTCTCTGTTACCATTGCTTAGTATGATTTCGAATGGGAGTCATATCTCAAGGTTGGGATCATACTGCTTGCAACCATCATCCCCACGGGTGACATATACACACTCGGTTTCATTGGCACAACAAAACCCGCAGGCCGGCTGAGCATTGTCACAGCGGACCTTTCGCCGGCGACATGCTTGACAAGCTGGCTTTCGACGAACCGAACCTCTTTTGACTCTCTTGGGTGCCGGGTGGTCTCCTTCCTGGCCATCGGATCCCGATGAGTGTGGTTCAAGCTCCGGATCCATTCTTTTGTAGTGGTGATGTAGAGAGCAAATCAAGTTTCAAAGACATATGCGTCTGTTCTACCCCGGGTAAGCTGTAGTTCCCCAGAAATCCCGAGGACCCACCAATCACGAGTAGTGAAAAATCTGGATGCAACACGTGATTTTATCACCTTATACTCGGTTGTTTTACTATGTTGAGTCATTTGAGGGCATTTTATATTATATCTATGTCTATAGCTATTGAGGAACTCGTGTTGGGCATTGGGGTCTCAAATGGGGTGAAGATGTCTCTATATGGACACCTACAAACAGTTCATACACTCTCATGCGAACGACGCTGATCATTACTACAAAAAACACAATTCAAATATGAAAAAATAGAATGGATAAAGTCATATAAGAAAATTTAAAAAAGCACAAGTCTAGGAATCGCAGGCCACATCGTCCATAATGGCTCGATACTCTCGTTGCCTCACACACTGATCCAAGAAGACCTGATATTTAGCCCGAAGTAGAGCCTTTTCATGCTTGTCCTCAGTAGGGTAGAACGCCTTACCGGGCTGGCTCATTTCACCAATCACATCCCACAAATCGACCGTCTTGCCATCGGTATCCATAGTGGCAGCTTTGACACCCAGCATTGCAGCACCATGACAAACAGCCGCATGGATGTATCTTGGAACCACGACGGGCATGTCACAAGCTGAGGCAATCAGATTGACCAAAATATCATTCTGGCATTGTGATCCTGACATGAAAATGTGACCGATATGGTGACCCGAGTCATTCATCGTGTCGACGATCTGTTTTGTTTGCAATGCGATAAACTCCAGAGTGCCGTAATAATGGATAGCGAGGCTATCGATAGAGATATCACTTGATAGGCCGACCAAAGACCCTCTCATTTTCGAGTCTGCTAGTGGTGACCGGTTTCCGAACAAGTCTCCGTAGAAGAAGAAGTGCCGTGCTAGATCGGCCACACAATACACACCTTTCTCGACTGCTAGCTGGTTGAGACGGGTATTGAGAAACTCGAATACGTTTACCCCGACACTTTTGGCACTGGCCAGTACCTGCTTAGATGCTGGGTGCGTATCAAGGACATGCTTGAGCAACTGACCAGTGGCAGACTGCCCTCCTTCAGCCATCCAACAATCCGGGAAGATCGTGTCTCTGTACGGCCCCCAGACACCAGGGACAAAGACAGGCTCTGGTGACATGGCGATATGGCACGAGGATGTTCCAGCGACCACAGCCAAACGGGAGAATGCCTCAACCCTCCCACTCAATGCCGAATCCGGGTTTACGTTAAGTGTTGATTGCTGTTTCATTTCAACCTTAGCACCAACTGTGCCAATCCATCCAGCGTATGCGTCGATGACACCGCTTCCGATCGCAATACCAGGGAGAAGACCCAGTTCACTAGCGGCTTTCTCGCATAGCGTGCCGGCAAGGTCACCTGCGTTCAAGTGCCGACCAGTCTGGTAAGTATGTATCAGTCTTTGTGTCCTAACATCGAGAAAATCAACTCGGAGTATTGCAAATAAGCATACTCACCACACCGTTAACACCTCCAATACGATCGAACCCATTATCAGCAAGTTCCCCTAACCCAATCTCCTGCAGAAAGTCCTCCTGCCAGCCCTCCTCACTTCCTTCAACGCCCTTAGGCAGATACCCCTGTTTGCAAACCATACTAGAGAAGCCACGCGCCTCTCCGCCCGTCGCAATATGTGTGAGAGCATCGACAAGGTCATAGAATTTCGATTTCGCAAAGGTCTCCTCGGGCATATGGCTTTTCAACCAGAGTATCTTGGGAATCTCCATCTCAAGGGACATCTTTCCACCGACATAGCGCAGAACTTTGTGACCAGTGGCATTGATGGTATCCGTCTCCTTCGATGCACGGTGGTCTAGCCAGAGAATGACATTGCGTTCAGTGTTGAAGTCGGGGGCAGTGATAGAGATGGGGTCGTCGGTTTCGGCTGAGAAAAGGCATAGTGAGCATGTCGCGTCGAATCCGATACCGTGAACTTGCGACGCTGGTGTTTGGTGTTCGTCGAGGGCTCGGCGGACTACCAGACAGATGCATCGCCAGATATCAGAGGTTGATTGCTCCTATATTTACTTCATGTGTTAGGGCCAATTTCGGAAGCGAAGGGAGAAGAATTTCTCCTGCTTTCGGAGTTGGTGCATACATAATATTCCTGCTCTGGCTGCCAAAGGCCGATATTTTCGGAGGCGACGCTGACAATCTCGCCAGTATGGTCAATCAGACAGGCTCGCGCGCTGCCCGTTCCCACATCAATCCCAATGTAGTAGCCGATCTTGATGCGCATCGTGACAAAGCCGTCGTGGTGGTAGTTGGGTAGTACGGAAAAAATTGATAACAAGACTAAGGGGGTATGGAAAGTACCTGGAACCTTCTCGAGCTATATATGGGACCACCTTATGCAATAAATGGGGCAATTTCACTGAAAACCACAAAAAGAAAATTGCAAATCAGCCTGTAAGCAAAGCACTGTAAAGATAGGTGAATTATGTATACTTTGCGGGCGTTTCGGCGTTTCCCCCGGAGATCCACAAATGGACGGCTTGCGGGTGGATCTAGAACGAATGCAAGGGCGTACTCGAGGACCTTCTTTGTTATAGGCCAACTGGACTAGATATAGAGGTACACTAGGGGTATCATCTGAAGTTTCTTTCTAAATAGGGCTACTGTATTCTGTGATCACAGTTGTTCAATCTGCGAAGACTTTTATTTGTGGCCATAGTCAAGATCAATACTAGCCCTGCAATGACCGTGGTTTATCCAACATTCTTTTCTATTGCAAATGTATACATCATTCTTCAACACCCGCGATGAGGGTTTTGATGCTAGCCCCGGTCTTCACTTGTTCGAAAGCCCGCTCGGCATCCTCAAACTTGAATATATCAGTGATCAAATCCTTAACATTGACTTTCTGGGAAACAATGAGTTCAATCGCAAGCTTGTAGTCACCGCTGGAGTACCGGAAACTCCCCTTCACGTCCAACTCCTTCGTACACGCAGCCGTAATAGGGAAATTGACCTCGTCACGCCCCATACCACCCTGGACGTACGTACCACCAGCGCGAAGAACATGAATACCAGTATTGATCGATGCCTCCGCTCCAGACGCATCAATCACGGTATCAGCACCATTACCAAGACCGCTTTCGAGAACCAAATGCGCGGCATTTTCCACTGCTGAAACGGTTCCCGGTAGGAAAACCGACGTTGCGCCATACTGTTTCGCGAATTCCAGCCTCTTGGGCTGAATATCTACAGCAACGACCTTCCCGGCCCCGAACGCCTTAGCTACAGCACAACACAACAGTCCAACGGGCCCCGCACCGAAAATGACAGTCGATGCCCCTGGTGACACCGCTGCCCGTCGCACAAGATGCACTGCAACGCTGAGCGGCTCCACAAGTGCTCCTTGCTCCAGAGTCATGCCTTCTGGTAGCTTATAGCAGAGATCTTCTGGGAGACGATAGTATTTCGCTAGGGTACCATCGTACGGAGGGGTGGCGGCAAATGCCATGTCAGGGCACAGATTGTATGTTCCGACTTTGCATGCATCGCAGCGACGGCATGGCTCGCCAGGCTCCATTGTAACGCGATCGCCGACTTTTAGGGTTGTGACTTTGTTGCCGATTTTTTCGACGATTCCTGAGGATTCGTGACCAAGGACCATTGGTTGCTCGACTTTGAAGGGCCCGATCTGGCCGGCGTGCCAGTAATGTACCTGCAAAAACACATTCTCAGCTTAGATATTGCTCGGTTATATCGATACTTTCGGACAGTCACTCACATCGCTTCCACAAATCCCAGTGAACTTCACCCTCACTAGGACATCATGGGGTTCCCGTAGCTGGGGAGTAGGCCGGTTCTCAAATTTCAGCGTTTGAACCTTTTCAAGAACGAATGACAAGTTCTTCTTCCTTGTTAGATGAAGCTTATATATCAACACTGTGAGCACGAACCTCAGTAGAATGCATCTTGCTTTCTGTCAAATTGATATCACTCGAACTGAATGGCGTATACAAATTTCTTTCAACGATTTTTCGGAACCCGCGCTTAAATACCTTTCAGATCTATAGTCACCGACACAAACCCTCATCGTGGTCTAACGGAAGTTACGGCGTCTTAGCCGTTCACGTCTCCACTGGGCGGCTCATCCCTTCATGGCAAGTATTGGCAACTCCACACCTCGGTTTGTTCTATGGCTACTTGCCCCTGGTGCGCCGAGCGCAGGGCATTCGGCGAGCTGCAAAAGGCTGTCGGCCCGAAAATCTCTTGAGCATGTCTCGATGAAGGGGGATCCGAGGCCATTACATCGACAAGAACTGAGCCATTTTTCATCCAGAAAGTCTCACATTCTCCACTGGAAAGTAGCTAGTATCTAACAACGCACTATGTAACCTCCTTAATCAACAGGAGTTTCCCTCGTGGAAACCTTCTTGGTCCACTGCCAATCGTCAAACCCTTTTTCCCGAATTCCCTTGCTAGCAGTAAATACATTCCAAGAATCGGCATTGTCGAAGAAAACATCCATTTGCTCTAGACTCCGACCAGCCGTCTCAGGATAGAGTAGAATGAGAAACGGAATGACAAATACATTCAGTCCGGCAAGGAGTAGAAGCGTACCATATCCAATGGCCTGGAAGAGGAAAGGAGTGATCATTGTCACGACGCCATTTCCGATCGACCAGCCTACAACGGACCACGCACCTCCCTTGGCACGGACAGTCAATGGGAAGATCTAAATTATTATCAGTATGATATACATTTGTGAAAGGGTGAAGAAACTTACCTCTGTTGGATAGAGCCAAGGTGTTGTCAGCCATGTAGCACCAAATGTAGCCGTATAGAAAAAGGTCATGGCCGCGACGCCGGCTCCATATTTCCTCTGGTTTGGTCCGGCTTCCTGGGCATACATATCCAGGATACCTGCTACAAGAAGAGCAAGACACATGACGACAGCGCCCCAGAGCATTGTTTCTATGAGATTCAGCTATCGCGTTTGAAGAAAAGGTGTTTGGTACTCACGTCTGCGCCCATATCGATCTAAAGTGATAACCGCGAAGAAGACAGAAAACATGTAGCTGATATTGTTAAAGCCAGCCAGGAGCTTGGATAAGTTCTCGTTGAAACCTGCTGTGGAAAATAGATCGACGGCGTAGACAGTGACCACGCCGATGCCGACAAGCTCTTGCATGATCTGCAACCACACGGCGAGGAATACTCGCCATCGCAGTTTGCGTGTATATTCATCTTTCGGGAAAATCATCGTAAGATATTGGTTTGCTGATGATACTTTCAGCTCGTGCTGCACTGTCTGGATGATCTGCCGTGCCTCGGATTCGATGTCGCCGGGTCGTGTGGCTCGTAGGATATCCCGTGCTTCTTCATATCGACCCATCTTCATCAACCAGCGAGGGGACTCGGGGAAGAAGTTGATTCCAATTCCTATGAAGAAGATGAAGACTAATTGAAGGGCGAGGGGTGTACGCCAAGCCATGGACTGGTTAGAATTCAACGATGCGAAGTATTCGATCCAGTAGGCCATTGCCAGGCCGCCAATATTCTAAGTCGGAAGAGTCAGTCTGGTTCTTTGGCAAGTTCGGTATCCGAAGAATACATACCATCACAAATTCAAGAGCCAAAAATGCTCCTCGAGCCGAGTGACTACTGACTTCTGCTGACCAGACCGGAATTACACAATCAATGGCTCCAACACCAATGCCAGCTAGGTAAACACCAGTCAGGTTAATCACCGTAGTTCCATGTGCAATGCGAAACTCACCAATAACACGCCCAAAGCACATCCACGTAATATTATAAGCCGAAGCTTGAAGCGCAGCGCCCAAAACAACCCACAAACAACCAAAGACAATGGCCTTCACACGTCCACATCGGTCTGCCAATGCACCAGCCATGAGCGCACCGACCATTGTGCCGCCGTAGTATACAGCAACGATACCACCCTCCGCTGCTGTGTTTCTAGAACTTCCTAGGGCCACAATGAGAAACCATTTCGAGTACAACATCATCAGAAACCTACCTTCAAGGGGATAGATTCCCATAAGCTTCTGATAATCATGATTCAGATTGACCATGGACATAACACCTTGGTCATACCCGTAGAAGCAAATCGCAATACCTTAATATTGAGTTAGTGAAGAGTTGAAATAGTAAGTGTTCACGAGTCACGTACCGGCAAAGAAGTTGATGGCCTTGTACATCGCCGATGGATTCTTGAATCTTATCATCCTGGACTGGCTATATCCGCCAGGAATCCAGTGCTCAAATCGCCATGGCTCGGGGTGATTTATGTGCGAGTATTCGGCGTCTAGGAGGACATCTTTACAAATGCCTCCCTTTTCGCTCTTATCCTGCATGATCGTTTCCGTTTGAGGTTCATTTGAGATCTCCTCGACGTGATCTGATAATACCTCTGCCATAGTTGATACCCTGTTGTTTCGCAATGGAAGCAATTTTGTGTTAATAGCAAAATGCAAAGAAAGCATAGCGGCCCCCGATGACCAGTGCCTGATTTAAGTAATGTGCCCTTCGGGTAAACGCTGCCTGTCTCCATGTTTTCCCCAGTTCCACTTTGATCCACAATGACCGAAGGTGAAGAGTATAGATTCGCGGAGATTTCGCCGTTTTGCCCGCTCTCCACAACCCCAGCGTGACCTCGACCCACCTTATCAAACCCGCTGCGGGTTAGCACGCGTCGTTAGGTCAGTCCTTTCCCCTAACTCGGGTGAATGTCGTTCATCCATTTTCCCTCGAAGTTGGTGATATCACGCTTGGTAGTGGATCATTTAATTATGTTCGTCGATTGTATTCGTTATACTTCAAGCATAAATCATGTCCTATGGTGACCTGGCTAACAAGCTGAGAAGCACTTCGTCATCTTTCCATTTATCAAGAGCCTTGCTCTTCCGTATCTCCCACTCTTCGTTTTTAAAGTTAAAAGCTTAACGAAGTCATGCAAACAAAGGTAGAAGTGTTTCCGTATCTAGAAAGGAGCAGAAGCAAAGAAGAATCTCTGAATCTTTCTGCCTTTACCCACATAGTCCGCGAGATCCTCACGAGAGTGAAGAGGTTGAAGATTGGCGATTGGTTCGGGTGTTCCATTTGGGCTAGTTTTCATGAGCTTAGGCGGGGGGAGATCACCGCTCGGTTCTCAAAGTACATAAATATCCTATACTAGCCATGGACGTGCCTGGAGGCAAAGCACGATGGGCTTCGCAACGCCGTGTGCCGCAGGCCTCGCGGGCATGCGAAACGTGCCGTGCTCGGAAGACTAAGGTAGGTCGAACTCGTTGAAATTGCAGTCTTTTTTTTTTTTTGCTGCCCTTTCGCAAGGCAGGTGCACTCTAACAATGGGAACTAGTGCGATCAAGCCCAGCCCTGTTCTTATTGCGCATGTATCGGTTCCGTGTCCTGAAATACCGAGGCAGTAGTTGACCCAGAGACAGATCACTCATTTGACTGCATATTCCGCACTTCTGGTGGGCGCGGAACCCCCGTGAATTCGAATGAAAGAAGCGAGATACTAAGGAATCCGAGCAAAGGTCGGGATTTTCATCATATCTGTTTCCAAGCGTTTCTGACTAGATACAAAGCCAAAGTAGCATTAGGCCATCTCCATGGCCGGGCATACATCAAACTGAGATACCCAGGGGCACGAACAACCCCGAAAAGACACTGTCAATTGGCTCTCCGCAGGCCCAGTCTCCAAGTCTATTGAGGGGCCGTCCTTATTCTGTCAACACCACACCAAAAACAACGATCGCGTCGGCCAGGCTATCCGATACTTCACAAAGTAAGCCCCTTCCACAATACCACGATAGCTAAACTGACTACCTCTCCAGTCTCCAATTCCGAGCTGGGTGATGCTGCCTCAAGAGATGGGTTAAGCGGGGTCAATCTGCACACTAACGGGACCGAGTTTTATGGTAACTCGTCAAACCTAGCATTCCTGGGGAATTTATACACAAGAGCACACCATCAAGAGCCCAGAGATCAAACCCGATATGATGAGACCCCTCGTCAAATTCCAGCTTCACTCATCTATCCTAAACCACAATCTCAGCCTTTATCGCCAGAAACGAGGCACAGCAAAGGTAATAGGAGATCAGGCAAATCACAACTTTAAATTGTGAATTTACTTGATAATATAGATTACACCGGGAATCCTCCGCCCCAATCCCATGATGGAGTGAACTTCGCAGTAAGAAGTTCGCTAGATTTAGATGGCTTCGGCAACAGGACCCCGACAATGCGCAATGGTAGATTCCCCTTTTGCCTTTCAATGTCTATCACAGCCCATATGAATTTCTGACCAGGATTGAAAGAACAAGACACCAGCCTAGAGTCATTATTCCTTCGCCTTACAGAGAGTGCGCAGATGGAGATCGAGAAAACCTTCACTGGCAGCTACTTTGCGAACAAGCACGGCCATTGACTGTCGCATGGAGTGGTATAGTTGATGAGATGCCTCAGGCATAATTTGGGCTAGGGCAACCATTGCCGGGATCATCGCTATGTCGTCGTCTTCGGCATCAGGTTCGAGGTTATCGGCATCAACCTGATTCTGTTAGGATTGCGTAGTTAGAAGGTAGTGGGTGGAAATACGATAAATCCCGTCTAGCTATAGCACTTGACCGGCGACTTCTTGAGCGGAAAGAAACGCTGCCGGCTTTCTTGAATCTAGATGTACATGCACTAAATGATCCCGAATGGGCGTTCAAACAGAAATTGGTCTTGAGGTTGGGTGAGTTTCCCTCTACACGCTCCATGGTCCAATTCAACGCATCCTAGAAAGAGTCCCGGAAAGATTCCCTGATCGAACTTTGTGTTTAGGATACTACAATACTCGAATCCTCATCCACCAGCCATTCCTTGTAGCAGCAACTGCAAATACGGGCATTTCATCGCCAGAACTTTCCGTCCATTTACATACGTGCCTTACTACCGCCCGGATGAGTATTAATATGCAATACGAGTCATTCATGCATATGATCTATATTCGCACTTGGTCAGTCACCCCACCTCTTACTCCAGTGGAAGAGCACAATTAACAACCCAATTTAACAGGTGGTACAACACGACCTACGCACTCTACGGGTCAATGATCCTGCTCCATCTCATCCTCTCGAATTACCCAGGACTCCCAGATGACGAGCTCCTCGAAGATGTCGAAAAATCCCTCGAAATCTTTTCCTCCATGGGCGACATTATCGTCTCCCGTCGCTGCGTCGAAATGCTCCGCGAAGTCTTGGGGGTTGCGCGCACATGTTTAGCTAGAAGACGATCGTCTTCCCACGGACCCACCACAGCCAACTTCCTAGACTCGGAGGGCCATATCCATCCTCAACAGGAATCATGAATTCGTCTCAAGCAGCTGCAGCTGCAACTTCATTAGCGCGAAACCATTCAACTCCAAGTTCAATTCCAAGAGGCGACATCACTTTGCCAGCAGTGACATTGCGTACAGGCATGCATGAATTATCCCTCGACATACCATCGTCTATCCTGGAACAAGATACCGGTCCAGATGACGAAGGTTTCTTTTCGCTTTTCAGCAACGGTACACAGACAGAACCCGATCGAACATGGGCTGAGATGCTAGCCAATCTAGTAGATCCGAGTGTTTTGGAGGATTTCGCGTTTGGGAGTGGGAATAAGTTCTCTTTCTCTTAGTTGAGAGTATACTAAGTGCGTCAAAGAGATAAATCCTCCAAACCACTATGTCTGAGCGTACCGTTAGTGCTATCTCCGTGTATTATATGGAGACATCGTCTACGTAGTATTTATGATGGGAATAGTGAGAATCTCCGAAACTCGACGATGCCCTGAACGCCATTGTCCCGAAGAAAGAAGTCCCCCTCGTTCTGTGGGCTCCTCTCTTTGGGTCTTAGAAAATCCAAGGGCACTTAGATCGCCAACCTGATCAAGAATAAGCAGCTTGGGGCGGTCTATATTAGAATGAGGACATTGGAGTACAACGGGTTCTGTACCAATGCAGACATTGAACCTTGCCATTCCGCGGTTCGGTATCGGTTTATTCAACTTCACGCATACGTATGGCAGCCAGACATGGGCCATGACCATGCCACCGACGACTTCAAAGTCCCCATGAATAACGCTCCTTGGTTTCCATCTGCTGGATATTTCGGGAAACACTTCGACAGCCATACACCGAGATCCTTCTAAATTTCAAAGCTGAAACCAACATCGCTTTCCAAGGGGATTACTACTTACATATACTACACTCGAATACATAGGGCCACCGTCAGTTTTCAAAAGAATAAAATCATAATTCATCATCCAATCTATATACATAATTCCTGTCTAGAAACATTGGCGAAAAGTAAAACCCAAAAGCAAGCACGAAGCATAATCTAGTCCAATCCAGATATTCCAAAGCCAGGGTAATACCGTCATCACAACGTAACAGGTTTTAGTCCGCGGTGCAAGCAGACTCGGTGCATGCGGTAGATGCAACCATAATCAATAATTTCAAACAAATCAAGCGCTTCATCTCAGAAAATCAAAAAAAAATCAAATCAAATTGCCGAGAAAACGCCGGAGCAGAAGGGGAGTCATGAGAAGAGGTCAGGGGGAGTCAAAAAGGTTGGAAATGAGGTAAGATGTGAGAGGTCGGGGCGGAGTCGGGGAAATATGAAGCTGAGAAGAGATGCAAGAAAGGTGGACGTGATCACAGAGGCGCCATAGAGGCTTCCCCATCATCCTCCATATCACTAACAGAGGTAGCTGGCGACGCAAGCCCCGAGATAACCGAGCTCGAAGCGGCCGTGCCGGCGACATCCATTATAGCCTCATCGTAAGAGCCAAGCGTCGAAGTCGGCATGCGCGGCGGCGCATTCTTGCCAGATGAAGCCATGAGCTCCGCAATCCCCGGCTTCGCGGGGACGTGCTTGTGTAGCGCGGTGGCATTATCCAGACTTTGGAGGGCAAAGCCCATGAATTCGGCGTTCTTGTGGCTAACTCCTAGAGTCCAGCGGTATTCACATAGCCGGACGCGGTAGAAGTCTGCCTCCTCGTTTGTCGGAGCGGTGATGCGAAGGAGCATGCCGAAGGAGCCAATAAGGGAGAAGTTGGTGCGTGCGGAGGCGGGCCAGAAAGAGCGGAGGTGAGCAGGGCGGAGGCGGTTGACAAAGTCCATCGCGGAGATCAGGCGCGTCTTTGCGGCGGAGCGGCAGATGTGCGCGAGGTACTGGTCTGTGCCTTCGGCTAGGAGGGAGCGGACAATGCAGCGGTGTAGGGTTATTTCGGTGGCGAAGTAGGCAAGATGGAGAGCGCCGTTGCGGGCGTGTTCGTCTGTTATTGTTTCGACGAGTTCTCCGGTTGAGGTTTCCATCTTGAGGGATGGTGGAAGGGAGGAGAACCAGTCTTTAAGACGGATTTGGGCTGGTTTGGCCTTTTCTAAAATCATGCGTGTACGCTGGTTTCCCGCAGCGGCGAACTCTTCGATGGCGTGCAATGTATAGAAACGGTCGAGGATGTCGGAAAGGATGGTTGTTAGTGCGACCATGTTGCAGAAAAGAAGAGGGCCGTGGCCGACGGCGGTTTCATCGTGCGAGGAGTCAGTGCCGGAGGCAAAGGCATCCGAGAAGTCCTGCTCCACAAGATCCTTAACCGTCCAGTTGAAGGCGAAAATATGCGAGGGTCGGCCGTGCACCAGCGACGACCATTTATCCTGCATATACAAAGCCCACGCGAGGCGTTTCCTCAGTCCCTTCTCCCAGGTCTCCATACGCCAGTTCGTGCAGTCCTGATGCAGGCCCAGCTCGAACGCGGCCGTGACCAGCTGACCATTTAATGATGCCGTAGCTAGAGTCGACTTCTGCGTCAGCAGGAGCCCGGCTTGGATAGTCGAGACACTGGGGAATTGCAAAGAATCTATGAGCAGCTTCATTGCCGAAGCCTCCAGCCGTGTGGCATCGGGTTTGCGCGCGGTTTGCGAGGCGGCACCGACGTCGACGAACTTCAATGTCAAGACATAGACTGCGGCCAGTAGTAGCGGCGAAAGTCCACGGCGCTCACGGTATGATTGGCGGAACACTTCCTCTATCAAAATTGGAAACGAGGGGTGTACATGATCGAAGAACTTCTCGATCAGTGTTGAGCCGTAGGGAGCGACCAGGCTCTCAATAACATCAAGTGACACGGCCTGCGAGTCACCGCCAGGAACGGTGTCGACGACACGCATGAAGGTGCCGTCATCGGCACATCTCCGCACGCGTGAGTTCGAGACTGTGCATTCATCGTATTGGTCAAGCGGAAGATAATCCAACAAGGTCGGCTCCAGCTCGGTGGTCATGCCAATATGCTGCGTTGACTGGTTAAAGAAACCGGGGCGAATCATGTTCACTGCTGATGTGTGAGGCTCGATCTCCGGGATAGAATGCGTCGATTGTATTGTTGAGGGTCTGGAGATTGTTAGGGCACAAGTTCTCTCGATATAGAGAGCTGAAGTATATCCTCAGCCGGTTGGAATTCCATACCGTTTAATTGCTTCTGTGGGTTCCTGCCCCTCGTCCAATTTCCTTTTCTTGGATGTAACCTCGGATTGGGCTGTGAGAGTGAAGGTACAATCCTGGCGATGAAAGTCGCATGAGTAGCACTTATTGACCATTTCATTCATGGCACACCTGCTCTTTCTGCGGAGACAAGCGTCACAGGTAGCCCCATTCCGTACGCGGGGAAGGGTCGAGTTGATGGAGATGGGAGATGGCGAGAGCGTTGGGGCCGAGCCCGTCTTTCGGCGGAGATCAGGGGAATGGGTTTGGGAATAGCCCGAAGGCTGGATAGTGATAACGGTAGCCATGTGGACCGGAACTAGCCCTGGAGGCACGATAATCGGGCAAATGAGAACCGAGATAGAAGAGATGATAGGGTCTTCGCGGAGCTTCCTCCAGACGTATGACTCTGTAATCTAGGATCTATATTCCAGACCTCTTACTTTTCTGAATATACAGAGTCAGTCATTGGATAAGATCATGGTGATAAGAGAGACACGTACGCTTATCAGAAAGAAAGAGAAACAAAAGTTGGTTATCTCCGGAGTAAGTTCAAGATAATCCAAAGCCGGCACCGGAGATCGAAAATAGAGGTATATCAGGCAGATGAACCTGCAAGTGACTGCAGCAAGATGAGATGTCGAATAGTCCGCTCCGTCATTCCTACCCGTTAAAGCTCTGGGGAAGGCGAAGTTGAAGGAAAGGAGATGAAAAGAAAGAATTCAGAATGCAGAATCCATGATGACATTGATCTACGATCTAATAGGTAATATAAACTATGAGTTTACCAAAAATTGTTACTTTGCCGAGTACCAGGCGATCAGCTTTTTTGCTCTCGTAACAAAAACCTCTATTAAGTTAAGCAAGTGACTGACAATTATGACACTTTAATTGTCAAAGATAAGCTGTCCCTTGCTGATTGGTTCTGAAAGCAGACATTGCATTACGTACTGAATATTCCTTAGGTCATCATTTTCATTTAGTTTCTTACAGAGGGTAGGATATAGATCAAATAGTTAGATAATGAGAACCTCAGAATGGCCCGATCTGATTTTAAAATCTATTTAATTTTTCGTCTGCCGTTCCCCAGGGATTATCTCCCTGCATGGCCTGACTTTTTGACTGGTCAAGGCACCGTCCTACAAGGATCTTCCGGGCCAATCACCATCCAGTGATAACGGCTTTCTACCCAACCAATCACAGTCTGTCCCATACTAAAAGTCGCAGTAGTGCCCGAGAAACTCTGCAATCCAAAACTGTGGGGTGAACGTAATGTGGAGGGAAAAGCCTAGGCTATATTTAATCTATGCAATCTATGCAATCTATGCACTTCTACCTAAGGATGCATCTTCTCGTGTTGTTCGTACATAACGTTGCTGTGTTCTCTGACCGCTGTGCAATCTCATATGTAATACATTTCTAAAATAGGATGTTTTAGTTTCGCAAATCCTAGTCCCCGGAGTGGAACACCCCGGAGTCAAGGACACATTCCCCGGCACATGCTAAATTACTATTCCGGTGGCAAACGGAAGAGCACGGACTTGGCCAAGTAATAAGAATTGAACTGCAATGGTTGGCCCGGGGAGGTTTCTATTATGAATCACCAGTTCCCCTCCATATGTACCTATTGTATGTCAATCCAAGGAATCCGTTGCAAATGTTTAGGGATCTACGCTTGGAAATCCTGCCACCCAAACTAAGGGAAAAAAAAAAAAAACATAACGCCTTCAAAACTCCATGCTCCTAAAAATGAGGCATCCACAGTGAAAATGCGACCGGCCTGTGGCGTATGTTTTTACTCGGTGAAGTTGCGCAGCTTGGTCAGCTCATCCAGCAATTCTTGTAAGTCTCCATCGGAGATCTTATTCTGCAGACTCGGGATGAGAGACTTGGCCTCCTCGGCATTATCGCAACACAAACTACCTGTTCAGGGGAAAACGCAAGTCAGTAAATCTGAGAATACCAAGTCTTCCAACACTTATATCCACGTGCAAGTACGACGGATGAAATAATGTCTTGGCTGATTGGAGGGCAGTGCAAATCCAAACTCACCCAGCTGTGACCGCTCAAACATCTCTAGCTCTGTGTGAGAGTTCAAAAGACGTTCGACTGCCTTGATGTTTTCCTCGTCTTTGAACCGGGCAAAGACATCCAAGTAATCCAAAGTCTTGGTCAAGTTTCTGTAGGAAACATTACAGGTAAGCATTCGATCTCGAAATCGAATGGTCTGTGGTCCACTTACTCCGGCTCCTCGTATTTGTTGCCCCCGCGCCGCTTGTTCTCCAACACCTTGTGGATAACGAGTCGTGCTTCCGAAAGTGAGAGGGTGTGCGTATGTTGATCAGCGCCCAGCTTGAGAGTGGAGGCTGCTTCGAGCTCGCCTTGCGGCAGCGCGCGCTTGCGGTGCGTAGGTGGGGGCAGTTGGACGCTCATTGTGCGATTTGGAGGGCGAGACTTCGTAGGTTCGGGTATGCAGCCTAGTGCATTTGAATTGAATGTATTGGTGAAATAACTTGTCCGAAGAGACTTTGTCGACGCTGTGTATCTGCTGTAAAGAAGATGAGGTGACTTGTTTGGCGCGAGGTTGATCTCTGCAGTTCACTTCTGGCATTTCAAGGCGGTGAAAGCATTACCGCCTCCTCTTCCAGAAGTAAAAAAATATAATCCGATAGGGAACAGAATCCATCGTACTTATTTATTACTACTAATACTATGATACATATTGTTTCGTGGGGTAACAGAGTATTATTTTTGTTCATGGAGCAAGCCCCAAACACCTCATATATAGCTATGCAGCAACTCTATACCTTCCGAAAAGCGACCTCCCGTGGCAGACGGAAGCTAGCACAGAACATCTGCTTCTTGGGACTAACCAGCCTCACATTGTGAATGGCGAGTTCCAATTCCTGGTTACCCTTGCCTCCCACACAGTCATCGACAGTGATCTTGTGCCCGATACGCTCAGAAATTCTCTCACAGATATCGATGTGATCATCCACTTCGTTATCGGAGTGTCCCGAGAAACAGTAAACGTGGACCATGGGCAGTTTTTGCTCCGTGTTCGGCGCAAAAATCTGTTCCTCACCAGCATAGAGCCCGGGGAAGGCATCAAGGAATTCAATGGCCGTAGCAGGCAGGTTCATAACATAGTGATTGACAATGGTGGGACGGGTGTATACCTTCGGTGAGGGCACGGGGGACCCCTTGCCTTCGGCGATCTTACGCTGCTTCTCTCTGCCCACCTTTGGTTGGATAGTAACGGTAAGAGGCTTCGCGCTCAGCAACAACCGACCCGATGAACGGATAAACTCCCGACCATCCTGGTTGAAAGGGGTAACGAAATCTTGCACCTTATTACGAGTGATAGCATCTTGCATAACTTCAAATCCATGGGGATTGAGATCGTTGGCCCAGACGAAAATCTTCTTCCGACCTGCTGGCACGGCGAAGGGGCCGACACCAGCCATCACGTCGCAGACCATTTCACTGGGCGCGAACTTATCGACCAGGCGGCGATGCTCGGTCTCCAGACGGCTGTTCCAGTAGACGCGAGCATAGTCAAAGCGGAATTCACAGTCCTGCTCATGCTGGATAACGTTTAGGTCATTCTCGCCTGTCAGTAGTTCGAATGGGAAGGTGCGGAACTGGCTGTGTGAGCCGACATCTTCGGTCTTATTGATGACGGTGCGGACGGTCGGGTTCTTGTCCATAAGAACCTCGGCAAGTATATGCTTATATGGGAGGTATTGGGCGCGAAGATTTAAATGCACTGTTTCGTCAGTATTGGGTTTATAGGCAGTGAGTCAGACGAACATACAGACATGCCCCACTTGAGTAAAGCCTTGAGGAATCTCTTCCATCAGGTCCTCAGGTAGAATTGATGAGATGATCTCAGCTATGAGAATGTTAGCATGGAATATTTAGCTGAGGAGACAAGATGATGGCAAGCATACCATATGACCAGTGATCATAGTCCAATAGCAATTCATACGGCCCCAAGGCAACAGTTCCCTTATTAACGAGCTCGTTGATAGTAGGCGACCATGTTGCCTTATCTATACACTTGATTAGAATCTATCCATCAATATTGGGGCCAATCCAAACCCAATAAACCTACCATCAACCTTCAGGTCTTCGCGCAACAACATAGCCTTCCACACCTTGCCATCCTGATCCTTCACCTCACGGATGGAGCTAATACGTGGCAAGAGCAGGATATCGCGGCTCTTGACCAAATCCTTCCGCACGTTCGAAATATCGCTTGCTTTAAAAACGCGGGCGACGGAGAGGGGCACATTTCTTCGGAAAAATGACCGGTCGAGTGTGCGCATGGCACGATTCACTGGGGGTCGGAACATGGCAGGGGTCTCGTGAAGAGTAGCCTGCGCGGAAGCTGTATCTGTCGGTTTCATTGGAAGTCGAGATTGTTTTTTTTTTTTGGCCTGCTAGGAATTTGTCTCCTTGGTCGAAGCTCGAGGCGCATCGCGGCGCGATAATTTATTTCTTATCAGCCACGTGACATCCTTATCTAGATCTAGATATTAAAAGAGTATGTGAAATGTAGAACAGGATATCGGAATCGGTCATAAATAAATATGGATATTAGTTGTGTGACAAACATTTGGAGGAGTATTAGAGCAATTGTGGAGTGTAGACTACATGGTAGTATTTGGTTTTATTTCTCCCCTATGTCTAGCATCGCTAGGCCCAAATCCAGGGCTAAATCGTAGGGTGAACAAATGACTTTTTACTAGACTGGTAAAGCTTATATTTCTTGTTGAAGAATGCTAATTTCCCTATCAAGGAAACAGGCTCGTGATTGCCTGATTTCACAGGGTGTTCACGTAATAACACAATAATCACAGATCGCAAAGCTATCATATCGTCGTAACAGTTCGTGAGATACGTGGCTCACGCTGAGCCAAAAGTATACTGGACATCCGAACATCAATCTCTGAGATCAACCCTGGTAGTGTCTGCTGCATGTGTAATGCGATTCCAAGGTTGCCCGCTTAATAGGGTTTCATCCCCCCAATAAGAGAACGATCCAGTTCTCTTTGAGCTTCCAGGTTAGCCCGGTCTTGCAGCTTTTTAATTTCGTCATCCTTCTTCTTCAATGCCAGCCGCGTCATATCCCGCCCACGAATAATCCCCTGCGTCCTCAAGTCCTGCCTGTTAAGCAGCGAGACCACCTCGTTATGCGCTTTATTCGGCAAAACAACACTATGTTTTTCCAGAATATCGAGTATACTCTTTGCAAGATCCGAGGTGTCAAACTTCGAGTCTGCGGAGAGTACATCGTTGTATTTGCTAGGCGTGGGTGTCATGCATAATTCGGCAGACGAGGGAGGGAGCATATCGGCGCGAGAGGAGCGGGATGAGAAAGGTGTCGCGGTTGCAGACTGGTCGTAGGAAGGATTATCATTCGTGACTTCTGCCAGTTTGCGCTTGCCGGGTGAAGTCACCGCGGCGGTGCGGGGGGTCTTGAACGGGGATTTGGGATGGAAGTTGGGCTGCGAGATGAAGCTCTCGGTCTGGCTGGAAGAGAGTAATTGGACAAGCTCATCATTATCATCCGAGTTGTCGTTCCAACCAAAGTCGTCCGACGCTTCTGATATCATTCTGGCCTTAGCTGTCTTGGGGGGCGACTTGAGGTTGTGTTGCGGGGTGTCGATAAATCTGCGGTCAGTCTGTGGAGTGAGTAGCCCGTTGTTCATACGTCCTGGGGTACGCCTTGTCGGGGTGAGAGGGCTAGGATCGAGTTCGGATCGAGAGTTGGCAAGGACGGTTGCTTGCTCACGCATTGCAGCGTCATCTGCCCACAGGAAGAAGCTGCATTTGAGATGTGGAGGTTGTGCGCAAGTCCAAACTATTTTTCATGTTAGTCGCTAGTTTATATAGAGATATTTCCCAAGCATCATCCTTGAAAAGTAAGCAAAATTCAACATACACCATTTCCCGAAGTTTGGTCCCTGCTTCTTAGTTTCACGGCGCACCGCAACCGGCCGTTCGGGGCAGTTACAACACCAAAGACCATCTTTGAAGAGGCCACGCCGCAGAGGCGCTGTAGTTCCTGGCGAAGCTGGATATTTCTGAGGAGACGACATTTTTAATAGTTCTTCCCCCAGATGTTGTTCACGAAGGAAGATGAACGTGTGACGGAGGTTGTCGCCATGGAAACTGGCTTATCTTATCCGGACTCCACGAGGTCTTGGCAACTTTAAGACATTCTATGGAGTCGTCCCAAGGTGGATTATAACAGTGCTATGAATAGAATTTAGAATATGGAGAAATTATCCGAGACAATATTGCTTAACTTGTACATTGATTCCAATCATAGATGACCTCATGTACTGTTGAGGCTTTGGTCGGATCTGCACACATAACGCCATTATTATAAAGAAGCTTAACCCCACATCGAGTCTATTCTTATATACACTCCTTCAACCACCCCATGATCAAACCTTTATGCTTCGATGCCCTTTTAAACGCCTCAAATGCATACGCTATGCATAGACCCACAAGGACCCCTCTCAACCCTCCCTAAAGAACTATACTTCGCAATATCCGATTTCCTCCCATCATCAGACCTAAATGCCTGGACATGCACCAACACAACAACCTACAACCTCCTGAACAACACCCTCTATAAGCGCGATGCAACCTCACCGAATCCAAAATCTCTCTTCTGGGCCTCGACAACCGACACCCCCTCAACAGCCCTAAAATGCCTCTCCGCAGGTTTCGACATCCAATCAAAAACAGACACAGACCCACGCCTAAAAGGCTGCACCCCAATCATGCTAGCCGCTTCACACAATAGCATCGCGGTCCTCAAACTGCTCCTGCTAAACGACGAAGCAAACCCAAACACCCGCGACAGAAAATGGATCCGACCGCCGCTGTCCTGGGCCGTCAAAGAGGGCCACTCAGCCATAGTGCAGACCCTGCTAAATGACGACCGTACAGACGTCAACTTGCAAGATAAGACGGGCGATACCGCACTTATGATTGCCGTCAACCACCAGCCCAAGATGGTGACGCTGCTTCTCTGTAGCGGGCGGGCGGACCCGCGCGTGCCAAATCGGCAAGGATGGACGCCGCTCGGTCGTGCTGCACGAGAAGTAGATGGGGATGTTAGCTTGCTACTTGCGAACCATTTGCAGTTGATTCTTGAGGGTGACGATGGCGCTGTGCATTGCCAGCATGTGTTTTTCTATGCGGCCATCATGGGGCATGTTGATATTGTGCGGTATTTGGTTAAGTATTTTGGGGAGAACCTTGATCCCAACGCTGAAGGACAGCAGTATGGGCGGGGAGCATTTTCAATTGCGGCTTCGGCGGAGCGAGTGGACGTTGTGCAGTTTTTACTAGATTGGGAGGCTACCGACCCTAACTTGCAGACACATTGGAAGAGGCAGACGCCTCTGTTTGTTGCTGCGGAGAATGGACACGAGGAGATCGTGGGCTTGTTGGTTGGATGTAAGAGGGTTGGACTGGAGATTCCTGATATGCATGGGACTACGCCGTTGGGGGTTGCGACGGAAAGAAACCACGAGGGGATTGTTAGGCGGTTGTTGACTGGGTCTAGGTGGGCTGATCCCAATGCTCGTGATGAGAACGGTCAGACACCGCTGTTTAATGCTGCGTTTTACGGCCACATAGGTGTTGTGGAACTACTGCTCGAAGCGCCTGGCATTGATGCACAGTTAGGTGATACGGATGGGAAGACACCGTTAGAGGTGGCATTGGAGAATGGCAATCAGCAGGTAGTGGAGGCACTACGGAGATACATAGGCAGCCCATCATGAATATTCTCGTCTCAATTATCATGTTTGATCTGGCGTGCGGTCCCTATCATACTCTATACCTATCTAGTTTTCCCAGCCCCCCCCCCCCCCCCGGGCACAACCATGAGCGAGCCAGCAAGTAGAAGCAGGCGAGCAAAGGATAGGTGCATGAAAATAAAATAAGATGGTGGGAATCAAACGGGAGAAGCCACATCTATGGCGGTATCACGAATGTAGTAAAACAATTCTAACATCGGAATCTAACCGGCAAGCACATGCCGCAACATGGCACCAAACGGATCAGCAAGCTTAAGAATCTCCGTAACCTCGGGCTTGACGGGTTCACCCGCAGTACGGCGAAGTTGGTCCTGCTTCTTTGTCCGCCGGCGGCGCTCTACGGCGATGGGATCGTCCATGTTCTCATCTCCAGAATCTTCATCAGAGGCATCAGATGCCTCATCTGAGATAGTGAGGTCCTCCAGATCAGCCTGTAAACCCGGAGTTAGCTTTAAAATCCGACAAAATTTCAAGTCGACTGGGTGAAAAACACATACCTCGTCAAGACCGAAATCACTACCCTTGAAAGTTGTAGCTCCTGGAATAGTCTCCCCAGATGTACCTTCAGCAGCCATCTTCTGGCGAGTCTTGTTCAAATGCCAGCGTTTCCGGTCTTCTTGCCACTTGATAAGCTGATTGATTTCCGTGAGAGCAAGTTCTTTGTCGATCTGACCAACTCCAACAGCTCCTTGGAACAAAGCGTTGATGTCCATTTTGCCTCCGGCAGGGCCGTTGCGCAGGAAATCGAGAATTTCTTCAATCCAACCCATTAGAGACTGGAATAGGCCGTTGTCGTGCTGGTGCACTTCGTGGATGAACTTATAGAAGTTGGCCTCGTGACGAGCGCACAGGTCGATGAAGGCCTGCACTGTTTGATTCGGATCGGCAGAGGCATCCTGGCGCTGGGCACTCTCAATCACACTAATAGCATCGTCGGCAAATAGAGCAAAGTCCGTAATGCTGTTGTATACGTTGGCAGATTTGTAAACACGGACGAGCGGCTCATAGAAGATAGTGAACAGATCGCGGAAGAGTTGCAGTGTGACCGGCTCCTCAACAATGCCCAGCATCATCGCCTTGTCGCGCTGGCGGGTGTAAAGCTTCAGAAGCTGCTTCATGTGAGCGAACCATTGGGCGCCTTGTTGCATTTCCAGATCTACATTCTCCACTGCATAGTTCCAAGCGACGTAGCCATTGAACACCTTGCCAATCTGTTCCGTGGTGAGTTCGGGTGACAGTAGTTCGGAGCGAAGGATGGCCACAATAATGTCAACATCCTCCGCAACAGCCTCTTCTCGGATCACATTCTTGATTTCTTCCTCGGCATCCGCGAAGCTCTTGAGCTTCTGAGTAAGCACAGTATCTTCAACCTTCGAAGCCAGAGAATTAATTGATTTTTGGAAATCTTTGATGCTTTCGTTTAGTGTTAATGAGAAGATGCGTTGCAAAAGTGACCGCGAGCCGAAGGGCTGGGCCATGAAAAGGTCTAGAACACCAGACATGACTGCAGCAGGGTTGGCGATGCGAATCACGTTTTTCATTAGCGTGTACGGGACCAGGCCGTGGATTCTCTTCGCCTGTGCAAACAGCTCAGGGGAGTTATCCTCGGCAAGGAACAGATGGTATATTGTTGCGGCAACCCTATTCAATGTTAGTAGGGCAGGTCACTCAGAAAATCCGAAAACATACTCAATGCGGAGCCACTCAGCAAATTTCTGATATTGTGGGCTGAGGTCTGCAATTGTGGGCTTCTCCCGGATCTCGGCGAACAGCTTTGTCAATCCATCTAAATTTCAACTGAGGTTAGCATACCATGCTGTGCTGGAAGGAGCTCGCGACTTACTGCTCTCTACAATATCCCGCCGGAAGCGCTCCATGTACACGTCCAGCTCCGCCGCTCGTTGCCTAGCAATCTCATAGAATCTCTTCTGTTCCTCAATCCTCACAGCGTCCATGTTTTTCCGCTTCTGAACATCGATCAACTCTTCCTCATTCAACTCGATGGGGCGAGCAGTCAAGAATTCTTCCATGACCTTAGATTCTGCGATACGCTTGTTCTGCAATATAGTGCGCAGAAATGCGCGCAGCGACACACGCTGCTCCTCTCGGTACAGCACAGTCGCCCTCGACACGTCGCTCGTTGATGCACGCGGCGATTTCGTTGACCGCATTGATCCTCGGGAGATCGATCGCCGGAGGTCCCCTGCGGAAAGAGTTGGTGCGGAGAGCCGATCCTCGGGAACACTCGTGTCCTGTGTGGACAGAGATGAAATAGAAGAAGCGTCATCATCTGCACTAGAGCCCCACCAGCTCGAGGTGGAAGAAGACTTGTTCTTACGAGGGAGAGGAGGGAGTAGCTTTCCTGGAAGCTCAGTTCTCAATCTCTTGTGAAGTTTGACAAACTCCCCATATCTCCTCCCAATATGAACCTCCTGTTTGTTGTGGTGACGAACTCGAATAACGAATTCCTACAACAGATGTTGTCAGCAAAAGATCCCTCCGAAAAGAACGGGATTTTCAGGATTATAAAACTTACTGCATGTTGATGGTACCGCACTGTCCGCTTGACAGAGGTTGTCCGAACAGCGGCCACGTTCACGTCCCAACCATTGATTAAATTACCCTCGGGCATATTAGCCAGCAGGCCAGACTCTTGAGCACCACGCTCGACGATCTCCATCTCGGAGAACTGGATGCGCTCCTCATATCCCGACGCGGTCGGCACACCCGAGACCATCATCAGCTCCACGAGCTTCTCGCATTTCCGAGCCAACTTCCGGCGCTTCGTCTCCTCCAGTCGATCCTCCGAAGACGAGACATGTTTATTGGCAAACGATTCCAAGAACTATATCCCCAACTGTCAGCCACACTTTGTTCCTCCCCAGTTTCCATCCAGGGAAGCGAAACACCCACGATTTGTAGCTTATCCTGCCAAAACTCCTTTTCGCGCGCTTGGTCAAGAAATGGGAAATTCCGAACGTGGTGAACAAAAATATATCGAAGAATAGGTAGCTCTGAGTCGACCGGTGCGACCTCGCCGAATTCCGATCTGAAGGGGGCGCCGAATCGCTGGAGCGCGGTAGGGGAATTGAGCTCGAAGATTTCACCACGGACTTCGCGAGCGATGAGCTCACGTTTGAGGTCTGCGCAAGTTATCTACATGTTAGCAACTGTGAAATATGAATACGATCATCATATCGTCCGGCTTACAGTGCTCTTGCTTGCCCGTCAAGACCTGGCCTGGTGGCAGGGTTGCACCC